TTTTGGGTAACGAAAAAAATTCGGTTAGAAAAAAAGAGCTCAACAAATAAGTTATCAAGTCGGTTTTTGCCAAATTTAATAAACGCGCTCTCATTTGCAAAAAAAGACTAGATGATTTTTAGTAGTATTATATAGTTTTTTTGGCGCGTTTCCGGTTGGTTGAGTTATTTCAGCTGGGTTATGGGTTTTGCAAACCTCAGTTCAATGCAATTTGGTTCAACCCATGGGGTGCTTTAAACGAAGAGCATATTTTTTGAAGGAAACATTTCCTTTCTTCAGCTAACGAGACCTTGTCTCAGCGCGCAATGGCCTCCAATCTCCGTTTGCAGTATTTTTCCGTTTGTCCTGAAAGTCTCAAACATAGTATTTTACTTCATTTCTGAACTTTCTCTTCTGAAGTTTTTGATGCTAGTTGATCTCAAATTAGAAGTATCATATTCAAAAAAAAATGCCTCGAAACAAATTTTGCAGTAGAAAGTGTTAATCAAACGAAATGAGTTTCTTTAATGAGTTTCTTTCAAATCATTTATGATTCTCCGAGAAATAAAAAACTTTCAACAATCTGAAATACACTGAAAACGTTCTTTTTCCGTTTCAAAATGACTTCAAATATACTCTGTCAAAAAAATCCAGCTGTTATTTCAAGCGGACTTTCCAGCGCACCATCATGAAAAAAAAGATAAGTTGTTATTGATTATTAGTTTGATTTTTTTGATATAGAAAATCGTTTTTTTAAATTTTTTTAAATTGAGTCGAAGTATTTTTTTCAGCTCAAAAAAATATGAATTCAGGTAATATTTCTGTGAAAAAAACTGGCATGCTGTTGTCCGAATTTTGCATTTCGACTTAACTTAGCACATTTTTTCGATGGAACGCGTGTTCTACATGCTTTTTTTCTTGTCTGATTGCGAAGAAAAACTGAGAAAATGAAAAAATGAAAAACTCTTTCTGCCATCATAAATTGAAGGTTCAGACTTTTTCTTAATATTCATTGAGTTCAAAATATCGAAATGGTTTGCTCCAAAGCGAAATAATGAAATGAAGTAAAACGTCTTCATTTTCGCCCTGTGTGCAGTTCCACGCCGTTTTAATCCAGATTTGGATTTTCCCGTGCCACAAGCTTTAATCTGTTGGACGGAAATGGCGCATAACCAAGGAATTTCACAGTGGCATGGGAAAAAGCTGTTCTGCTAGCTCCAGGAATGTCTCTTCGAGCTCTCTTTATTTTTATTTTTCTCCTTTCCTGACCTACATGTCTGGCTTATCACAAATTGAGGCACGTTATACGTAATGATTTGATATTCTGATAAAGCTTCTGCTGAGTCGAAAATCGAGATACGGAAAGTTTAACTTTTCGACTAATAGAAAAGGAGTCTCTATTTACGAAAACTGCTGATAAGAATTTGATAAAAAAGTTCAATATCCTGTTTTTAAATGCGTAATTTTCCCTTTTGATTTTGATTTGAGAAAAATGTCTTTTTAAGAGAAAAATATCAACACCTTTGCATATTCGAGTTTTGATATTCTCAGGCGTTCTTCAAGTTTTCGAAATTCAAGAACAAAAAGGTATAAATTAGGATTTTATCAAGTTATTTGGATTAAGCAATATGATTTGTTCAAAATAAGAGCAACCAGAAATGCATAAATATGATAGATATGAATTTTTTTTTTGAATTTGTTCTTGTCGGACTCGTTTTTCATTTTTAACCGATTTCTGATGCAAACATGATCGGCTTTGTTTTTTAAAGGAATTATCCAGAACTTAAGCCAATTACTGATTGCCGAGAAGAGGTTGCGCGACTTCCAGGGCGTCGATTTCGGGTTGTAAGCTCCAAGGCAAGGTGTCAACTTACTTTCGCACTCTCTCCCACACGTACGCACACCTTGGCAAAAATTTTCTTCTTGCTCCTCAGTCTGACTTCGAATCTGGTTTATCTTCTTTTTGGTCTTTAACAATTTTTTTCTTATAAAAAAACTCAGCTTCTCTTTTTATCAAAAATTTTTTTCTGAAAGTCCAATCTTTTCTTTTTTAAAACTTGATAAAATCAAAAAAAATCTGTTGACGATTTATAACAAGAAGACGCTTTTAAAAAGCTACAACTGATGGAAATTTAGAAGAAAGTCCTTGAGTTTTGGAAGTGTTAAAATTTTTGAGGCGCCGAAAAAAACCAAAAAAATTATTTTTTTCTGGAACTTTTTTTCGATTTTTTTGAAAAATATGTTAATATTGTAGTTGCCGTTTTTTTGGTCAAAACAAAAAGATTTCAAATATTATATACTACAAAAATTGTCCAGGGGTTTTTCTTCCAGTCAGAAACACGGAATCTTATATTTCATTTTTTTAAAGTATTGCGAGCAGAAAAATTATCAAATGTTTGATTCAGCTCTGGGAATTCTAATATTTTTTTCCGTCATTTTTAAAATAAAAAAATACCGTTTTTGGATGACTGTAGTCTTCGATGTCCAAAATGAAAAAAACAGCTAATTTGGCAAAATTTTTGTGAGCAGTTTTTCAGAAAAAAAGGGCCGAACTATTTTTGAACCTATTTTTTTGATGATCTGAAATTTTTCAAGCTGTTTTTTTGGCTGAATTCTTCAACAACTCTTCGAAAAATTCTAAATTTTTCCATTTTCGTAGGGGATTCCTTACAAAGAAGGTCATCGTACTTTGCGGTTGGAAATTTCTTGAAAACGGAAAAAAATCCCTAATTTAGCTTTTCTTTGATTTTGGGGTGTCTTCTCAAAAACTAGAAGTTTTTGCAGGTCGATACTGTCAAAATATTATTTTGGTACATCAAGGAGCATTCTGGCCAATTTTGCGGGAATTTTCACCCGAAAAGTAAAATGATTTCCTTTTTTAGGATATTCGACCAGTGGGCGAAAAGAAGTAAAAACGCTTTGAAACTTTTTCATAGGTATACGGTAGACATACACAGAACTAGTAGAACATCACCTGGACGGTTTGTAAAAGTAGAAGAAAAGTTCGGAACGCGTTCAAAGAAGCTGAAGAATGACAGGTGGAGGCAGAAGGCTTTTCATTGGAAGCTGGGGCCGGATGCATCACAAATGAATGCTCGTAGAATTGAGAAGAAGATGGCATTTTCGACGTCGACAACTACTGAGTTGCCGCGACGAGTAACAATTCACCAACCGCTCATTGCCACGTTTCATTATTTTGCAGCAGCAGCTCTTCCATACCGCAATTATACCTTGTTTATGTAATTTTCAAGCTCTCTTCAAAGTCTTCAAAATATTTGCCTCCGTTCTTCTCGCCGATAGTATAAAGCTCAATGGGTTTTTTCGCACCTGGCGATTGACCAAGATCTCATCAAATTTTCTTTTTTCGAGTTTCATCTACCATTGGCTTTCTTGATTTTGCTCTCTACCCATCTGTTTGATGATATTACCAAAGTTTGGGATAATTTATTGAAGATTGTGTATATCCTATAAGTTCAATTTCAACTGAACGCTTAATGGAAAAGCTCAAGGTGTGACGAAAATCAAAATTTGGAGTGAGATTTGTTTAAAATTTAGTAAGACCCGCGCAACTCGTATCAAGTCGGACGCTAACTCAACAGCCTATAGGTCGAGCTATTCGCATTGTCGCCACTAATTTCTAACGGCCATTTTTTTGAACCACTGGATTCAGAAATTCAAAAAAACTTTTTTTGTTCTTTTTTTGTTTTTTTGTTTTTGTTCTTTTTTTGTTTTTGAACACTTATTTACAAAGTTTTGCAGATTTCCTTTTTTTCAGTAGTTTTTTTCAAGTTCGCAGTTTGCAAAGTAAACCATCGCAAATCTAAATTCTATGATCAAGAAAGGAATTTTGATGCTTCTGTGTCCGACTCGATCTACTTAGCACCTAGGGATATACAGCTAGGAGCAAGAGCTTTTTTCCGATCATCTCTCATGTTTTTCTGCCAAAAAACATTTCAAATTTTAAAACTGATTTTATTGTGATGTACGATTGGAGGTTCAGCCATATATATTTTTTTTTCGAGTCGGGTTGAATTTAGTATAGAATTGTACGTTTTTTCGCGGGTCTCAGTCCTAAGCAACACATTGGCAAATTTTCGGTCGGTCAGACAGCCGTTTGTCAAACTGTCAAATAACGGGCAAGAAGGATGCGAGCTGCGCAATTACCCCTGTGCTTTTTCTTTTCTCCACGGCACATCTCCATATATCCTCGTTTATTGCATTTGCACGGTAGCAAACACCTCCCAGTCTTTTTCTCACGCTTCTTGATTCCAGCCTTTATTAATTTTCTGTTTTTATTTTCGTTCTTCTCTTTTTCAGCATGCCATGAAGTCAAAAAGCGGTTTTTTTGCCTTAAATGCATATAAATCACGTGTCTAAAAGCTTTCATCCAAAAGAAGATTCGTGCGCTACAATGAGCAACAATAGCTGTCTCCTGCGTTTTGACTCGATTGTCTGCACGCTGGTCGCGTTTTTTATTCCACGCACTTCAGCATTTGCTCGACCCATAAAGATATCTTTTTCCAATTAGGTATTGAAGTTAATTAATTTTGGATCGGATATTGAATTTTTTCAAAAATTTGATGTCATGTGGATGAATATTTTTTTGTTAAAAAAACTAATTTTTGATAAAAAAATTTCGAGCCGTTCTTCGAGTTTCCTAGGATTTTTTTCAAGCTCAACCCTCGTTACCGAGACATTCTCCTTCTTTAGAGCCAAAAAGCCCTAAAGTGCACTTTGGCTGAGTTTGGTGAAAAGTTCGTCCTAACGTTAAGAAATTTTTTCTGTGAAAAGTATGACGATTCAAATGTTATTTATAGCCTGTGTACCACGACTTCAAATTTCACCGAACGACATTCCGCTGTTCCGATGCGCGCCTTTGCGAACCTTGGTCGCGCTTTTAATTTTTTTTTTTCTTTTTTAAGGTACTCTACTTTTATGTGCTTCCACAGCAATAACAATCAATTGAAAACGTGACCTAGATTTGAAAAACGCTTCGCGAACGCAAGCAGCGAAACAGCGGAATGTCGTCCGGTCGAATAAAGTCGTGGCACACAGACTATGATGTCGGAAAATTTTTTTCCAGTTGTGTGAGCGATTGGGTAAAGTTATAACTTTAACTTCTACCAATGGGCATAGTATTCATGCGTGAAGTGATAGGCTATTCATGTATGTGCTGGCCACCATCAAGTTGGGGGCTGAGACAAAACATTGCCACAGGAGCAAGAAAGATAGGATAAACTCATGCAAAAACAATTCTTTTTGCATTGTTGGCTCTCATTCCGTTCCTTCAATGTACATATTTTAATGTTTTCGCAATGCAACTTCAAAACATTCAGAGACTCGGAGGAGAGCCGCGACGCGCCGTCAGCAGACACCTTGGACCTGCCGGACATCGTCAGGTTCGGAGACCACGAGCCTCGACCTCACCGCGACCCAGGCGCCGAGCACCACTCTTTTCTCTACCATCCATCCGTCATGGGAAGTCTCGAGAAGCTCATCAGGTCAGTTTTATCTTTTCTGCGAAACTGTACAGGGAAGTCGAAAATTAAAAAAAAATTGTACAAACAAGGAAACCGACGTCTCCGGATTGAACTTTAAATTTAGAAAGGGGCTTTTATCCGAGCTTCGTGAATGCAAACTCAATTCCATAACTTTTACTTTGAAGAAGGGCTAGAAAATTTTTGAAGAAAGAACTATCTTACTTGTACAACAAAAAGGAAAATTGAACTGTTAAAAGTCCAACTGAAAATAACTCAATTTTATCTAACGCTATGAAAGATATTGTAGTGGTGTTTTTTTTAAATTTTTCTTGAACTACTGCAGTTTCAAGAACTTCGAAATAAAATATGAATGAGGATTTTTCGACTTTTTCACCAGCCAAATTGACATGGAAAAGGCTAAAGTGCATTAAGGCCCAATTTTTTTTCGTTATGGAAAATAAAAATCATTTTTCTTTTTATCTGAGTACAGGAGCTTCAACTTGTTGAGTGAAAAACTTGGAAGATACTACAAAAAAGCGCTCGTCGAATAAATGTTTAAATTTGACGCCTGAAATCTTTGAGGATACCGATTCGTTTGTTTTTGCTGGAGTGAAAAAAAATTATATTCAGAGTTGACGTCCTAAAAACCTGGAATTCATAACGTTTTTGAGTCTCCTTTCATATTAAAGTACTGTCTTGCTACTTTTGAAACGTTGTTTTTAGAATTTAAAATGAGAAGAAAGTTTCATGGAAAGTAAGAAGATTTTTTGGGTTTCAAACGGAACTCAAGCCTGAATAGAAAACAAAGCCAAAGTAAACGAGATAAACTTACTGTAGCTGAAAAGGTCGGTTTGTTCATGAAGTCCCATTTTCCGGTGGACAAATGAAATAAAGCGACGAATTCGAGCGGATAGCGGAAAAATGGTTAAGGTGGGGGTCTCGAGGGCCTTCGAGAGGCTTAACCTCGTAACCGAGCTTAATTCAAACGCTTCCACTTTCTTCAAACGCCCTGTTTTCCTCCTCATTTCGATTGTCCTTTTGATTTTCGCTCCGTTTTTGTTCAAAAGAAAAAGCAGTTCATTTTTATCACCACATTCTAAACTCCCAGCGGAACTTTTTTTTAGCCGCCTGAAATTTCTATAACTTTAAGTTTTCAGAAGATTCAGTGAGCGTTTTTTTCAAAAAATTCATTTTTCTCACTGAGGATATTGGAATCTCAAGAAAGAAGCCTTAAAATTATTTGCTATTGAATCCCTTGCTGAGAGAGAATGAATAATTTCAATTTCATATGCTCAATTTGCCTGGAAGAGTAAATATTTCCACGGCAGTTTTATATTCTACATGTTAGGCTCACATTGTTTCCTGAATTTTTATTTTTCAGTAATTGATATTTGAGTTGAGATTTAAGCAACGAGAATGTTTTGAGTTTTTGCAGTGAGAAAATTTTTATAATCCATGAAACTTTCTGTATATATCCTTGAAAATCTTTCAAATATTATTTGAAAGGATAGCAAACTATAAAAAAGACTGGATATCTTTAAAGCTTGTTCAAAAATGAATTAGCAAATTTTCCGCTCATTTTCGGGCAACTTATACAGCTGACTAGGAAGTTTCCCCTCCCGTTCAACTTTTTGATGAAACTTCGCTAAAGTGCACTTTTAGAACCCCCTGATTTCAGAACAAAAAGAAAAACTTCTTGCAATAGATCTCGTTTTTCCAGTTAGAACAGTTCAAAAAGCTTGTGTTAGCGCTTTTTTTGCCTATTATGCTTATTTTGCGGAATTTGAAGCTCCATAACTTGGAAATAAGATCTATTTTGAGAAAAATTTTTTATTCTGTCATCAGGGGGTCCTAAAACACTTCAGCAAAGTTTCATCAACAGTTCAATCGGGGGGTAAAAAACGTTTCCTGGTGAGTAAATTTTTCGAATGCTGATGATGGCAAATTAGAATAGCTACCGTAAGAAGAAAATAAACGTGAAAAGCCACTGAAAATTTTAATTTATTCGGAAGAAAATGAACCCTTGCAGTTATCGCACTTTTCACTCGGGAGCTTTTTCAATGTGATACAAAAACTTCCGAAACACTTCGCGATATCACAAGAGTTACATTACCTTCGAACAGAAATTCGTGCTCACGTCCTGATTATTCCTCAGATGGCTGCTTCGAGTAATCAGAGAATATTGTTTGACGGACGACGCTCAATCAGCGGCAGATTGAAAAGCCGTCAGCGAAGACAATTTTTTGAGCCATCGTCATGATTCGCTGTGGGCGAGCAACTAATCTCTCTTGAGACAATTCCCAGGCGCATCTCAGCGACTTTCCGTCATCCCATTTCCATATCTTCAAAAACGCGCCGCTAATGCGTGCAAGGCTATTTTGTTTTTTGGTCTGGCTAACATATCAAAACTTTGATTCTCCATGACCTTCATGTTTCAGAACGAACATATATTCCCAGGAAGAAATTCGATATCTTTCTGGAAATTTTCTTGGTTCCACAATTTCGCTCCAAAACTTTTCGAGACGTTCGAGGAAACTATTTTTGGTGCTTCCAATGTGAGTAACACTTTTCTGGAGACGCGAGATGTTTTCGAAGTTTCACGTCTCGGTTGGCTCGTTTTTTGTTCTTCTTCCTTCAAGAAATAAATCGTCCATTCCTCCCTCTCCACCAGCTGCCAACCGCTTGACACCAACCTTATTTTGCCGTTTCACAAAAATGATTCCTTGTTGCAGAGCAAACAATTTGCACCAGGGATACATATCCTGAGAGGCTTTCTTACCTTTTCTGTTCTCGTATTTCCAAACCCATAATAGGCCAAGAGCCTTGGAAAGGGATTGAAAAAAGACGCGGAGGAGTGTAAACGAGGTCAGATATTAGGCTTTTGAGTGGCATATTGCCCTCGGTTGGCGAATGCAACGGCGAGCTGCCATCGGCTTGACACTCGAGCTCTCTCATAGGCTTTAACTAGCAACAAAACGCCCTTTGCTGAGAAAGAAAAAACGTTCGCGTTATTCACAATTTGACTGGTAGCGTTAAATGCAAGAAATTTTCATGCCCTTGCAGAATGCAATCAGCTTCCTTTTCTCATTCCGAAGTATCCTATTTCTTCGCACTATGAGAAGAAAGTTGACGGTTTTTTCGTTTTTTCAGTTTTATGTTCTCCTTTCATTTTGCTAACATTGAAAAAGTTCAGAATTCATAATTTTAACATTCCGCTCCCACTGATTGTCTCAACGTATTACGGTCGCGCAACTGTTTTTTTGAGCCAGAAAAGATCTTCGAAACGACGGTCAAAAATAACACGCCTCCAGTAATGTTTTGTAGCTAGGAGTAAAGTCGCTTAAGGTCCAACGCAGTTAGGTTAAATTAGAGAACTTTCTCTGAATCGCACAATTGGTTTCGATTTAAGCCTTGATCTACTTCAGTAGTTTTCAGGGCTGAAACAGCAAAAAAGATTCAGTCAGGATCGTGAAAAATCGTTTTATTTTTCGTAGTACTTCCTATGTCATGAAATTCAGAAAAACGCACGTAAAGATCAAAAGTTCAAAAGTTTCTAGTTTCTCTTAAGAACTGCTTTGAGCAATTTTCCAAGGTTTTCGTGAAGCACTGATCGAAGTTAGGTTTAGAAAAAACTGACATTACAGTTATGAAAAGATTCGACACATTTTGCAAAGATCGCGAAGAGTTTTGAGAGCATAGACGAGTTGAGAAGGTTTCGATTGAGCCGAGAGAAAGAACACCTGTTGCGAGTTAAAATTCTTTGTGGATGATGTAGTCTGGTGATAAGTTATGGTTAAATTTGACAGCTCGTCATTTACTGACCTCCCTCAAACTTTTGTTTTATAGGCCATTCCGCGCTAGCTTGTCACGTTTTTCTTTCCGCCAATAGGCTAGGTCAAATTTAACCAACTTTCGCTTCAAGACCTGTGTTTCTTGCCGTTATGAAAGCAGAAATTTGATCTAATTTGGTATACGGTCTTTTTGGCGGAAAGAAAAACGTGACAAGCTGGCGCGGAATAGGCTACACCCAATAATAAAAATAGTCAAAGCAGATTCAAAAAGTTGCAAAAATAACAAGCTGCATCTAACAAGGAAGGTCATTTTACTTTGGGTTGGGATTTTCTTGGAAGTTGGCCAGGAAGCTCCTAGATGTATTAGAAGTAGATTCTGAAAGATTCAACCTGCGCAGCTTCCTCGTTTTGGAGAAAAGACATTTCGAAAAACGATCCAAATTCATTGAAATATACTATTTTGGGCCGTTTGATCCTTATTTCCGGAAAACTTGGAAGTTGTGCAACTTTCAAGACCTTCTTCTGGTACATTGAAGAGTGTTTTGGCCAATTTTCAGAAAGATCCCAACCACACAGTAAAATGACCTTCCCTGTAAGTAAGGGAAATTTTATTCAAGTTTGAAAATGAAATTTTTGATTTTTTTTTATGAAATGTCGAACTTTTTCTGTGAAACTTGTCCTAAGATGAATTTTCTCGCAACGAGAATGAAATGAGCTCAAGAAATTTTGAAATCTGAGTTTTAAAAATACCTTGAAATTTGGTGATCTCAAAGAGAAAATCGTGTTTAAGATCATGGATCTCACAAAAAGCGGAAGTTTCGGTTGAGACAAGAAAAAAAAAGGCTAACACATGTTAAGAGAGGAAACTGAACGGAGTCTGCACTAGCAGCATCCGGCGTTGATCCTCCGGTGCCAATTGTCATCAGCCGTTTTTATGTCCTTCGGCTGCGGTCGATTTGTCTCTTTGAGAGGCTCGTTTCGCAAGCCACCACCCATCATCAACCTATCACAACGCACGGCTCATCAAAACCGATCACTTCTTGTCATCGCCGAAGCTTTCCTTCACGTTTTGCCTTGTTTTTCGTTTGTATTTGCACAAGTCTTCCTTGTTCAATCCGTAGTCGTGTACAATCCGTTCCTTGCCTTCATAACATCTAAGATTATTTATTTTTCGTGCCCATTTCATAGGATCAAGAGTTTTTAAGTAATATTACCGAGCAGGAAGGCTTTTTTTTAATCTTTTTTGATCCCAGTGTCTTCGATGCTCAAAAACCTAATCAAATAGAAATTTTCAATTAGGTTTTTTTATTCCTGGAAAGATTTTTTTGAAAAAAATCCAATTTTTTTCTATTTTTCAACTCTCTAAACGCCCGAATGTGTAGGTTTGCCATGAGATTAGCTTTTTTGGCTTCAAACCTTTAAAAAATTCACACAAGTAGCAATCGTTTTTTAGATTTCCTGTCCCATCAATAATTTTTCCTTAATTCAGGAGATTTGCTTGGAAAATTTGAGTTTTTTCAAATCAATTATCATTTTTTATTATTATGATCAAAAAAACACTTTATATATAACTACTATTTTTTTCTATTTTTCTCGAATTTTTGAAAAACCATTTTTTAGCGATATCCGAGTTTTTTTCAAAAAAACTCGCACAAGAAATTATGAGTTCATAAAGCAATTTGACTTTGAAATATTCGAACTATGTTTTTCTTTCCAATTCGAAAAAAACATTTTTAATCATACGACCATTTTTTTGTGATTAGATTTCAATACCATTAGCAAATCTTATTTCAAAAATCAGTCAGACGAGCTTTAAAATAAGCATGAAAGTTTTGGTGAGAAAAAAAAATGGATATTCACTCCCTTTTTTGTATAGAGCCTATTGAAGGCGAAACTGAAACTTCTGCCGCAGAAACATGGTTCTTTTCACACGCGGATCGTGTTGCCGTCTACTTTCCCGCAACACCGAATTCGGTGTGTCGGCTCAAAGGCAAACAGGCTCTCCTCCCACCAGCTACTATCCCCTTCTCATTATTCTCCTGAATTTACTTTCATTTCGCTCGTTTCCCGTTTCAAAATGAAATTTCTTGAGAAATGGTTTTAGTGAGAGATCGAGATTGTCGACAGGCAATGACCCTATATGTCTTGAACATGGCAGACGCAGACGACAAATTAGGGAAAAGGTTGGTGTCAAAATTGAGATTGGAGCAATTTGAAACCGGAAGATTGTACTTCACGAACGATATCTCGAAATCTCACTTTTCATTATTTTTCAAAAGAGTGGGGAAATTATTTAAAACGGTTTTGCTGAATTCCTCAGTCATACTAGGCTCAGATTAACCCTCCATCGTTTTTTGTATTAGCTGAGTTAAACAACCTGAGTTAGCTGAGAAAAAAAAAGTGTTGTTGACTTATTAGAATGAAAAACTTCTTCAAAGTTTGGTATAGAAACGGTAAAATAACTAAAACGTCGATTTAGACGCCTGTTTGTGTACTTTTTTTTATCACGTTTTTAAATATGAAGGCAAAATCGCAGTATAGTCGAATCACGGATAACTTGAGACGAAAAAAGGCGTGGCCTGTCTGCGCTCTCCGCCAACCAGGCACCTTTTCTTATCGTGACAGGACCTTTTTTTCGAAGCCAGCCGTGTGTCAACTATACACGGAGCTCGTTTGCGCGCCGCGTTTCAAAGGCTACCCGTTTTTGCCTCTTTGTTTCAAAAACTCTGATCTATAAGTATACGATATTTGGATTAAAAAAATTGACAAACTTGCGCTGAAAGGGCTAACAAATATATAACTGCTGAAATTATTTTTCAAGCTTTCGTCAAAATCAAAGAATCGCATATGAACGAAATGAAGAAAGAGATTGTTTCAAACATGAATTCGAAGTTCACCAATAGTAAACAATGAAGGACCACTGTTCACAAAATATCAAAACTACTGTTTCTGTCTGTGATTCGGTTCTTTAGAACTTCTAAAGCTATGAAGTGTGTCGAGCTTGTCACCGATGTGGGCTCAGGCCACGCCCCACCATTTTCACGCACTCCAACCAGCTATTGTGAATGGACTATAAGCGTGAAGGTGGTGATAAACCAAAGAGGAATAGAAAATGCATCATAACTATGCGGTCGCCCTCGGCAACGTCGTCCGACGCTTTTGTCCCACAGCCTCATCTCAAACGTAATTTAAATTCGGAATTGTGAATACTCTTTTTCGAATCATCAAGATATGTTCCTAACTTGCCGTGTTCCTTTATCGTTTTATTTAACCTCACTGAGAAATTATTGCACTAGGAGATCGAAGAACGCCCGGCTCCCAGATTTTTTCAAGCTTTTCATTCCATTTTTTATATATTTTGGTTTAAAATTTTGCTGTTCGAAAAAGTTATAGGGTTCATCTTAATCCAAAAATTTGCAACGTTTGATTTTGAGTGGATGATTAAAAAAACAAAAATCTCAGCGTCTGATCGGCTGTGCCGATACCGCTGTTGCTGAAACATGCAAATGGCTATAAAGTGGTCCCTGAGGACTTTTAGAGTTCATTCCAGCACCGAGCGTTCAAAAGAAAATGATCCATCTTATTCTTTTGCTTTTGTTCTCCGTTTTTCGATTTTTCTCTGTCTCCTCATCTGTCTTTCACCTCCGGCGCTGAGGGCGTCGCTTTCGTGCCTATCTAGGCTCTCAACCGAAAAGCTCCAATTTGTGACTATGCCTATCTTTATTTTGGTTACGTCAAATTTCAATATTGTTGTTCATTTTTCCAAGCTTTTGAGAGGCACACTTTTTGGTTGCGATGAATCGTGTGCTCTCTAATAGAAGTTATCGGAGCTCATGCCTTGGGAAAGTTCTGAAAATGGAAAATATCTCAATTTAGTTTGAATTACAGTAGAAAAATGACAGTAGACTCTCGGAGAAACTTTTCATTTTGAAATATGTTTTCGTCTAAAGTCTCAAAGTTTCAAAGAGCTTGAATAATCAATTATATCCCCGAAAAATTCCAGCATCGTGTAAAAACTTTTTAGAATGGTCAGAATAGACTTGTTTTAACTTTTCAAAAACTATTTTTTTACACCGAAATTCCTGACTCCTCCGTTTTCCTACCAAATTTTCAATTTTAATCAGGTTTATTACAATGTTTTGACAGTAATTGTGAGTTCAATTACCAGAAGTAGAAATCAAATTAGCGCGCGGGAAATATAAGAAAATGGGCAAATGATGTTTCTCAAGAACTTCTATAGGCACTCGGCTGCTTCTTGAGATTCGGTCCGATTTTTCTATCCCTAGATTTTACTATTGGAATAGCGTGGCGACGCTTTTTGCAGTTTTACGCATTTCTTTCAAATCAGAAAATAGTTAACTCGTTTACGGACACCAAAGATGTTTGCTTTAAATTTTTTTTTTGAATTTCTCGTGCTTAATTTGAAGAGAGGGAAAAGAAAAAAAATTCTTCACATTAAGGAGCACTTCAATGAGTTTCCCCTTAAAATTTTAAGTGGATTATTGTCACCACGGAGCTGAAAAGGCTCTTCTAATTGTGCTATTCGTACGCGCGCGTAGTGGGGCCACAATGCAGCTGAAATTGGCAGAAGCCCGGCTTTTTGGCTGCAAAAACGAGCCTTCTCTATTCATTTTTCTTTTGTCCTTGCATAACTTCTGATCCAGGTGAATGCCAAAAAAACTTCTCAAAATTCAACAACCCACTATTTCATAACAATAGCTTGTTGTTAATTATTTAGTATTTGACGTGGGTGGAGAACATTCAGGTTTTCTGTGCGTTTTGAAACGATTTATTTCTTCATATTTTGAAAAGTGAGTTAGAAGCTTGAAAACCGTAATTATGGATGTAAATTTTTTGGAAAATGTTGACTGAATCGTTGAAAGAAAAAGTTTTGCTTTCGAGTCACTGTTAGAAAAAAAGTTATTAAAAATATGAATTTTTTGAAAATCGATTTTGGAATTGGTTCTCTTTGATCCACATGAACATCTATGCTCTTATCGTTTTTCAAAGTTTCATCGCGATCTTTTTGATTTTTAATACAAAAATTTAAGAAAAGAGAAAAAAACCTTCTGAAGGATAAAACCAAAAAGAAAAAAAGCTCTTTAACCGGTTCACTTTCTCAATTCACGCAAGTTGGTGGGAATCTTTTGAAAAAAAGAAAAACCGGAAAAGGAAAGATAAAAAAACTTGCTCTTATATATTCAATTTTTTTAGAAGGATAGTGTAGGAATTTTTTCAAGAATTTGTGAACAAGTTTTGAAACTTCTTGATTTTGAAAACAGGAAAACCTCAAACAGTCTGAAAAATTTTGCGTCGGATCAACTTCATAGTAGATAAAAAAGCTCACAAGAAAAGTCATCTTACTTTGCGGTTGGGAATTTTCTGGAAATTAGTCAAAACATCTCTTGAAGCACCAAGTTGAGCTCCTAAAAATATTAACATGCAAAACTTCCTAGTTTTCAAGAAATAAAGACTCAAAGCCTCAAAAATGACCTTTTTGACAAACTTTGAAGCTTTTATTTGACTTTGGTGTTCTCTCACAAAAACTAGGAAGTTGTGCGCGATCAGACTCTCAGGAGTGTTCTGACCAATTTTCAGAAGATTCCCAACCACAGAGTCAAATGACCTTCCTTGACCGGGAAAGATCCAAAAAAGTCAGCAAAAAAAATTCAAAAAAAATGTTTTCGCACCGAGATCTTTTTGAAGCTCTTCGAAGAAATTCAGCAAGCTTTTGTGAATCAAAAATATGTGCAACTCGAAAGCCTACATGATGAGAAGAGACGGAGAAGATTATTTGGCGATAGTACTCATGAACGTCTCGTAAGTAACATGGCGCGAGGCAATTTCAATCGTATTTTGATGTGGATCGGCGTCTTGCCGTTGAGTCCAAATGTGATACAAATGCCTAGAAATGGCATTTGGGTTGCGCGCGGATGTGGCGCGCGGGCCTTCGGAGGGAGCGAGGCGGATGAATCTTGTTTTGATGAGTTGAGCACGTAGACGAAATCGCATCGTCGTCCCTTCCACGCGCGTTTTCGGACATCAGTTTTTGGCATCTCTTCCCATCACTCTTTATTTCAATTTGCGCCTCGGCTCCTTTTTTTTTGTAGTTACCCGTTTTGCTCTCTGTTGTTGACGGAGCTCGAGTAACGAATGCAATCAAATTTTCGCATTGTCTTCATTTCTGCGACTTCTCCTTTTATTCCAGTTTCTTTTCTTGAATCATTCTTCGCTTGTTTGAAACAATACTTAACGAGGTTTTTATGTTATTAGCTGAATTCATGAAATCCTCGGTTTTTTTTTTCGTAGTCGTTTTTGATTCATGCTAGCGACGATGAGCTTCAGCACTGCTTTGGTTCATTTTCTTGAAGAAGAAGTCATTGGGTTTGGTTCAAAAAAAATTTTTTTATAGATTTTTAAAAAACGCACAGGTGATTGAAATAGGTGATTAGTTCACACGTGGACAGGATGATCACGAAAAATTTTTTTGTGGGAATCTGAAAATGTCAATTCTCAAGGTCATTTTTGAGACCAGAACAATTTAGTTAAAAAAATTCAAATTAAAAAAATCCGTTTTTGATAAACACAGAGCTTCGGGAGGAGACTTTCTGAGGAAACTTTTGATACCCTATCTGATGAAAAAAATGTATAACTTTGGCAATGTGGCCCAGTAACCCCTTTTAAATCAGCTGATCGTGATTTTTTTATTTTTGTTGAAGAGAAGTTCAGGTTAATTTTATTTCTTGAAAGACAACGATTTTTTAGCCATTTTTCATTTCTTATCAATGTACTCTTCTCGCAATCTCATTTCCCGTTTCATTCTCCTTATTATAGAAGACGGAAGGAATTAACAATCAAAAATAGAGCGTGTTAGTTTAACCTCGCCGGATGGACTACTTCAGGCCGGTACAAGACTACGGGTGAGGATCTTTCGATTATCATATACCAGCTTTTCAAGATGTAAAAATCTCTCTTACTCATCAAAAAATCCCTTCTCGACTGATTATTTATCACCTTCTTTTTGCTTTTGAGAATCAAGAAGTTCCGCTTTTATGACAAAAATCAAAATGCTCACGAAAACCCATCAGAAGAATACAATCTCAAAAATAACGTTGTTTGGAGCGTCGCGGCCGCGTTGCGGTCGGAATGGTCTTTAACAGTTCAACGGTGACATTTCACGATGGAGCGATTCAAATACATTTTTCTCACAATAGGACGACGTTGTGCAAAAAGATCGTCAATAAATACTACATGGGAAAATTCATCATTAAACCTAAGACTAATGAAAAGGTAATCATGTTTGTTTTAAAGGTACAGAACAGCTCAAAAGTCGAGAATTTTTTCGTTTTCTAAGATAAATGTTCGTTGGAGTGAAGAAATTTTCTTTGAGTTTATTCTCGGCTTCTTTCTCTCCAACTTAACATTCGCGGATCGGGATAAGTTCCTCCTCTGTGTTGCTAGTTTGATCTTTTGCTCGAGAGGATCAAAAATGGGGAAGAATTTTTCATCATGTTTATTCATCCGTTTAGCTCAAAATTTGCATTTGTCTTCTTGAACAAAATTCAAACTTTTACTTTTTCAGTGCATATTAGATAAAATAATATTTTCACAAAAATCTTGTTTTTTTACAAAAAGAATAAAAAAATCACACTTTATTCGCCAGTCTTTGGGCTGTTTTTCAACAAAGTGTTGTATAAATTAATTATAAGCAAGATTTATACTTTTTTTACTGTTTACAGCCTTCAGAAAAATGAATAGAAGATGAAATCAGTCAACTCCGGAGGTTTCACACCCACTGACCTTGCAAGCTAATTGAACTTGCCTCTCAAAAAAAAAGAGGTTTCACAAAGTGTTTGACCAGCTTTTCTCTCAGATTTGAGGTGAGATATTGACTTAACTGTCGGCGGTCACACACCTTACCAAACAGGTGAGTGTGAAAAGTGGATAAGCCGAGCCGCACTTGAGGGGCGGCGGTGCAGAACTGGGCAATCTGATGCCGCTGCACTGGCATCAATTATTCTTTCGGCAAGGCTTCGTAACGAGCCGAAATTAGTCAGAATACACACTCGGATCGCAGCTCCTTTATTCTGGCTCAATGTTTTTCCGTTACGTCGTTGTCGGATTCTCCAGAAAAGACGGCTTTTCGAAGACACTTCAAACCTTTTCCCAACTTCCTTTCCTCTCTTTCAAGAGTCCAGTTAATCCAATTTCCTTCTCTTTGTTCAACTTTCAAGTTGCTTGATTACCACACAAGTTGACACAAATTAGTTTTTTCTTTGATTGAAAAAAAAAATCATTTGTAGAATACAATGAACTGTTCACGTCGAAATTTTATTTTTTTTCAGTTTTGCTTCCATTATTTTTGTATTTTTAATCATAACGGAAGCTTTCCAGAAACATTTTGAACTTTTTCTCTGATTTAAAAAATGGTTGGGATAGGTTCCATAACTAAAAATAATGCTCCAAAAATTGAGCCCTTTTGAATCAAATATATCTGATTAGTTTGCAATATTTTTTCTTGGCCATTAAAACAAATTTTCAAAAAAAAAGTCTGTATCTCAGAAAAAAAGCCTTCATTGTTGATATTTATAAGACTTATCGTCTCGCTCAATTTTTTTGAAGCTCAAGAAAATGAGAATAGTTGTGAAGCAGGAAAATGAAGTAGTCACATTACTTAGAAACTTGTGAAACAGGAACCATAACTTGAAATTCAGATGCATTATTTTTTTCGTTACTTGTTTTCAATTTTTATCTTTTTGAAACATAATTAATATCAATTTTGAAATGAAATATTAATTTTTTCAGAAATAAAAAATCAGTCTTACCGTCTTAAAATATTTGTTTCCTTCAATTTTTTGGAGCGAAAACGTGATTTTCAGTTTCTAGCATGAGTTGGCAGGTCATGAAATCCATCCAGAAAACGGGCTCTTCTTTTCATCTCTTGGGGAATAACACATAATATGCGATCATATTTCGCTACAAGGCTCGGCTATCCTCTAAGCTGTGTGAAAATGTTATAGAATAGTTCCTGTTCAAAAAACATGAAATGATATCTTCTGATCTTTCAAGCAGCTTTCTGAAAGGAGAAACGCTTTCTGTAGGTTTCTGACTTTAGAAAATCCAATTTAGAAGGTTTTTAATGGTTGAAATTTATGAGAAACTTAGCTCTATAGTCACAAAATGTGGTGGAAAAAAATAAATCTTTTTTTTTGGTATTAATGTATAAAAAATTATCTGGATCAAAATTTTTCAGTTCATTTGTCACTCTTTTTGAACTTGGTTTTGGATATTCTTTCAAATTTTTTCAATTTTATCGAAGTAAAAGGCTTTTTCCTTTTTTGATACGCCTGGAAGCTCTAAAGATACAATCATAGGTCAGTATTTTTGCAAATGAGCTGTTGCTTCACTTTTTCTCAACCTCGAAAGGGATCAGCCATATCCGAGCTTGTTTTTTCTTCTTGTAAACATTGGAGAAAAGATGGCTCGTGTTGAATGTTGTAGCTCCCTCCTGACATTGTAAGAAGCTCAGGACAGAGCTCCCAGGCGTCGCCAGGCGTTTCGAGCCGGCTGCGACCGCAGCTGAGAAACGGGCTCTTGCTCGGAGAAGTAGACACGCTCGAAATTTGAGAATAAATGAGCAATAGACCGCGCAAAAACAAGAAGAACCAGAGAGACGCGTTTGCGCACAGAATAGTAGGAAAACAGCAGTCGTCAATGTGTTGTATATTTCAAGTACCTAGCCGTCTCAAACTGATTTTTTTTTTCTTCATTTTTATGATATCTTCTTCATCATTCTTACCGTTTTATTGCCGAGTCTTTAAAATATCTGGATCCAAACCGCCCCTCGATTCTCCAACATGTGCCAGAATAAAGAAGCTCTCCGCAAGCTTGATTGAACCAATAACTCTTTGCTTCGATGGTGTTTCTCCTACTTCTTGTTCCTCTCAGTTTTTTCTTTCACTTCCCAAGTTTTTTACTCTACTTTCTTTTGTGATCTGATCATAATATCATCTAAAGATGCTCCAAACACCGGAAATAGAGAAGTCGAAAGGGGTTATGCAAGCGATATTGTACGATGTCATCGAGAAGAGGTGGGTTGGTAAAATAAATCTCTCATATTCCGAAAGATGGTTTTGAAAGCCAGGGTCTATACTTGTTACTTATTCTTTTCAAATTCGTGGGAACTTGGAGAAAGGAGAATATTTTCTTGCTGGGAGAATTGGGTCTTCGCTAATTCAGCTTGATTGAAGAAGTTGAGCAAATTAGTCTTTTTTTTTACTTTTGAGGTCGTTTTTATTGAGTTCATTAGCAGAATCGAGAAAGTTACCAAAAAATTTTTCACGTATTATCTTATTGATAATGAATCTATGAACTCAATTTTTTTGTACTTGATATGATTTTAAATTTAAATATGGAATGCAAGTCAGTTTCTACTTTTTTTCGTGATTTTTCAGAAGAAAAAAACTGTATATTTAAAGAATGCTTCAATAATTCTTATTGAGTTGGTTGTTGAAAATAGAGTTTGAAATGTGCTTTTGTGTGAATAAATACTGAATAAAATTAAGAAACAAAGTTAAACAGTCTTAAAAATCTACTACGCGAAATGGTTTATTTGACTGAAATTGCTGTAATTGTGAAAGATATGAAAGGGGTAGAGTTTAGTATGAAAAAAAATCTTGGCAGGTTTCAAAACTGAACTTCTGATATTTTCAAGCAGAATCTCGAAAGTTCACAAAATTATTAGGAAGTCACTTATTTCGAAAAAAGAAGGGGAGTTTTTGAACAGAGTTTTTCCGAGAAAGTTCTTCAAATTTTCCATATTCAGCGAATCGTACAAGTTCATTCGGATGGCCGACGACCTGCACGATGTGGCGCGATACCTCAACGACATGCGGATCTGCTTCATTGCCCTCACAATCACGGGCTACGTCGTTCTCATCATCTACTTGTTCGTCTTCTGCGTGCGGCGAAGTCGGCGGAACGCGGCGCCTCGTCGCCGCAATTGGGACTATCAAGTGGGTGCTTCTCATCTCGAAACCATCCAATTATTTCGTCTAGTTGGAGAGCCAACGTGACGTCAGTGCGCAGCAAAGTGGAGACGACATGCTCACCACCGTACGCTCCGACACCAACAGCAGCTACATGGGTCGGAATCACCACAGGTACGCCTTTCCCTTCTTTGAAATTGGTCTGAAATCAAGACGTCTTGAAGTCTTTCTAACTAGAGAGGGTTTCTATTTTCTGTTAGAACTTCTTTAAACTTGGTCAAAACACTCTCAAATTGTTATTATTACACTCTTTGATTCATCAGGTGAATATTCTGAGTCTCCAACTTTTTCGGAAAAAAGACACTTATAATTCAAGGATACCTATCTAAATACGTTTAAATATGCAACACATTTCTTAAGACGTACTTTTTTTCGAAACTAGGATGTTGCACAGCTTGAGAGTTTCAGTATCAAATATGTAAAAATCATTTTTCTAGTCAGCAAAGTTTCACCTAAATTCAAAAAAAAACATCTTTGGTAATACTATTGAACGAAAAAAAATGGAATGACTTGAGAATATTTTTAGTGGCCACTATAGGGCTTTGACGTTTTAGTGGACTTTGTAGTGGTCAAATTAGTGGCCACTTAAGGGGTTAAAAATTAGTGGCCACTATAGAGGTTTAAGTGCTACTACTAGATCACTAAAAAAATCTTTTGTTGATAAATTTTTTTCAACCTGCAAAATGTATATTATTGCATTTTTTTCTCCCATCATAGTTTCTTTTTTTGTGATTTTAGTTCAGACTTTTTTTCACGCCATGAGTTTTTTTATGATCAATCAACTCGCACAGTTCAAAAAAACATTTTTAATAACTCTTATTCAAATTTCTTATAAATCATGCTTTTCAAATACCAGTTTTTGGATTCACTTGCCAAATTTCTGTGAATATTATAAAGTTAGAATGACCAAAAGCACAAGCAGTGATTTAAAAAAAATATTCCTCCAAGTTATGCAAAAATAAATAAATATTTGTAGAATTCGACGGCAGGAAAAGGTGATTCATGTGATCGCTAACCACTCGCTTTGTTCTTGCCTTCTTTAACCACTCGCTCAGTTTAGCTCACTAGTTTTGCTGCACTTTCTAGATCTTTTCATAACATTTTCCAGCGTTTCACTGATTCTTCAAAACTATTGCTACTGCTTAACAAGCTTTAAGAACTATCCAATTGCACATGCATGCCGAAGAAGTTCGGTGCTATTTCCGTTTCACCTCAGTTTCAGTAGCCCAAACGAAAAAAATAGAGACTACGAGAAGAATGAATGTTGACGTTTCAGCAGAGCGCATCAGAACACGGCGCCAACTTTCATGCGACACGGGCACATGAACCATCAGCAAACGACACGGCTGGTGGCGGACAACGATGGGTCAGCGGTAAGTAGCCCGGTGCACGGCAAAGTTGATTTTCGCAGCTAATTTCTTCAATTTTTGAGCCAAATCAAAAACAGGCCGATCAAGTTAACTTTTCCGAAACTTGCAAATGTGGATTTATATACACTGCGGTTACTACTCTCTTTATTTGAAGAAAAGTTCCTTAAAGCTCAATGTTTGGACCAATTCTCTTTTGAAACTAGGTCATAGTGCAATTTGTGTTATTTAAGAACTTACAGTAGAATTTTTTCAGCGATTTTCTTTCCAGAAACTTCAGAAAAGTGGAGTGCCTTTTTTTAAAATCAGAAAACACTCGATTGAGGTTCGAAAAACTTTAACAGCCAAGTTGAGAAAATTAGATAGATAATCTAATTCCTATCTAGTAGTCATTTTTCAAATTTTTATTACATTCATTGGTCGACGAGAAAAAAAATGACTTCATACCAATCCTAGCGACATTAGAAGAAATATTTATATTCAAACAGGCTTTTTCGGTAGATTTGAATATGTAAATAAATTTTCACTACTATATTGAAAAAATGGACTTTTTTTGGCTGCATATCAATTTGCCGTGCACTTTACTTTCCTTCTATTGAAGTTCAAATACGAATCTGAAACAGAAAAGACGTTCAGGTGAAACACCAAATCCCTCACATCACAACGGAAGCTCCAGCTGAAGAAAAAGCGAAAGTTCCGCAGTTAGTCAAAGATTCGATTGATTCTTAACTAATTGTCTTTTCTCTGAAGCAGTAGAGGTCGTTGTAACCTGTCGAAGTTGTCGAAAAGCCCGAATTTCGTCCTATAATTGAATTTTTCTTTTCTGAAGGCTTTTTGATGGCTTCGATGGCGTCCTTCTCTTATTTCAAAGCATATAAAAGTGTGGTAGCTCTTCGCTGAAAATCTCACTTAAATTATCATGACTTAACTTCGTGTGCAATCATTTTGCCCATTCCGAGCATTACGGTAATTTTTTTCAGCCATATTACTGCATTTATCAGCATCACTGTAGCTTTGAACTGTTGTTTCTACTCATCATTTCAAATCGAAGCTCATACTGTATTTGTTCCTTCAACTTCCCTAAAGTCTTACACTATGAAAACCCTTTTGAGCGGGTACAAATTCTGTAAGATGAATTTCGCAACTTAGAATCTTTCATTTTCTTTTTGTTTGATAGAAGTTTGCCGTGTCTGTTGTCATTGACATGTTGGTTTTCAACCTTACCTTGGACTTGTCATATTTTATTGTGTATCCCGATGCTTTCTCACTTTTTGGAATGAGATTTTTGAATTAGGAAAATTTATAAATTGAAATAAAATAACTAAGCACATTCTCAATTACAACTTTTTTTCAAATATTAACACTATGTGCCTTAATAAAGAAATCATTAAACGGTGTTCGAGTTGTTTAGAAAGGGGTTACTGGGCGAGAAGCGATGTATCTCTTGATGTTGGGGTGATTGAAGACGCGTTGAATTTGAGCCTGCACAATGACTTTTTCATTTGCGTGAAACTTGAAACAGTAAATACCCGAATGTGGGGATAAGCGTCAAGCGCGTCAGGACTTCCGTATTCGATGAATTTGGAGAACACCTCGGCAGAGAATACGTCAACCCATGTTTCCTAAATAAATCTTTTTCAATATTTGATGATTTTTAGTAATTTTGCTTCATTGAGAATCAACACTTTTCTCAATTCGTTTTTCCTGACCTCGGCGTAAAAAAAAAGATATGAACTCTTCGAAATTCATACGACAGTTCTTTAACGTGAGTTTCCCTATGGTTCAATTCTTATCAACTCTTTTTGTGAGCTGATAAGTTGTACAACTATCGTAACGGCCCAAAACATTTTTCCGTGTCTGTGATCTTTCGTTCAATCAAACTATTTTGTCAATGTTGTACCGCACTCATAAAGAATAGTAATCCGGAAAAAAATCGACTTTTAAAAGAACTTTCAAGAAACTAACGCGATCTCCAATGAAAAGACCGTTGTTTCCATTTTCGACCAGGAACTTCTCAATGATTGGAGCGTACTTCTCAAGATCCGGCACGACGTGTTCTTTATAATATTGATTCTAAAAAAATATTTTTTTATTTTTTGATTTTTTTGTTGAGATGAACCTTATCGGCAGTGATCATACCGAGCAGAACCCTTCCAAATTTGCCGGCTCCTTCAGTGTTCGAGAACTCTTGAACAACCTCGGCAATCATATCCAGCTTTGCGCATTCGATAGCGTTAGCGCCTGCTCGACCTGAACTTTTCCTTCAGTTCGTAGTTTGCTTTCTTCATTCTCACGTTGTTGATGTCCGAGAAAACGCAGAATCGCTGGAGATTGAGCGAGTTTCACGCCGTCAACTTCGAGCACTGGAATTTGTCCAAGAGGCATGCCTGAAATCAGTTTTCTAATAGAATTCATAATTTCTCCCTCACTGGATTTGTAAGAAGGCCATTGCTCTAGCGAAATACGCTCATCGGCGAAAGGCTGGTTGTCGAGATGGAACAAAAGTCTGATAGGCTCTCCTCGTCCTCGAACGGGGAAGTAGTAGAGAGTGTACTTGTGCATCTCTTCCTCAAAAAAATCTATTTAAAACTTCAGAAAAAGTTACTTTATGGAAAACTGAGAAGTTTTTTTGTTGAAATTCGAGACATAAAAAAATGTTAACCAAAAAGTATTATTGATTTATCGACAAGAGCCGCATCTGAAAATTTAGTTGGACATTCTCTGGAATCTAGACAAAAACTATTCAAATTAAGGTACAAGCTTTCAAAAAAAAAAACAAAAAACGTCTGAGGTTTCAAATTGAAGCCTATTTTTTTATTTTTTGTTCATTACATCTAAAAATGTTTTCCAACAAAATTAATCAGAAATGAAGTAAAAGTTGAGATTTGAATAGTCTGAACTTTTTTGCAAGGACTTGAGGCTTCCCTTGAAAAATCTGGGTTTTGTAATGAAAATTTTGACTTGTTTAGGTACATAACGAAGTCGTCAATAACTTCTATGAAAATGGAAAACTTATGAATAATGACCTCTCTTGTAAGAGACAGACAGCTAACTGAGAATAGAAAACCTTAAATAGTGTAGTTGGAAATGTGTATGATGATAAATGGAAAGATAAGAAATGTGCGAAACGTGTCATTGAGATAGAAGCAATCGTAAAGAGCAAAGAAATCGAAGGGAGAAATAAGCTGCTCAAGCTTTTGAACACTTTCTAGGGCCTTTCGTTGTCATCAAAACACACAAGACCAAAACTCTTTTGATATGACAAATATTAAAAATACCTGGGTTTCCATTGAATTTCACTGTCAAAAAGTTGTCGACCAGTGTATTTGTGTGCGTGCGGCAGCGATTAAATTGCTCAGCGGACCGCATTAAAATACGTGATTTAAATTTTAAATTGGGGAATCGCAAAAAACGTGTTGTTGTCTTTATCGGATCTGTGATCATGTTGAACCATCGTTCACTGCAAAACATTTACAGATAGATAGTTAATATTGAAGTCTCCTTTCGAAAAAGCATCAAATTTTATTAATGAATGTGATAAAATTGAAAAGTTTTTTTTAACACAGTTTCATCTCGGCGAAAGTTACGTACTCATTCGATTTTTCTCTCCCTTTTTCTGTTATTTTTTTCGCCTCGAAAGGCGAACATCAAGTATGACTGCAGAACGTTGAAGATCAATGACATTCGGAGAACCGATCTCTGGCCAACTTTTTCCAGAGTCCTTATATGACCACTTTCTTCGTTCTGTGTGAAAAATGCAGCGCCCCAAGCGGTGTTCAAATACTTCAGTGCAGATAAAGATCAGGTTCGAGAACAAAAACAAATTACTCACCGGTCCGCGCGGCCTCGCCACCTGTTTCTTTCGCTCATTAACCACCAACGAGATCCAGCTTTGGGTTTGAGAAGTCCCCGGCAACGCAATCATTTATCCATTGTGGCGCAACATCATCAGAAAAACAAAGACTGCTTAAAAATACGTTCCCGATCGGCGAGTCGGAAAAACTTGATAAAATTGCGGAAACGGTGGGAAACAAAAAAAAAGTTAAGAGACGGCGTGAAAATTGAAAGAAGATAAAAATAAAAAAAGTTGTCTGTCGCTTTTGGAATCCTCTCAGAGAAGAACGGGAGCGAAAATTTCGAAAACATACGGTTATTAAAAAATTAATAGGGTTTGAAACAGAAATATTTCAATCAAAATTTGGCAAGTAACGTCAAACGGTCGACTTTAAAACGTACTGAAGTTACTAGTTTAGAAAAAAATGCAATAAAAAAGCGAAGGAACTGTTTACACAATTAATTTGCCTTTTCACGCAAAATTGCAGACTCAAATCTTCAATGAAATGCAAATATAACGACTTTCCGCTTAAAGAAACATATGAAAAAAAACGAATCAAAAAAGCTTTCAATTCAAAAAATCGTTTGTTTTGAAAATCCGTCAACAATTTGAAATCAATATTCCTCGAATCTGTTCAGCCTTAATAAAGGTTAACTTCAAAAAAAACAAGAGAAAAAGCTTTAGAGAGCAAAAAGGACTGGCTGAGCTATTAGAGGTGCTAAACAATTTCAATGCAAAACAATAATTAAAATGTTTCCCGCAGTAGTTCAACTTTCCTTTTCAAAGTGAAATAGTTGTTCAAAATAGGACATCAAAATTATTGAAAATCGACCGTACGAAGTTCAAAAAAAGATACATCAAACCGAACAGAAAGCAAAACGGATGATTAATATTTTGTTCATCAAAAGACATGTTCGCAACAGACATTAGTTCCGAAAAAGGAATGACCCTCTTATTCCCGGAGATGACCTTTTCCTTCGATCATTAACAACACAGCTTCCTTTTTCATTTTTTCCTGTTTTTTTTTTCCGATTCCTTGCTTGCCGCTTATTCATAGTTGCTAGAAATGGACTGTACCTCTATTCAAACAGTCTCGGAGCAAAATAATTTTTTTTTCCGAAAAAAGGCAAAAATCAAAGAATCATTCACACGGAGGCCAGAAACTTTTTCTGTGTATCTTGAATCCGAGGCTCTCAATAACGGCAGTTTTTTTTTTGTTGTATGATCTGAGATCTCGATGACATACTTGAAATTTCTTCCCCTAATGTCCTCAAACAGAAAAATTTTTGCAAAAAAGCAAAAAAGAAGAAAGTGATGTTGTAATTGCCATTTTACAGATTCCGTTTCGAAAAATTTCTAATTTTGGTACATTGGAAGAACACAAAAAGATGAAAGACTATAACTGATATGTGAAACCGAAACCATAAATAACAATAAGCGTAAATGTCTTTGCAACTTTATGGATGGTTGATTTTATTCGCGATGTTTGGTCGATCCAAATCGAGATTGTTTCAAGACGTGTTTTGGATGACGCGTTCCGCTATCTCTCCGTATCTTCTGAAAGAAGTCGATGGCGCTCAGGAATTAGCCTTGCTTCTGCCCAGCAATTAATCTCGGAAAAGGTCCTTCACTACCATTGTTAAATACAAAAAAACGAACATTATTCTGTAGATGTCGCTATGAACTGGATAACTGCCTCGACGCCTTCATTGAACGAAAAAAAGTTTGTTTTATTTTTTTGTCCAGTTTTTTTAAATTTCATGAATTTTTTAGGGGAAAAACCAATTTGAATGAAAGTGGAAACCTCTTCAAATTATCAGTTATGGAGGAAACTTAAACAAAAAATCAGTTTGAGACAGTAATGAAAAATTTTTTAAATGTTTTCTGGAGCATCATTATTTGAAACCAGTCAAAAAAAATCAAATATTCTTGACGGTTTTAAAAAAAGAAAAGCAAAGTCGAAAAAGAACTTCCAAAGTCTCAACCTTTATTTTTAAATACTTTTTCATCTATTGAAAAAAATGGTTCAAAAAAATGTTTTTGTTTGAGGTTTCTTTACGCCTACAGCGTATCCTTTTCCCTTCGCGGAAGCGGATCTCGCTCAGTTCACATAATATGAGTGAACGTGATTGGCCTCGCATAAAAACTTCTGTTGGTGGCTTCTCATTTGCTTGATTCCCAACATAGAAAGAAAATTACTTAGTCTCGAGAACCAAATGGGATGGTCGAAAAAAGGTTGAACAAGGACCGCCCAGAATATCTCTCGGGTTGAATGGATTTCGAAAGAGGTGGGATCTCATGTTAGCCAAATTCTGATCAATTGCAGCTGCATCTGTCAATTGAGCTGGTCTTCTATTTATCTTCGACTTTTAATTTCTTGACGCCCTCTCTTTAATCAATTGGCAGACTTCATCAATTTTTTTCCAAAAGGTTTTTTACTGAGCAACTTTACTGTAATTGAGTTCTCAATGAGCGCCCTTCTGATAAAGTCAATCTGCGTTCTGAAAATTTCTGGAAACAGCTAGCAAGCTTTTCGATGAGCCTGTTGAGGATTTTGAAAGTATTCAACCATAGTTTTAAGCAGAATTTCTGAAATCGAAGAAAACAATGAGCATTTTGAGGCTCTTGTCCTTTTTTCTCATAACGAGAAAATTGTGCAAATTGAAATTTTCAGGTTTTTTGCAAGAGGCTAACAAAATTTCTGACCAAAAAAAGTTTATAACGCGATTTATTAAAGAAGGATCAACTTGGTAAGATTTTTTTGGGATCTCAGAAAAGTTCTGAAACCTTTTATTTTATTCGGTAATTCAGTAAAGTAATTCTTGCGATACAGTTTTTCTCAAAAAAAATTTATCCCCGTCTCTGAAAAATCAATCTATTTTTGTGTTTTTTTCTTCCAGACTTGAAACTGTCAAGTCACATAATGATAATAATAATAATAATAATAATAATTAACCAACGAAGGTTCTCAACAATATAAATAATTTCTTTGAGCTTCCCATCTGATCTATAAATTTTCAGAAAGCTTGTGAAAACGAAAAAGAAAAGGATTTTTTCAATCTCACTCTGATCAACGTGTGGATCTTTCTAAAATTTTGTACGTGTGTAATTGGTGCGTTGAACATCAAATAAAAGGAGTAATTAAACAATGCTAATTAAAAATGATCGTTTCGAAACACTTTAGTTGCCGATAAGCTACGCTTTCTTAAATGCTTGAGAATCGCGGACGAGAGGCATCCCAATGAAAAGGTGAAAGCTTTGGGCGGACTTGCCCTAAAAGGTTCCGATCCAAGAAAGAGGCGGTCCTAAAGCGCCAATAGCCATTGTCTCTTTCGTGACATCGGCAAATTATTTGCGCTTCCAAATATCTACCGATCCTCAGAAGCGATTCCATTTGGAATTTTTTTTTGATATTGTCATTTTGAACTTTGATTTTTTCGGTCACCGATTGAGTGTATAAATCGGTTCTGAGTTATCAAGTCATTTTTTGCAAGCTCAAGCTGAGATTTCATCAATCTGGAACAGGCCGAAAGAAAAATGATTCTGATTTTTCCTCTGAAATTCATACTATTTTCTGGTTTTTTTCAAAGTTTCTATGTCTCTCATTTTGCCTTATGTGAAGAAAGTTCTTTTGCTTTTTTGATACGTTTTAGTTAATGCCGTAACTTTTTTTTTCGCTCAGCCTTTTTTTCTTTCGAGAGATTTTTAAAGCGATTATCTTAAAAGAGAAGAGTTTTCGACTTGAAAATCCGGAAAATTTTCAAAACCGATTGAAAACTTTTTTATACTTTATCTAGAGAATTTCAATCGGTTCAACAGCTTTTCAGTATAAGGATCGGAAGCTTTCGTTTTATAAATTGAAGGCTGAACTTGTCAGAAAATAAGTCTACTCAAAGTTTTTCTGGCCAATTTTCAAAAAAATTTGTTCATGGATTCTTAGCCTTGTGTCCGAAATGTTGACCTCCATTAGCCTCCTCGTAAAAATCATGATTTATGAAGATCTTCCGCCCTCTTTCGGTGTCAAACAGCCTCATCAAAGGAGTCCCAGCGAACTTTATTCCAAATCTTACTGGAATCAATTTTCAACTTTCAGATGTACATTCCTGCTTTCATTGGAGCAACGTTGGCCTTGGTTCATTTATCCAGTCAGTGTGCAAGAACTGTTCCAGGAGACACTGCCACGACTCCTCCAACGTCAGTTACAACTGTTGCACCTGGAACAGGTAAACTTCATCAGAAATCCCAAAAAAATCAATTTGATTATTCTCATATCTAGGCTGTAAATCTTGCACGGATGCCACTCCCACGATTATTGCCGAAAGTGTTGGAACGAAACCGTTCACCAGTATGACAATCGACCCCTCTGGCACCTGTTCCATTTACCATTTCGTCTGCGATGGAAACGAACCCGGAGATGCTGTCATTATTTCGGTTTGTTGTTTTTAGTTCTCTGCTATTTTTTCTGCACGTCTTAGATCCTATTTTTTAAAAGTTTTTTTGAGGATCAATCACATATAGTTTTCAATTCAGAACAATGAAGCTTTATAGATCGAATCGAAGCTTTGATACTTCCTAAATTTCAGATGTAGAATCAAATCAAACAAAAAAATTGAAAAATTTTATTTTTTTCTGGTAGAGTTGAGAAGCTTCTTGAGCTATCATCTCAAGCGGAAAAATATCATTCTTAACGGTACTGAAACGCCAGAACTTGACTGAAACGCGAAAATCTTCTAATCTGAGAAGTTGAATCCTCGGATTCCGCGATTTTTTGTTGAACTCCAATCGTAGCAACACTCTCTCTCTTTTGTAGATTCCCAAAGCATTTCTTTCAGACCTTTAAAAAAAACTTCTCTAAAATAATAATGAGCAACAAGGAAGAACTTTCATAGTACAAAATTGTCATTCTGTTTTCTCAATATTTCCCAGAATTTTCTACTTTCTCTGAATTTAAGTCAATAATTTTCCTATCTTTAAGTTGTAGAGTTTAAACTTTGAATTTCTCAACCGATCACATTTTTACTTATCTCGTATGACTTTAAATTTAATTTCCGTACGAACCTCAAAGAAATAACCGAACCTTTTTTTTCAGTACAACCGTGACGCTGCTGGAACTGATCAGGGAAATGATAAGCTCGTAAGCGATCTTTTGTGTAACGATCAAGGACAATGGACAAAGAGTAACATTGTCATCACCGAGATTGAATGCCAATCTACATAAGCTCAAGAATCCCCCCCATGATTACGCCTTTCCTTTTTGAGGGTGCTCACCAAGTCGATGATCTTTCTTGTTACAACTTTTTTGAAATTTTCTCATTCATTATTTGTTTTTTTTTTCCTTTCTTTGTCTTTCATTTATTATACGGTGCTCAATCAACAATTGCAATAGACATTTTTTGCCAAGTTTGATCAATCGGTGTACTTTTTTCTATTTTTCCGGTTTCGTTTCCAAAATAAAAAAGATTTTCCAATCGATTAAGAAGGGCTTCGACCATGCGCCCATGCTTGAAAAAATTTCTTTGCATTGAAGTTAAATTTCGGCTAATTATCAACGAGAATTCTCCTTTCGGCCATGAGTCGACAGCGCTTGAATAGATTTTATAGCGGGAAAAAAAAAGTTTCTCAATTTTTGTCCCGATATTCTTGCGAAGAATTCTTTCCCCAGAAAACTTTTCCGATGGCTTCATGTGGTTGAATGAATCGAGGAGCATTCTGAAATTTGTTTAAAGTTTTATTTGAAAAAAGAGAAAAATTTAACCTGAAGGACTGGAGCGGAGCCTGAATTCGTTGGTTTATTTTCATCATTGTCCACTGGGAATGTTATGATGGTTTTCTTCTCAATGACCGGAGTAGGTTCTCTTTCGCAGGAGCACATGCATTGCCCATTGATTACTGCTCCTAGAAAATTCTTCAATGAAAAGATATAACTTATTTATATTTTTAAAAATAAAATAATAATTATTAAGATTTAAGGCAATCAATGATTCCGTGAAAAAAATCACCCGGTGTGTCGAACTTGAGCTTGCTTGGCTCAACTTGTTCCTGCAGTACAGCCTCATCAAGGCTCGTACTGATCTGCACATCGATTGTTTGCTTTTTGGCGGAGTTTTGAACGCATTCGAGCATGGATGAGCGCAAGTCCATGTCAAGCTGCTCACGAAGATTGCAAATGCAGGCGCGCAGCCGAGAAGCGTCGTTCATCCTACAGACCGTCTGCTGCCGGATGCTACAATTAATAATTCTAATACCTTTTCTGCATAGAAAAAGCTTATAGGATTTTTTTATAAACGTAATTTTTAACACTCAGAAATGTTTCAAAGTGATTGAATTTATGTTTCGAAGAGTTTATTAAAAAAAAGTTTTTTTTGTTTTATATCCTACTTTTTTTCTTTTTTTGCCTGACCACATACAGCAATTGTTCGCTATATCGAATCGATTCAAGCCTCTTTAAAATATTAATTTTTTTATATACCGTTTCAGGAAAAATTTCGAGCAAGAAGCATTTCAATGCAAAATTTTTTTCCTGATCAAGCAAAATTTTTTTCGTCTTTATGAAAAAAAGCTCTTTTTTTACTTACTTTTTCGATGCAAGATCTTAACGTATAGTCTCTGTTATAGACCAACTGCACGAATTGCTGGTTGAAGTTGAGCGTTTGTCGATAACACATCAACTCATCGTCGTCTATCATGCAAGAAGAGGAAATGTTGTTTCTGAAAATTGCGATAGAAGTGTTGGATTTCCTCAGAATCAAGCTGAACCAAAATATTTCCTCACCTTGTAGGATCGACTCCGGTTGAAATTCGACTAATTCCGCTTCCAAATATTCGCAGGATGCCTTCCTAAAATCCTCAGTTTTTTCAGCCTGAGCTTTCCACAAGAACTTTTCTACGGCAGATTCCAATGCTGTCTAAACTCGGACGTGTCGCGATCAGTTCTGGAAGGCCCCAAAGCTCGTCGGCAAGTTCGTAGCCGTAGATTGCCCTTGCATAGGTTGCATCATCTGGAAATCCAACTCAATCTTTTATTTTTGTTCTGAAAATACCATCTAAAATAGACGGACCAAACCGGCTTCTTCGCGGTACAAAAGGTGAGCTCACAAAGCATTGATCCAAAGAAGCTCTGTATTTCAGAGTTTTCTCAGCAAAGAACATCTCTTTGGATTTTTTGTGTCCGTCAGTATCTGTCCCTTCGGCGTCAAAGTGTACCGCGTCAAGTGATGCTGCGTAACATTCATCGAACGATTTTTTCTCTTCGTGGCAACTGAATAAAAATATGACTGATCGGAGTTTTGAAACTGAGTTCAAGAATTAGAAGTAGTAAGGTTTTACACTCTAAAACGAACCAGTCTAGGTTTTTTAAGATTTTCATGAAAACTATATTTCAACATTATTCTCATGAATAGGCGAAAATTTCCAAATTCACTCACGTCGGCCTCTTTAAATCAGAAATCATTTTCCATTCTAATCTTCCTCCTACTAAACTTTTTTCAGAAAAAAAGCTTCGAAAAAAACCCACGCAGCTCGTCGAAAACAGGATTTGAAAGCGCTCTGCTTCAACCTGTTGATCTCATTTGATTGATCAAAAACGAGGTCGAAGCATTTCTGAATTTGGTCGGCACAGTAAAACTGAGTGTTAACCTAAAGAGACTGTTGAGAATAAGAAAAAAACGAAATAAATACCAGAACGAAGAAATTGGTGATGAGTAAAAGGAAATGCATGGGTTTCCAAAATGAGGCCGTTTGTGTTTGGACAGTTTCACTATTCTGCCGCACACTTGAGACGAGATTCTCTTACCAATACCGGATGGAGCAAAATACGTAGTGAAAGTTGTATGAACATAAGCACTGAATCATGAGATTTCTTCCGCTTCTTGATGCATTTTTTTTTAAGTTAAAAGTCTTTCGCCCGTTGGGCGATGAAAGAAAAATTGTTCGAACCTGGAAACTGATAGCAGAATAAGCTTTAAAAATAACCGTGAAGCTGAGTTTTGACAAACTCGGAATCGGAATAAAACTTCCTATTCCCGAGACTTTCGTTCAGCGGTATACAGCAAAAATTTTTTTATATTTCTTCATAATAACATTTTCTGTTTTTTTCAAATCTGAAAACCCTATAACACTATCAATTTAGAAGCTTTAGAAATTTTCGTTTCAACCCGCTTCTTTTCAATGAAAATGATAAAAATGGTTTTGAACCAGAAAATTGCAAAAAAAAAGTTTCGAGTTTTCATGGCTCCCTTAGTTTCGAGAGACGAGGCCGACTTTCAAAAGGATAAACTTAACAAAACAAATTATTTCAATTTTTACACCTTTATTCAATTTTTCTAACAATTCAGTTCTATTTACAAAAGTTGTAGAGCAGACACAATGCGAGCCAAAAACTCAACCAAAAAACAAAACAACAGTTAACAGCACGAAAAATTGCTGCTGCGTTGCTCGACTTCATGATTTCCTAGTCGAACATTTCCTTCTCTAGCGGCGTAGGGTATCTCGTATTGTCCTCCAGTTTCCATTGAAACGGCCTGGAAATTATATCACATGGGAAGGGTAGAGATGAAATAAAGCAGAAGAAATCCTACCGTGTTGGCGAGCATCCTGAAAGATTCATCGATTCCAGTGTTGTCTTTGGCGGAAGTTTGAAAAGCTGCCAGAAAATCGTTGCTCGTTTGCATTTCACTTAATTTCTCGTCGGTCAGAGAGTTTTCAACGTCACACTGAAAAATAATGAAAAATGGGCTGTAACATGTCTTTTTTTTTTTTAAAAAAAAGTCTTTGCTGATCCAGATTTGTAGATTTTTCCTTTGAATATCTAATATTTTTTTCTGTTGCTGTAAACTGGCTTTTCCATTCATACATTCAAGTCAACATTCTTACGCAATGAAACGCATTTCAACAATGGAAGAAACCTTGTTAGCTAGGAGAATCGCAGGTACCGGAGTCCCATCAGCCAACGTGACCTTACTGTCCAAGTCGGCCTTCCATCTCAAAGCTCCTTCCCAGGTCCGCTCTCTAGAATTTCTGATTTTTTTTTCGGATTTTCACAGTAAAAAAACCTTGTTGAATCGAGGACAATGACGGCTGCATGGGCATCTTTGTAGTAAACACGGGTCATTACTCCATAGCGGTCTTGACCTGCAAATTCACTTGTTTGATCAGTTCAGTTTCTATTTGAACCCCAAAATTTCTCCGAAAGTTTACCTGAACTTTTTTTAACATTTTGAAGTATGTTAGGGAGAGTAAACACTTGATGAACTTTGTGGCAATTTCGTAAAACAAAAAGAACGGCTGAATAAATAGTACTACGCTGTTAAGAACATCGACAGTCTTTGTACTTTTCTAAAAATAAGCTATTAGCTCCAACCCCAGGTCGAATAATGATCCCATGGGTTCAAAAAACTGTTCAGTTCAAGCCGAGCCCTATACATATATTTTGCTGAGTCCAGAAAGTTCCTTTGGAGAAGTTTCGATCAATAAGGAGGAAATCTCTAAGCTTTACGAGGAGGGTCTTTTTTACTTTGCGGCTGGGATTTTCCTGAAAATCGGCCAGAAAGCTCCTGGATGTACCAGATAAAGATCCTGAAAGTCCCAACCTGCACAACTTCCTGGGTTTCCAGAAAAAAGGGCTTAAAGCCTCAAAATAGTCGGAGGGTTTTCTTTTGACTTTAAGCCGTCTTTTCTTAAAAACGAGCAAGCTGTGCAGGTTGAAACTTATAGAAGAACTACTTAGTTTCTAGGAAAATCCCAACCACAGAGTTAAAAAATGACCTCCCTAGGGGTTTTTTCTTAATGGGCCAGAACCCTGCATCAGCGCTATTTCTCTGATATTCACATGCTGGTTTTTGTCTCTGAAGTCGACCGGCTCAGCTTTCCAAAGTTTCAGATGAGTTTGTTCCCGTCGAGATGAAGATTTAACGAGCGCGAAACTGTCAAGCCGAGCGTCACTTGAGGTTTTCAGAGACGCGAGTTCGAAAGGTTGCCGTCGGCGTCTCCTCCGTGGAAGAACAAGCACGTCGCGTGTGCTTACAAGACCGGAATTGAAACGCACGGACAGCGCAATAACACAAACAACCGACATGCACACAGTCGGCCGACTGCCATCATTACCGGAACGCCGCCGTTTGCCCTCAACTCTTCCTTTTTTTCGAGTATTCTCGGCAAACTACACGGATTTTGTCTTCCAACGAACACTGCGTTCCGTTACCATGGAATTTCTCTTTTTAGCTCAGAAATAAGTTTCTGTTTGCTCAACCTTTGAACTTTGAAAAGATTCAATGAAGCCTACTAAGCCAAACCACGGAGTTAAATTTCTTCAATGAGAAGCCAACAAAGGAAAATTGCGAAGAATCATTTCACAAAATAAAGCGAAATATATCGAATTCTATTTCATTTCAGGAAGCTTAATACACGAAAACTCATAAAGCTCAAGAATGTAAGAGTTTGACAGCTTTTCATAAAGCCAACTATGAGAACGTCCCACCGATTCAAAATAGAAAGCATATTTTCTAATGCGTCAATAAGAAATTGGAACACGAAATAAAGAAAAAAATTTAAAAAAAACGATCTAAGTTTATGTGAAATATAAATTTTCTGAAGAACTTTTAGTGGATTTTGAGGGTCTCGTTTAATTTTTTCTAATCGCGTTTGGAGTAGGAAAGTTAGCATAATGAATAATTTCAAGCATTTTTATCGTGTTCCTGAATAAAATGAATGTAACCCTACTGTATAGATGAGTTTGATTTTTGACGGAGTTTTTTCCAGTGGTTCTCCATATTTTCTTTTTTTCAATAGTTTAGAATTTGGATCTTACTGAGGACTTCAATCGGATTCAATTGACTGGGCGGTAGAGAAAAACATTGAAGCTATCACAAAAAACCGCTTTTGGCAAACTTGAAGTCCAAATGTGCAGTTGATCAAGTTGAAATCATGGTATTACGGTCGTTCGGCTCGTCCTTATGCGCGTAGATCATCTAGTTGCGCCTTGACGAGCTCAAAATGTAGCGGATCTTGTGCTGAAGCACAGAAACCGTCCTATAAGTAGGAGCCTCGGAATGAGAGCGACCACGAAAGAGTGAAGACTTTACACGAAATGAATACTTGAAACAGTCTTTCAATAAAGGTTTCCCAACGGATCCAAATCTCAGTCTGTAGGTGAAATTGTCGTTTAGCATAAAATTACCAACTGTCCATTTTAATAAATGAAAGCAGTGTAGGTTGAAAGTTCCAGTCTCTGGTCATGGAACTCTTGTGAGCTTGATATTCTCCGAATTCCTCAACCAACTGAAAGAACAGTTTAGCCTATATTCAGAAAATCCCATACGTCATGTAAATAAAGCTTTCTTGAAAACATCACGCTCTCAAAAATGTTTTTTTTCTGCCAAGAAACAGGCCAAACAAAACGCCTAAGGATCACCGGCAAATACTGGAAAAGCGGAAAAAAACCGACAGAGGGCGCCACCTGTAAGCCTTCCGCATCACATTTGATAACATTATAAGATGTTTGCATAATTGTGCAGATCGTCGTCGGAGCGCGGTTTTACCGGCGGCGTCCGTCAGGTTTTTCCGCCCCTCCCCTCGCGGAGCTGCGTCAAATCACGTAGAGCACCTACTCGTGCCGCCGTCGGCGTGTCGTGCCAACTTTTCTTCTTTTTTCCTACTTTCTTGTTGAACCACTTCAGATTAGTTCCATTGCTACTTGTATACAGACTTTTCATTTTCTACAGAAATTCATGAACATTTTCAAGTTGATTTAAGTCATCTCTTCATTACAATGAAACTAATTCTTTATAAGAAGAATCCAATTATTATTTTTTCTAACTAATACGACGGTACTGAACAAAAACCTTCGAAATATCAATTCAAGGTAGAGCATTTCATCTTTTAGCTTTATTGGAGATCAAGACGAGGTTCATTTTCGAAATTAGATTTTTTCAAATTTAACTTTTTCGTCGTAAAATCATTTCGTCCACGTTTTCGTTACTTTAAGTTTTTTTTTGCCTTATCATTCTACAAAGCTATCCTTCTTTATAAAAAGTTCAATGATTTTTTTTTTGATTTTTTATCTTACAAAATAATCTTCTTTTTCGGACTTGAGTTTTTGTGTTTGTCGACGGGAAAGTCCAAAATTTTCAGATAATTTGAAACCTTTTTGTCAAAAGTTCGTCGCCTGGATGATTTTGAGTGAAGGAATTTGATGAAAATTACATATTTATCGGCTCATAACCATTATGAATGCTACAGTAACTTTCATCTTAACCTCTCCAAGAAGACCTATTTTCTGGCTTCTCAACCTGAAACAATCACACATTTTGATGTGAGCGAACGGTCAGCTGTGTCTCCAAGCCAGAACCGTCTCGTTGGTTTTCTGAATGCGCCTTCTTTTCGGCCACTATTTGCACACGGTTTGCTTTACCGGCCGCATATTTCACGGGTCGACTCACTGGGATTAACACCGTCCTCAGGTCAACGACACCTGTTCATCCTAACAACACTTTTTTTTTGCCTTTTTTGTTTTGTTTGAAATTTTTTGCTTTTTCTTTTTCCATTTATGCCTGGTTCAAAAATTAATATTTTTGAAAATTTTTTTTCAGTTTGATAATCAGCCAAAAGTATTGCTTCTTTCCCGAACATGACTGAAACATTGGTTAGAGTAAAATAAATGACTATTTCCAAAAGCGTCAAAATTCAGCGCTTTTCAAAAAATCTCAGAAAAAAAAATGCTACACAGGACGACATAAGAAGGACTCATTTTTTATTCTTCGAAGGTTTAAAGAAGTTAGTACGATTTCAACCTTTTCCAAATTTTCCTGCCAAAAAACTCCGCCAGTTCCTTCTCTTTATACAATTTCACAAGAGACGGTTCTCTTTTTGGCTTGAATGAGCCGTGACGAGGCGATTTGCATACACCCACCAAACAGTCAAAAAGAACGTTGTTACGTGGAGGCCAGTAATCTAAACGTGCCGCCGTCAAAATCTATTGTGCGGCGAGTAACGGGCATCCGCCGGCCGTTGTTGAGCTGATTAAAATATTATAGCGGCACAGATGTCCTTTGTCGTTTTTCACACGGTCGCTTCTTTTCGCCAACTTTGCTTCTGCATTCTGGGCCTCCAGAGTTCGACATCCCAACAAATCATTTCGTTTTTTTTTTGAGTTTCGGGTTTTTTTCACTGAATATTACTCACTTGCAAAACACAACCGAAAGAATTTTTGGAGTATTGGAATAATAAAAGCTTTTTTTGCATTCGAAGAAATGAGCTAGCTGTTGAATTCTTTTCCTGACTTTTTCGTGAGAAGCAGCTTTTTCTGATCTGAAAAAGATCGAAATCAATTTCTGTTTCACTGTCTTCAACAATCCTATCCTTTGTTGACTTTATTTAAATTTTTTGAAATTCTCAAATAACACTAACTAGAATAAAAAAACTGTTCACTTGAGTTTTGGAGATCCAGCCTTGCTATTTAAAAAAACGATTTCAATAGTATGTTACTCAGAAGAACTGTTTTTTTGAATTTTTTTCAAAATCTTCTCAACTTTCTTTCAATGAACTATAATTGAAACATTTTTCCAACAAAAAAACGAGTTTATGTTTTTTTAGAACAAAAAAATCGACTTCATGCTCAAAATTTTTTTCCAGATGCATTCGAATTTTTTCATCTCAAACGTTTTTTTGATCGCCTATAAATTGCAAATTTAGTATTACTAATAAATTTCCAGGTGGTATGTCGCAGTGGTGAAACTACTCATTTGTAAGTAAGCAGTTCCTGGATTTACAAACATTCATCAGTGTCTAAAAATGAGCGCCCGAACGGCATACGTCTGCCAAATACAGGTTATCAAGCTTTTTTTAGTTCCTTTGTGAAAATTGAGGGAGTGTGCAGCTTTTGAAAGTTAGAGAGAATTTTTATGATAATTTCAAAAAAACTAGAATTTTTTTCAGTAAGGAGTTTTGCGCCTTCATATTAAAAGAAATATATTAATAGAACCCCAAAAAAATTTAAAACTCGAAAAATATGACTTTTTTTAATTCTAATAATTTTTTTATCGCGAAGGGCTTCAAGTAAATTGCAGTCTCCGTCTTTTTTGAATCACAAAAAATTTTCTACTTATCTCGTTTTTTCCGAAGAAATTGCCCATTCATCTGATTTCCAAAATTAACGAGATCCAGTGGGCAAACAAAAGATTCCCGAAAGGATGAAGAGATCATCTATAATTTGCGCTCAGTCCGATGCTTCAAATGTCGTTTCTGTTGCGTGAGACCCAGCGCGTTCCACCAGAAAGACTGTCAACAACGCGGAATCGCTTAGTTTCTAGTTTTCTAACAAAGTGAAGCTCAAGCGACGGTGTGAGCTGCGCGAAAACCGGACTTGCCTAGAGGTTAGGTGAGGGTGCCAATCCGCAAAATAAGTTTGTTGAACATTGATGAAGCTTAGGAGTAGACCCAACAGCTTGAAGGAAGGGATTTTAGTAGTGAAAGTCATAAAAATAGTAAACTTTTTGATAAAAGACAACATTTGGTTTCAAGAATAGTGGAGGGTACGGAATTTCAGTAAAAGGTGCAGTTTTCAATCGATCTGGGTCTTTTTTAATCATGAAACTCTTTTTTACTGGCCGAGAAAAAAATTCTTCAAAAGTTCTTCTATCCTGGCGTACAAAAAAACACCTGAAAGATTCACAATTTTTCATTCAAGTGTGTTTCAAAATAATATCAGGAATTATATTTTTTTGGAATTTTTCTTAATTACCGTTTACCGTTTCAGGGATGCAATATAGCGCTCTTCATATTAGGTCTCGCAGCAGTTGGCCTAGCGGGCAGTCAGTTCTCAAAAGTGGGAATCGACAACTATCGCGACATTGACCTGAGGCTCTTAAACTGGATTCACGCTCTTACAGGAGCCATCGGTTTGATTTTTCTTATTTTGACTTTTTTCATTGAGAGCTCCAGGTTTTTACTCGATTCTTCACAACCACGGGAGCATTGTCACGAAAACATTGTACTGTGTGTCATTTGTGATCGGACTTGCAACTGCCGTTTTTTACGGCTTCACAACTTACAGGGTAACGGGAAATCAGTTAATAGACAAAGAATTTTCCAATTCAGATAGTCGAAGCTCACGACAACCTCAATGCTTTACGATCTGCTCAAGGCTTCGCAGAAGACTTTTTACAAGAAAGCCAGAATTTCGCTGGTCGTATTGTTATTTCTGCTCTAATGATTGGTGAACCAAGCATCATTAAAAACACGAATTTTCAAATTTCAGCCGTTGGGGCTCTGAGTTCTCTTATTTCTTTGATAGCGCTACTCATTCTCGATCGCATTGTAATTGTCAGCATCCCAGTATATCCGCTTCAATCTGTGAGTTCAAAAACGTTCTTTTTTGAAGAGAACGAGTGTTTTTTTCTCTAGCGTGACCAGGAGCTGGCGATGGAAACCGCGAAGAGGTCCTTGGCCTCCACGGGAGCTATCAAATTTCTTCTCGGACTTGGGATACTCGGCCTTTGTGTTTTCATCGAATACGAGCACGAAAATGTCCGAGAGTGCAAAAAGTTTCTGTTTGTTGATCGAATGTTTTTTCGCAGGTTTCCGGCAATGAGAAATACATCAAAATTGCTTTGGATCACATTGCCGCAATGCTGGCGATAGTCAGTGGGGCTACTGATGTTTTGGCGACCAGAGGACGAACTCAACAACAGCTAAACTTGAAGGTAGCTCAAAAAGTTGAGACTTAAGTAACAGTAGTGATTATAAAAGGTCGCTTTGGCTCTCTCGGTTGTGGCGGCAGTTTGGTGTATCAAAGCCGTGGACAATAACGCGATGCCATTCTACAAAAATGACCTCAAGTACTTCTATCGTGGCAGGCAGCTTGGAGGTTTGAATCGATTTTTTTTATAGCTTCGGCCACTCGATAATCTTTGATAGCCTGTAAATAGCCATGAATATTTCGCACCTGCGCGAAATTTTATAACTAAATTCAGACGTTTCCGTAACATCTACTGACGCTCCAAGATACATTCTTGTGGTTGCTCACGGGGTTCTGTTAGGCTGCTTTGGTAAGCTAAACTTTATGAAATATCTTTTAAATAAAACTTTCAGGTATTCTATTTTTCCTCTCGACTTTATCCAGTGTTATTGTTGGCTCGTTCCTCCAACTCGACTTCCACTCTATGCACACGGAAGCAAATAAAGCTCTTACTATTCAAAACAGGCAAACTTTACATAAATTACAGTTCATTCATTGTTTTTTTGCAATTTTTCAGACTAGTATCCTCACTTCACGTTCTATGGGGAGCTTGTCTGATGGGACTCTGCATTTTGGGTCTACTCGACACCCAATGGAGAGGAGAATTCCTTGGTTTGAGAAAGATAATTTGAAAAGTTTGAATACAATTCTCAGGGTCCGATCTTCTATGGCTCTCCATTTTGTTTGCTACAACAGGCTTGATGACTTCCAGTAACTATAGGTTCGAAAAAAGTCTTTTTCAAACTGAGAAGAAAAGTTACAGCACGATGATTAACACGAGGTTCATCATGAACGTGGTTTGCTTGGGAATTGCGGTTGAGAAAATGTGCGCGTCGATCAATTTGATCTATCAGTACTCTTCCTACGACATTTATGTCAATGGAAACAATCGCACATTCATCGGACAAATTGTACTCATCGCTTGTCAAACTGGGGTGAGTTTATGATTTGCATGAATTATTTTGCAAACTGAACAAACATTGATCTGTAAACTCTGTGAGTTTTTGAGAGAAAAAAAATTTTGAGAAAAAGTTGAACATTTTGAAAAGTCATCATGTTGAAGTCGTCAAAAGCTTCGAAATAATCCATTATTTGAAAATCATCGTACAAACTCTTCTAAAAATCGAAAATTTGCCTGCCAACAGCTAGTAAATGACTTTGAGATGTATACGTATTTCCAAGTTTGCCATCTTTACTTTGTTGAATGGGTCTAAAAATCAAAATTGAAGGTATACGCCGCTGAAGCCCTCACTGCCCTTGTCTGTTCTATCATATTCGGCCGAGAAGTTTCGCGCCAGCCCAATCTCACTTATCGTCATTCAACAGGCAATAGATTTCAAACTTGCCAAAAATAATCATTCTTTCGAAGGAATCCATGGAATATTCGCTCTTGGAACGTTGTTCTATGCAGTGGTTATTACTGGATGCTACGTTGTATTCGAGGTCGGAAAGTGGAGGTACAACGAAGTTCCGATTGAAGTCCCGTTCTTCCGTCTCGGAAATGGACCATTTGCTGGTGCCGTCTTCATTGTTCAGGTTAGGAAAAATAAAGAGAAAAAAAATTATTTGTTTGAATGGGATGCTGAATGCCGAGCTTTTTTTTCTGTGAACATACACAGTTTTGATCAAAATGAAGAATTGTCACTCGAGATTGAATTCATAAACAAATACAGGAAAAAAAAATGAAGATTCGATAGCAGCCAATTTTCAGGTCCTTTGTGTCGCCTATCCTAGCATGCTAGCGGCTTCTTCAATCCTCAACATTATTGTCGCATCTTTGGCTCTCTTCACCATTTCGTCTTGCATAACCAACGTCTACTATTTGGTAACAAGACGCTCAGATCTCGAAAAAATTGTTTTCTTCAGCAACGTCTGATTCAAGCCACGGACCTTCTACCCACAACATCGGCTCAGCAGACTATTTACCAGGTTTGCCTGTAGCAGAACAAATAGTTCAAAGATATTCTTAAGGTGGCGATCATTCTGGCCGCCGGAGCTGCGCTGGCCTGTGTCATCTGCACGTTATGCGCCACAATTTGCTCATTGAGGTTTTTTCGACAAAAAACTTGAGCTGAAACTGTTTGAAACTTGTACAGATCCTCGTACATTTTGCATCATCGTTCTACTTCTCCGGATTCGACGGTTGTCGTTCCATTAAATGAAGAACAATTCGGAAGTGGAAGCCTTCATTTGGGCAGTTCCAACATCAGAACCATTTCACGACCGCCAACTAGTGCAGTTCACAGCCCGGTTAGAGTCACAAGAATATGAAAATTAGTAGGGAATGGTGATTTTCAGGCGGGAGGTGTCCAACAAATGGAGGAACAGTCGGTTTACTGGTCAGCCGATGAGAATCCGTTTTATTACCACACTTCCAAGCGATTCTATGGACAGCCTTATCAAATAGAGTCCGGGTCTGTTGAACTCTAGTTTTAAAGTTCATTAACTGCTTATTGGATTTTTGAAACCAAATCTAGTTTTTGCGGTCTAAAAATTGTCAAATACGGTGGGATGAGAAATTTTTAAAAATTAGAAGCGCAGGTTTGAACACCCGATTTGCTTTTTATCAAAAATGTTCATTGTTTCAAATCAAGACGGACTTTGTAAAATCAAAAAAAAAGTTCTAATGGGGAAAAATTTTGTTGGAAACTTCTCTTTTCACATTTTACTAAAAACTTTCAGAAGACTGAAAAAGTATTCTTGAAATATTTTTTTATACGGTCTAAAAAATAATGGTCATAAAATCTTTTTTCTTAGTTGTGAATTCGAGAAAAATGAGCCTTCAACGTTTTTGAAACTTAAAATTTTCACAGGTCGCCATTTTCAAAACTTCGTTTCACCTGAGAATATTTTGGCAAAAAATGGGACTTTCAGATTCTACGGCTACGCTCTGGCAAACCCAGGAGAGGCATCGAACCAGCGCCGCGTGCAGTCGAGTGCGGCCCAAACGCAAATTGGACATGTTTTCACGTAAAAATACACCATGCCCCTTTCTCGAAATACTTAAGCGCCTCAAATTGCCTTCTTCTCTCGACCTCTATAGAATGAGGTTCTGAAAATCGTCCTTATCGGCTCCAAGTGAGAACGGAGAGCTTTTCTTGGATGTTTCGATCCACTCGCCCATCGACTGGTTTATTTTTTGAAGCTGTCTGACCAAGCAGCCGATGCCTATTTCACTTTCCAATGACCATGTGTTGCTCACGACTGGGGATCCGCCCATTTTGGTAGTTTTCGTATGGGTTTCGGTGCTCCTATCCTCCTAGCTTTCATTTTTTTTCAATCTTGTCTAGAAGTTTTTTTACCAAATGTTTGTAAATATAAGTACTACGAATAAATTCCTTATTTTCCGAGTAATTTTCGTAAGGAAAGAAGAAACAAAATAACTGGGAAACACACCTGAAATGTCCCAAATCTGCAAATGAACGACGCTGTTTTCATCCAACGCCAGAACTTTCAATGCGAAGTCTACACCGATCTGAAAAACAAAGCAGTTTGAAAAATTACTAGATCAATTGGAGTTTTCTTCATCTTTTGAGAGAAAATTATAAGAGGGCAGAAAATTTTTAGCAGAAAAGTTCAGAGACCGTAATCCAGCTGTGAATTCAGCCAAATAGCCGTTCACTTGGAAAAAAAAATCAAAATCAGAAAAAAAATTATGCGTAAGGAAAAGCTTTCATAGTCGTTTTTTTTAGCTGACGATAAAAATAGTACTGAGTTCTACTCTTCATGTTCTATGAAATTTATCCTAGTTTAATAAAATCTGATGTATTGCTTAGTTTAAAACTCTAATAATCCTCCGTAAATCATATCTAAAAAAAAGTTCACAACAACTCACAGTTGCCTTGTAGTTGGCAGTGAAAACGTTGTGTACAAAACGCCTAATAATTGATGTTTTTCCTGTACCCGGATCGCCGATAACCAGAATTTTGTACGATACCTTCTCCTTGGTGGCTGTGGCGATCATCTGAAAAATTAATGGTTGAAACTGCAAGAAGAATCGGATAATTGAGGGAAAAAAGTAGTTGAATGAGTATGAGACAAAGGTAAAAAAAGAAAGGTGAAATATAGACATTTTATTTTTAAATTATAGCTCTGGTGTCAAAAACCTCATTGCCACCTTCTAAGAGAAGTAAAAAAAATAGCAATCAATTTATACTTATTTCCATGTTTCTTGTGATCGCCTAATGGAATTTTTAACTTGAAACGAATTTTTCTCCTCTTCAGATCTTGGAGCACAAGTTCAATAAAGAAAAACCGTGCACATTCTTTTAATGTTTGACATATTATTTTGTAGTCCAAAAAAATTACACGAAACCACCAACTCAAAGTAAGAAAATGAATTTTAGCTAACAAACCTAGACAAAAGACCTTTTTTCGGGATAAAGCTTTATAATTCCCGACTTCAACGCTTAAACTAACAAACGAACTTTGTTATTCCAGAAAAAAACCAGAAATTTCTTGATGGTGAGCATTCAAGTTGAAATGAACTTAAAAAGGACAGAACGGCAGATACCAAACAATATGGACTTGGTAAACAGCTCACGAATGTTTTGTTGATCAGAAAAAAATTGGAGCAAATTGGTTGAGGAAATCGAGAACAAGGAAGTTGAAGACGGAACGGAAAACAGTCGAGACAGAAAGGAGAGTATTCATATTTACAAAATAGGCTGTTTGGATACAGAGGTAGCCGAAGAAGGTAATGGAGGGCTAGCCTTATCAATTGATACGAGAGCGCCTCGAAGACTAAACGCTATCGTCAGCTCAGGTCGTCTGCTCTCTTCACCCCTCCGTCGGTCGAGTATCAGCCAAACTCCCAAAATATCGATTGGCGATAGTGGCGCGATTAATTATGCTTTAAGGGAGATAAAACGGTGCCGGCTTGTACTTCAGACTTTGTCGTGGGAGACACTCCAGGCGTCAGCTACTTTGGTTTTTTTTTGTTTTGAATTATTTCAAATTTTGTTAACAAACATTTTTTCCTTCTGAAAATTTGTTGCAAATCTAACTCAGAATATAAATCATTAATAGATCTGCGTCTTTCAGGTGCAGTAAGACTTTTGCAGAAACTAATTTCAAAAAAATCGAATAATTTTTCAAAGGTTTTTTTCTTTGAAAAAAAGAAAAAAATGGGAAAAAAACTTTTCGCAACATCAGAAAGATCTCTACTGATTTTTGGGAGAGCAGTCTTAGATTTTTTTCCATTTTTTTGTTAAAATTTTTGAATAATTTATGAGCTCTTACAAATGCAACATTACTTTTCCAACCAAGGAAATTTTCACACTTCCAAACCTGCTCGTGAACATAACTTTTTGGTGAAATTTGACCATACCTTGAAAATGTGAAGGTTTCCCTGACAAGTTTTCTGATAAAAAGTTGCAAAGGTTTCGGATTTTTTCCAGATCAACTATCACTCTTTTCTTCACGCTCTTCAGTTTCAAATTCCCAATTACCACCTTCTTTCAATTTTTCCATCGCATTAGCTAAAATTTTCGAATATTTCAAAAAATGAAACATTTTTTCGGCTTTCTCAAACTGTCAAAAATATTTGAAACGGAAAATTTATAATTTTCCTTGAAATTTTTTTGAAGATCAGACTCGTTATCTTTTTTGAGCAATCTGATAAGAATTTTTTTCAAATCAGATGAAGTGAGTTCATCGATTCCAGGAGAATCATTCAGAGCTCGTTTATTTATGAAAAAAAATAATCTTCATCTTTTTCTGATTTATAAAAGTTCTGGAGTATGCGATTTTTTTCTAATTTTTCAAAGCATGATTTATTTTCAATCAAAAAAATTATGAAATTTCAAAAAGCTTTTTCATTGTAATGAACATAATTGATTTTTCGTTTCGTGAACTTTCCTCTTGAAAGCTCGGAATTTTTCATTACTCTGACTTTTTAAGTGCAGAATAACAAAAAAATTTCCAACAACTTTTTTTCACGAAATAAAAAAACAAATTCAGGGTTCTATCATTTCGTATAATTTCTGATTAAGTTACGAAAATTTTCGAATTATTTATTTTTAACAAAGCCAAAAAAATTTTTTTCATCAATATTGAGAAATTTTTAAGTCAAGAAGTTAAAAAATGAATGAATAGGTAAAAAAAATAGCCTTTAAACAAGTTTTTTGGAAGTTATTCTAGAAATTTTGGATATGATAAAAAATTGAAAAAATTTTAAAGCTCAATCAGTTTCGAAATTCTTATTAGTATTGTTAATTAAAAAAAAAATAGAAAAATCGGACTTGCTGGCAGATTTGAACGTTCCAGCGGGAAGAAGGACAAAGGGTCAAACGGCGGCGGCGCGCGTTTTTCTCAGCGCGAAAAGGCCACGGAGGGCGACGTCGCAGCTACGCAGTCACTTTCCATGTTGCTCCTCGCCTTGCGCTGTGATTCGCTTGTTTCTCCGCTCATTCCATTCGCTGTTTCACAACTATTATATCTTTTTCAGGTGTATGCTCAAACGTTAATCACTCCTAACATCCTACTAATGAATTCTAACCTTACTACTAACAAGCTGAAAGGAATCGACGCCTTCTGCGGCGAAAAATATTGGGTTCGTGGTTTTTATTCTCACTTGATATTATTGAAATTTCTTCCGAATTCATTAAATATTTCATTTACAGAGCCCGGAAATATGGAAATCTCCTACGGTCCCGGTTCTCTCTTCCTGCTATCAGCACACGACTTTGGTGTGGATTCCTGCAGCCATCGTCTTCATTTTGGCGCCTATCCTGACGGCGAAGATTTTCTATCGACGCCCGAATCCTCTACCTTGGACCCAGCGGATCAAGCTCAAAACGGTTATTTTCTGGTTTATGGGTTTTCAGCCGTCTCAGCCAGCATTTTTTCTCTTAAAAGGATGTTTTTTTAAAGAAAATAACCATTTTCAGGGTATCGCATGCATTCTCATAGCCGACTCTTTCTCGCTCTTCGTCCTGGCCATCTACGAAACGATGTTTGACGGATTTCCCTACGCTGTGGATTTCGTGTATCCGTTGACCCTATGCCTAGCCATGGTATGGTTGTACATGCTAGCAGAGGTTTCAATGCAAGATTCTCAGATCGTTCTCTGCGCGTTCATCGTCGCTTGCCGCAACTACGGCCGCGTCACGTCGGGTGGTCTTTTCTTGTCCTGGCTCATTTTCACTGTCTGTGGCGTTCCTGAGCTCATGTACTGGTTCGATCGCATTTTTTACTCTGAAGGGGTGAGTTAAGGGAAGAAAACAAGATCTTCTTGCAAATAAAAAAAAAATGGAATCAAAGTATCATTCTCTCATTTTTTGCAGAAGTTCTCCTGGTTCGACTACCCCCGCTGCGTCGCCTACTTGATCTGGTGGCCTGGATGTCTCGTCGAAACAATTCTCCACTGCTTTGCTGACGTTTCTACAACCAACTACAAGCGCGTTTATCACTGCAAGGTGCTCATTCTGCCCACTCTACCCTTCGTGAACAACAAAACTTCAGAATCCCAGCCCTGAAACTGATTCGTCTTTTTTGAACCGCTTGACAATGTACTGGTTCAATGGAATCTGCATCAAGGGTGTCCAGAAACCTCTCGAAGTCAATGATCTGTACTCTTTGAACGAGGCTGATACTTCCATGGTTCTGGTGCCAAAGTGGTTCCGCACGTGGGACAAGGCTATGAAAGGTCAATCAGACTTTTTACCGTGAACAGCCTAGGATTTTCTAGGTTTCAATGGAAGCAGAAATGCGTCTCGAAGAAGTACAAACTCGGAACGCCCTCGTTCTTCTTCCAATGACCAGACCCCCCTTCTCGACGATTCCCAGGCGCCGATGGTGAATACTTTGTTTCAATATTTATGAGACAAACTGAGAAGTATAAAAAGAAGACTATTTCAGGACGACTACGGCTCGTTGCCTCATTCTGCTCCCACTCCAAGACCGCCTTCTATCATTTGGTGTCTCTTCCTGATGTTCAAATGGGATATCATCACGGCCATGATCTTCAAACTCATCAGTGATCTCCTATCCTTTTGCAACCCCCTTCTCTTGAAGTAAAACTATTCCGAAGAATTCAAAAAACAAAAAAATTTCAGATCCCTCATCAAGTTCACGGAGGATCTCGAACAGCCGCTTTGGCAAGGTGTGCTTCTTGCTGTGACGATGTTCATGACGTCGGAACTGTCGTCTCTGCTTCTTTCCCACTATTTCTACCTGATGTATCGCGTTGGAACCCGTGTTCAGACATGTCTCACCGCCGCGGTGTACAAGAAGGTCCGGAAATCCAATAACCTAGTAGATTGCTTTTTTTCAGACGTTGCGCTTGTCTAATGCTGCTCGACGGGAAAAAACGGCTGGGGAAATCGTGAATCTCATGGCTATTGATATCGATCGATTCCAGCAAATCACCCCTCAAACTATGCAATATTGGTCTAACCCGCTGCAGGTTCTACGCCAAGAAATGCAGTAAAGAAAATAGAAAAGTTCAGATTGGCATCGCTCTTTTCTTACTGTACAAACAGCTCGGCGTCTCGGTTTTCAGTGGCGTTGGAGTCATGATTCTTCTTTTCCCAATCAATTTTGTGATAACTATGGTTATTCGCAATTGGCAGGTTTTTTATGGAACGAAAAATATTTTTTCACAAGTCTCAATTAAGATGGAGCAAATGTATTACAAAGACGAGAGAACGAAAATGGTGAATGAAGTACTGAATGGAATCAAGGTTAAAACATAGTTTTTCGAAAAGTTTTGATGAAATCCGTTCAGGTGATCAAACTGTACGCTTGGGAGCCACCAATGGAACAAGTAATCAATAACTTGCGAGAGAAGGAGCTGGGATTGATCAAAAGGGCGGCTTGTTTGAGATCTTTCTCGGATATGTTGAACTGCGCCTCTCCTTTTTTGGTGAGAAACAAAAAAGTATTATATCAAACAGGTGATTTTCAGGTTGCTCTTTCCACTTTTGCCACATTCGTTTATGTGGACGTCAATAACGTTCTGACCCCGCAAATCGCGTTTGTATCGTTGACGCTCTTCAATCAATTACGATCTCCGATGTCCCAAGTTGCTGAGTTGATTACCCAAACAGTTCAGGTAAGGCTAAACTAGAAGGTTGGGAAACCAAATGCTTTTTTCAGGTTTACGTCTCCAATGAACGACTCAAGGATTTTCTCGTCGCTGAGGAGCTATCCACTTCCACCATCCAAAATGCTGCAAGAGATAGTTAGCTGGTTCGATTGATTCTCTAGTAAATGTTCACATCAGATGATGACGTCATCAATGTGTCAAACGCCACACTTACTTGGGACGCCACCGAACCTACTTCATCTTCACTGACAAATTTGAACTTTTCCGTTCAAAGAGGACAGTTGATCACAGTTGTCGGTAGAGTCGGCTCCGGCAAGACTTCTCTCCTGCAGGCCCTCTTAGGTGGATACTTTCTACAATGATCAGGAAAAGTTCGAAGTTACAGGTGAAATGGAGAAAGTATCGGGATCTGTCGCCATGCATGGTCGTGTCTCATACGTTCCTCAGCAAGCTTGGATGCAGAACAACACGCTACGAAACAATATCACCTTTGGGAAACAGTCAGAAAACTATCCAGAAAAAAAAAACTGAAATGTTTGCAGATATGACGAGTACTTTTATTCCCGAGTACTCGACGCGTGTGCTTTGTACAGCGATCTGCAAATGCTTCCACTGGGAGATATGACGGAAATCGGAGAGAAGGTTGATTTGAAACTATGAAACTCAAGGAAACTCCGTTTTTAGGGCATCAACCTCTCTGGAGGTCAGAAGGCTAGAATTTCTCTGGCTCGTTCTGTTTACCAAAATCACGATATCTACTTGCTTGATGATCCAATGAGCGCTGTCGATGCCCATGTTGGAGCTCAGGTGCCTTGAGGCAAATATACTTTTGATCAATGTTTCTCCAGCTCTTCAACTCTGTTATTGGACCTGAAGGAATGCTGCGCAACAAGACCAGAATTCTCGTAACCAATGAGCTTTCCTTCTTGAAACGGTCGGATCTCATTTTGGTCCTGAAAGGTTCCAACTTTTCAATTTTCGCGAACTCATTTTGTGAAACTCAGATGGTCAAATTGAAAGCGAGGGTAGCTATGTGGAGTTAATGCAGCAAGGAGCCTTGGAACAACTTCTGATCGAATGCGAAGAGGAAGAACAGGAAAGGAGACGTTTGGCTTCTCAGAGTGAGGAAGAAGAGACTAGTGAACCTGGCGGAAGTAAGAGAGCAGTTCATATAAAAAAAGTAACTGATTTTCAGTTTCAATCCCTGGAGCGGACTCTGAGGAATATGACGACGATGACGACGCTTCTCCTTTCTTCGATCATGTGAGGGTTATTTTCCGTACAGAAAAAACGGAAGAAACTTCAGGTCTTGGGCACCTCCCACATGTCTACCGTGTCTGGCATCATTTCCAGAAGGAGAGTCAGCACTTCCAACTACAAAAGACAAAACCAACGACGTCGTCTGTCAACCGTCAAAAATGCTCCTTCTGACGTTACCTCTACCACGAGACAATTGACAACGGCTGAGCGTGTTGAAACTGGCAGGGTGAATCGAAGACAAGCGTTGAATTTTTGAAAATCTAGATTTTTAGGTTAAATACGACACCTATTTCAATTACTTCAGTGCAATGGGCGTGAACATCGTCGTACTTTTTGTCGCCGGATTAACATTGAGTACCGTCGTTTCAGTTGCTAGAAACCTCTGGCTCACTGACTGGTTTTTCTCAATTTGAATGAAAAAAGTCAAAAAAAGTTTTTAGGTCCAATGATAATGCACACGCTTCTTACCATAATGTCAGCGGCAAATCTTCTGTCGAAGTCCGTCTGAGTGTTTACGCGGCGATGGGATTCAGTGAAAGTGAGAAGATGATCCAGCTCTCAAAAACTTCAAATTATTTGCAGTTGGCTTCCTCTTTGTTGGAATGCTCTCTCTGCTGTTCGGAGGAGTTTCGGCATCCAGAAATTTGCATACGCCTTTGATGTTTGCATTGTTCCGTGCTCCAATGAGCTTTTTTGACACGACGCCTTTTGGAAGAATTTTGAACCGCATTGGAAAAGTGTCTGACTTAGGAAAACAAAGAAAATGGTTTTTTTTACAGGATATGGAAACGGTGGACATTTTGCTTCCCTTCAACGTCCAATTTTTCGCTCAATGTGTCCTCCAAGTTCTTTCGACACTCGCAGTGATTATGATATCAACTCCAGTGTTTGGAATAGTAATAATACCGTTGGCGGTTATGTACCTTATGGTCATGGTAAGTGATATATCATTTAAAAAAAGATGAACTTTGATTTTAGCGTTACTACATCGCTACTTCTCGGCAGTTGAAGCGTCTTGAGTCTATAACTCGCTCTCCAATCTACAGTCACCTCGGCGAATCAATTCAAGTACAAAATTCGTAGAAGTCACAATGAAGGAGGAACAACTTTCAGGGCTCTGCCACAGTTCGCGCTTATCATCTTGTAGACCGATTCTGCAAGCTATCTGAAGGAAAAGTGGACAATCACGTTCAGGTAAAAAATCTCAGAACTAATTCCTTGAGTTTCTTTTTTCAGTGTCGTTATTTGAACTACATTGCGAATCGTTGGCTGTCGGTCCGACTGGAGTTCATTGGAAACTGTATCGTCCTGTTCGCCGCGTTGTTCGCCGCACTTACCCGTTTCACAACGACGTCTGGAGTCATTGGCCTCTCCGTGTCCTACGCATTGAACGTGAGAAAATCTAAGTTTATGGAAAATATAATTGGGTCTCAGATCACCACGGTTCTCAACTTCGCAGTTCGGCAAATCACCAAACTTGAAACGAATATTGTGTCCGTCGAACGTGTAAAAGAATACAGCGAGACTCCGTCGGAAGCCAGTTGGCATGCTGATGAACAGCGTAAACCTCCAAGCGACTGGCCCACTCAAGGATGCATCAAACTGAAGAACTATTCTACTCGGTAAAACTTGAACAGAACTTGATTATTGACTAAAAAAACGGGCTTTTTTGAAGCCAGTTCCAAATAAACCTGATAATCAAGATAATTCCATCTTATTAAGGTACCGTCCGGGTCTTTCTCTGGTCGTTAAACAACTCAACGCAGAAATCGGCCCTCATGAGAAGATCGGAATTGTTGGACGTACTGGAGCCGGTTTGATGATGACCGGAGGATTTTCAACTTGGCAAATTTTAGGAAAATCATCAGTTACCCTCTCGCTTTTCCGAATCATCGAAGCCGCCGAGGGCAACATAATCATCGACGGAATCAATATTGCTGATATCGGCTTGCACGATCTCCGATCTTTCCTCACCATCATTCCCCAAGATCCGGTTCTGTTCTCCGGCACTTTGAGGTACAAGCTCTCAGGCTCTTCTCGTCATAAGAATTTGTTCAGATTCAACCTGGATCCTTTCAATCGATACTCCGACGACGAGATTTGGAGAGCAGTTGAATTGGCGAACCTCAAGCCTTTTGCAATGGCGCAAACGGCCAAGTTGGATCACGTCATCACTGAAGGAGGCGAAAATATCAGGTCATTTTGTATTCTTAATAGTTTGAAAAAATTTATATGGATCATCATATGGGAAAAACTCATCTGTTGGATTGTCTTTTGAGCAAATAAAAAAAGAAACACTAGTTCTACAGAAATTCTCACTCTCTATGGTTTCAGTGTGGGACAGAGGCAACTTGTGTGCCTTGCCCGGGCACTTCTGCGGAAGACACGCGTTCTGATCTTGGACGAGGCGACGGCTGCAGTTGACGTTTCGACGGACGCACTCATCCAGAGGGCCATTCGAACAGAGTTCGCTACTTCCACTGTCCTCACTATTGCTCATCGACTAAACACCATCATGGACTATGACAGGTAAACCACATTCCCGAAAATCGAAAAAAAAAAACAAAAATATTCTTAGTCGCTTCCTTTTTTAAACTCCTCAATTTTCAGAATAGTCGTGCTCAGTGAAGGTCGGATTTGCGAGTTCGACAGCCCTCAGGCTCTTCTTGCCAACCACAACTCCGAGTTCTACTCAATGGCCAGAAAAGCCGGTCTCGTCTAGATTCTGTTTCTTAAATCTTTATTTATTCATTTTTTCAAATTCATTGATTGCCTCTGAACTGCGGGAAACTTATTTATTCTCATTATTACCTCTAAGTCATCTGTTCTCAGATTTACGCTAGAAATCTATCATCTCTATTAATACACATTGTATTGCATCTGATTGAAAAAAATATTATTATTTCTGCGTTGTCATCAAATGTGCGTTTTTAATTTTTTTGCTAATCACCTTTGTAAAAATAATAAATTACCCTAATAAAAAAATTAATTATCTATGGTACGTTCTTATAAACATTCAAAAACCGCAAAGTTCGCCAATTGATGTGAAACCGATTTTTCCAAATTCGCCTATGGTTGAAACTCGGGTTCTAAGTAAGATACATTGACATTTAGGCTGATCTGTGAAAATATGTTTTCATCCAAATCTACCTTTCCAAGTGACCATTTTGTTCGCTGTAGAATAGTTGAAAGGAAGGCACAAAGATGGGTGCAAGAACCAAATGAGAGAAGGCTCCGCCCCTCGCCATTGCCGACTAATTTGGCCTGCTCTGGCTCTGCCAGGTCTTTCAGGAGAGGAATAATGTGTCGACCGTTTTTTTTACTGAACCGCTCTCCTGAGTATCAACCAAGTTTTCTTGAAAAACTGACTTCAGTTTTTAGAGCTAGGCACTGATGCGTTCTCCATGTTTTGCAAAAAATTGAATAAATTTCCTGTGTCGCTGCTTTTTTGGTCGGAACTCGTTCGGGTTTTTTTCCATGGAAGTGATTTGGTATCAAAAAAATAAGCGTGTAAGAAAGAAGTATGATTTTTTTTGTTCTGTAATTAAGCTTTCAAATTTCGGAAAATAGGATCTTCGCTTGTTTTCATACCTTTTTTGGGTCTCAAAATGAAGAACGTTATTCTTGAGATCTGAATAGTATTCCTGAATTTTTTTGTCTATATTTTTTTCTAATTTTTTTGTTTCCAATCCAAAAAAAGCTCCTAAAAAGCTGCTAAGACTTTCCTTGTTTTTTTGAATGCAAAATCATACAGTATCTTCTGTTCATTCTAATGTTTTGACCTGAAAATCTCATCACGTCCTTCATTTTTTGCAGCAAACAAAAAAATCACTTGGAGATGGAAGCCTTACCAATTTCACGCTCAAGGTCTGCTGAAGCGCGTTTACTCCGTTATCAGACCTTTCCATCGAGCTCTCATTACCTCGTACTTATTACAGCTCCTTGTGCGCAGCTCAATCTTGCTCGGATTGTAACCTTGCAAGATTATCCCCTCCAAACGGCCTTTTCTCCAGTTTCCGGTTTCAATAAGAGATAAATTACACCAAACTCTGTGGGAGTCGTTGCTCGTTGAAGTTTGATATCTGCTAGTCGGAGATCGGTTGCCTTTATGAGCCTGGCGTTATTCTAAGACCTGGAACACAATTATTCCGTACGAGCATCTGCTCTTCCGTCCGTGCTCTGTAATCAGCGCACAATTGCCGGTTAGCTTTCTCAAGCCTCCGATTTTGTTTGCAATCCCTTATTATCTCAGGTTCTTGTTAATTGCTTCCAACTATAATTTTTTTTTTTTACTATTTCATTGATTTTCTTCTCTAGTAGTTTTCTTAAGATCTTGTCCAATCTTTGAATATCAGGATTTTCGTATGCAAAAAAAGGGTTTTTGTTCTGTAAGGTCTATAAATTTCAACCGTATGTTTTTTAAATATCGGTTCTCATTTTTCAAGCTGTGGGAGTTGAAGGATTTCCTCTCAGATTGATTCATACGTGACCATTTTGCAAAAATTTTACACATTCTTGTCGTCAAAATGTGTAAAAAAGCTCGCATTTTCGACAAGTTTTGCAGGAGTGGAAAATTACTTTGCTCATATTCTTTTTTGCAAACTACTCCATGAACTTCATTATTTGCTTTTTTAAGATATGCGTTAAATTGACTTCGAAGCAACTCTTTCTCAAGTTTTTATCTACTAACTCAGTTAAAACTCTTATAGAGTGTCATTGAAAGTCAATGATAAATGAATCATAATTTTCTTTGAACTCGTAGACTCTTGGAATTGATATTTTATCATACTTTTTAACCAAAAATGCGTATTTTGAACTGTGAGACTTTCATAATGAAGAGAAAAAACTCATTTTAGGAGAGACGACCCATTCACGAAAGACTCAAAACAAGTTTTAAATTTTTCAGGCTTTGATTAAATTTTCGTGTTGTCTGCGCGCGTCTGAAGATCGGTGTCTTTGTATCGGTAATTGATACGCAAGAAACCCGAGAAGAACGGGTGTCTTAGCAACGCAACCGAACGCCTTGTCTTTAACCTCTTGGTGTCCTTTACGAACACTTTTGACTCACACACCGCATGATTTGCGCTTTGCCTTCACACAAACCGAAATTCATTTTTTTTTTCAGGTTCCCGATTCAAGCCGACTTCAGTGGCCATCACACGTTAAGCGTCCACAAATGAACTATCCTTGCGATTTGCTACGATTCCGCGAAATGACATGAAAACCCAACTTTGTCTTGTTTTTCTGCTAACTTTTTACGGCGCCCACGCGCTATCAAAAGAAATGGGCATATTTGTCCGGCCAGCAAGCCCACCAGCCAATTCGCAAGCCTATCTGGATAAGAAGGATATCGGAATGTTCACGATTCACGCGTCCAACTTGTCGAGCTGCCGCTTCAAATCAGCTGTCATCCCATGCGAATGCTTCATGCATATTTCCCGAAATTACTCCTTTGAAGAAGACAACATTGTGGTATTTTTTTAACAAAGGCAAAATATTTTCATTTTCTGGAAAAATTTAGAAGTCGATTTTCGAAGTTGGACCACCAGATGTGAAAATTTCGGTTCCCAGTCATCACGATATGCTCAACGAACTAACAGTTCATATTCATCCAAAACTTTGTCGGCCCGATAATTCCACGATAAACTTGGATTACAGACCTTTCCATGTAATTTTTTTATTTTTGTATTTTGAATATATAAATTTTTTTAGGTGTTTCCGAAGGATGAAGAAAGTTGGACTCCGGTTACAACAGTAGAGAAAACATTGAAGTCCGGTCGAGCGAAAGTCGTTTTTGGGTGTCGTTATTTTGCTAACCCCGGCTTCTACCGTGTCTCCATTTCTTTCAGCCTCGTTAATTATACTCTAAAAGTGCGTTTTTTTTCTGAAAAGGACGTTTTTCTTAATTAACCGTTTTGTGATGATAATTTGGTCGAAAAGAAAGGAAAAAACGCCTGGATCTCATTTACATTTTGCCTGACCAATGACTTGGACTTTTTTTTCGTGATTATCTTTTTCTTTCTTCGTTCAAAAAAAAAAAGCGGTTTCATCGCCTCTAATGGACGGATAGATTGCCTTCAGTGCGATTCCCTAGGGGCAGAAGTTTTTTTTACGACATGACTTTTGGCGTTCTTTCATTTGCAGCTCAAAACTAGGTTTGAACTTAGGTTGGTTGCAGGCCGAAAAGTGGATATCTGTTAATGGATCGTCTCAGAACATGTTACGGTTAAGAGAAGGAAGCATTTTTCCACATTGCACTTCTGATTACACTATAGCGTGGACCACCTCCCAGGTGAAATCGAATTTAAGAGCAAGAGTCAATGGAAATTTCAGTGTCGATTTGATGCTTTGCACTACAGACTGAGAATATTGGCGATTCCGGAGAATGCAAAAAACCTCGAGGATGAGGCTGTTTACATTGGTTCGTTATGAGCATTGCAAGCATCTGTCATCAAAGGACAAAGCTCGAGGGAGCGAGAATTTCCCATGAAACATATATTTAGATGTCCGTCACCTCAAAAAAAAGTTTTTGGAAAAAGAACTATTATGAGCACAGTAAATAACGTCAATTAATTTCTAGCCACCTTTTTTTATTTTCAAAGTTTGATTTCGACTCTCTTTAATAAGTGCAAGGTTAAACTAGCTGTTTTTTAAATCTTTCAAATCTCCAAATTATACTTTTTTTGCCCTTTTGTAAGTCGTTTTATGGTCTGGTGCGCTTCAAAAAGCAACAGGAAAAAATAAGTAATGCTCTGTATTATTCAAATTTAAAAGGTGCGGCTGATGAAATTTATATCGTATTTTTCAAAATAACGTTTGCTAATTTATAAAATTTCAAAAATTACAGAAGAAATCGGCTTAACAGAAGAACAACATGATTTGAAACTCAGCTGCTCTCAATTCGACATCATCTACGAGAAATACTGTTTCGATCTCGTGTCTGTCAATAAGAACACCTCGATCTCTCACACTTGGCATTCCCTGTGCGCGAGTACCGAGCCAGGTGAGGTTTTTATAAAAAGCATGGTTAGATATGTTGCTCAGACAATCACAGTAGTATTAATTATTTCGAATCTTGAGGTATCTTTTGAAAACATCAAATCCACGAATAAGTTATCCCGTCACGGTTTTTTGTAAAATGAAGAACCTTAGGTAAGAACCTGATAAGACTTTCTTCTTTTACCTCTTCCTCCGTGAATCCTGGCAAAACAAATGTTTACGAACGAACCTTCTCTCATTCATTTCGAAGCCATTTCCGCAATTCAATTACCATTATGAGCCTTCCTGGCGGCAAGGCATGCTGACAAAGCCAATTTGATCGGAACGGAACAATCTGGCCTCGTTGCCCTTGGATTATAAGTTCATTTCGATGTGCTCTTCATACTTGAAGATATTTTTGCAATGAGGCGAAAGGGTTTGGAGGAAACAAAAAGTGAAATTGTTCATCTCGATTCGGATATTTATTCAGTCCAACCGTCGATCACATCATAAAGGAAAACTGATTTGGCAGAAAATGGTTGAATTATAAGTTGAACGAATCTGCAACGAGCTGTTGAACATTTGAGTCAGTGTTGAGAATAGAACACAGAAAATGTCAAAATATCAGCCTTTCTGCATGTTAAAATCATTTTTTTTGCGTTCCATGATCTGGTATTCAGGTTCAGGTTGTGGAAAGGCGTGAGAAAAAGTACACTTGACCTCCGCCGCGGACATCTGCCAGCTCTGGCTACTGTTAAAACAATGATGCCTCCACGCACACAAGCATATGTCCAATTAGACGCATCTGCACCTTTTACCTGACCCGCCGAGGGCTTCCGAAAAACACAAATAATTCCAGTAATAAGCAACAAGATGATTCTTTCGACTTGACAGCCAATGTGGCAGCTGAGTGGGAGCATGATGAATGGAAAAGCATAATTGCCGAATCCATATGTTCTAAGCGGAAATCACGGGCCCAACAATGGTTGCTGTGGTTCCTCTTCTTGACTATTAGCCTGCATTTTTGAGCGCCGGGCTGTTTTGTTCCCTCAAGAGAGCTATTTAACACTGTTTTCTTTATAATTGGACTTTTAGCCGATTGGACGGAAGGCAGTGTGTAGTGAAAGGCAGAGAACAAAGAAAAAATATGTGAAATCATAAACTCCAAAGTTGTTTCAAGTTAAAACAGAAAAGGCTCCTTTTTTGGTTTTCCAGCTTTTTATATTTTACTTCAATTTTTGAAGAGAAAGCTTGTTTTTCAAACAAAAAAAGATTAGCCATAGTCAATAAATAAGCAATCTTATATCGCTAAATGAAGTTTGTTTATGAATAAAAAAGTATATTTTTCCGCTCTTCGCAAAAATTTTAGCAAGTTTCTGTTTTTAGACATTGGGGCTTCATAAAACTAACTTTTCGAGGTCTCTTAGGTGCGCGATTCTCGGAAGCAATAGTTTTGACGTGTTGCGCAAAACGCAAAATCCGCACCAATTTCCCAAGCAATTATAAACTTCTCTCTTTGTTTTTCTTGTTCCTGAAAATTCAAGAAAGCGTTTCAGTGGAACGAAGAAAAGGCGGCTGGTCAGCGTGGAGCGAATGGAGTCCTTGCACGGAGACTTGTGGACCCGGGACTCAGAGGAGAGTTCGGTATTGCGATGAACCGGTTCCTAAGCGTGCAAAGTATTGTGATGGTCCTTTGATACAGTCACAAGAGTGTCAGCTTGCAAAATGTCCAGGTAACTCTTTTTGAATTGAATAATTAATTCGAATAATAACATTTTTCTAACAAAGAAAGCTCAAAATCTCAGAGTTGGAAATTTCACGACGGTTCAAATTTTAATATGCTCAGAAATTTAGTAAATCTTGCTCTACGTTTTTAAATCATTTGCCAAAAATATTTAAATAAACTTTTTTTTTAAATACTACTATTTTCAGAAGCAATGAGGAACATTGTACTTTCGTCAAACTGTTCATGCGGATGTGATTTATCAACCACGGCAAACTCATTCTTTGCATCTGCAAGGTGCTAATTAATCATGATTTTTTTAATTTTTTAATTTTTTTTTAGCTACAATGGAGTTTGCAAAGGAAACCAGACTTGGACATTACAACCGGTTTCCGGGACCAATATTGTCGATTTTGAAGTTTCACAACCTCCCGGAACCCATGGAAGGCTTTTTTTCTTCTTGAGAGCTCCTTATGAGGTGAATTTCAATATGTTGAGTTAACTCTTATTTTTTCTTTCAGGAGTTAGTTTGGGCTTCAGGCTCCAACCAGGAAATGCAGTTTTCTCTCCCAACTTACACTTCAATTCATATTGTTTTATGGAGTCGAAAAAATGAATCGTTTTCTCCAGAGAATGGCTTTACGATATCTTATTCTATCCGAGGTGGGTTTTTTTCGAAAAATTGATTTATGATCTTTCACAAAAAGCTTGCTGAGGCTGCCAATATCACAAGAAGAGTAAATTAATTCTGGAACTACATAAATTTCTAAAAAAAGTTTGAAACACTACTTACTCTACCAAATGAAGGTTCCAAAGGTTGAGCTTCTTCTTTCTGTATCGAAAAAACGTTGAATATCCTCAGCCAACAGCATGAAATCATGAAATCCACCTTTTCGGTAATTTCGCAAGTTGAGAATCCATCAGATAAATCAGCGTTTTTGCAAATATTCAAAAAACCATTCTAAAAAGCTGTTGGTGGATTTTCTTATATTCAATCGTGATTATCAACGAAGAAAGCTTCAAAGAATTTGTTCCCAGACAATGAGAGCGAATAATAAAACGTCTGGTCAACTTTATGAGAGCAATAAAATTCGGGTCATTTTTTTGCTCACTATTAACGGCGTTCTTCCTGGATATGGACAGGACGCGTGACTTGATTTACGTAATTACTGGCAAGTATGTTTCGAGCCAAATGGCTCTGCATGAGCCAAAACGCCATTGAAGGTTATGGGACGAGGGAGGAGGGCATATGACGTTGAGTGAAATGAATGCGGTCAGCGAAGACATGTCAAACGAATCATGCCGGCGGCGGTGGTTTCGCCTCTCGAACCAAAACTGAGAGGGAGAAAACGCAATGAAAAGAAGTATAGTTTTGATGTGTGTGTGGCGTACACTAATGAGAATGCTAGATGGAATTTCAACAACCCTACGGCATGATTAATTTAAGAGTTCTACCAATTCGCCTTTCCGATCTACTTTTTGGGAAAACACTTCCAATGGATTCGTGGACAAAGATTGCTCGTCAATCATTCATTTTTTTTTATTTGGGCTGAAATTTTTTTTGAATAGTTCACTAGAATGGACACAAAAGAGACAATTTTACTGCATTTTCAACGACACGGAAACTGTTCATTAACGTCTTTCAAAAAAGAAACTGGCTTGTTATTAGTTCAAAGATAATGGCGCTTTTGAATTTCATGATGGTTTTCTGAAAAATCCTCAAATCATGAGCAGAACGGTTTTTTTCGCGAAAAAAACCTCAAAACGGACTGATAAAATTAGAAGTTAATTGTAGCCGATTTTTTTATTGTTAAAAAAAATAATGAATTCAATTAAGAATCAGCGTGATTGACAACCCAAAAAACAGATCAAAGCTTTTTTCTAGTCGGTTTCCTTTCACAGTTTTCAATCCGCAAAGAAAGTTTCTCAAGCAAAAAATTTCCAATTACATCAGAATTGGGTAGGAAGACATAAAATGATAGGATTCTTGAAAATTATGTTGATTTCAACAACATCAACAAGGATTTGGACTGGAAAACCTTCGCGAAATTAAAAAAAAACCTAGAAAAATCACAGAGTAACACTCAATTCACTTTTCAGGTATGGACAACCAGCCTCTAGTTGCGTACTCCAAATCTTGTCAGCCATATTGTACAGAAACGCTCGCCCTTGCGTTCATGAGTGAGATTTTTTTTTTCGGAAAACATCCCAATAATTATAATTTGTGTTTCAGGTCTTCTATTTATTGTCATTATTTTCATTCCGCCAATCATCTGCGCGTCAATAACGGCAAGTTTACGCCGGAATAGCACTCCTGATTTACCGTTGATGGAGAATAAGTGAGTCCCTGGAAAATCACAAAGAATACACGCTTTTCATTCAGATACGACGCTGACATGATGAGAAGCGCAAATACAGAATACACACAAGTCAGCTCAAAAAATTACGTTTCCAAAAGAAGCATCGGGATTCAACTCAGTGTGCAGAGCACTCCGAGGTCAGTTTATGGAAGGCTGAAACATTATTTTTTCTGAACTAGAAGTTGATAGTTTTTCCCGATTCTTCAGAAATTTGAAACGACTGGTCGATTTCAGAACCGCCAGAGCGCACACTTCGGCTGATTCACCTCTCCCCCCGCGGTTACAATCTTCTCTGAGTGAATGCGACGAGTTGGAATACGACTACTACGATGGAACGACTATTCCAGGCTCCATGCTGGCTCCCGTCGACAGAGACGTCATGTTCTCCCAGATCGACATTGACCAAGTAGTAGATACTCTAATACTTCCGAAATCGTCTTTTTTGCAGATTATTGGCCAGTCGGAACTTTTTATCAACAACGTGGAGAAGCAAGACGTCCACACGCAAATTTGATAGAATTTTTATATCCTATAATGTGTTGAAAGATTGAGAATCGGTCGAAAATGTTAAATTTTCGGATAAAAAAAAATTTTACGTCAAAAATTCTGCGAAGAAAGCTCGATATTTAAGCTTCAATGAGTTCTCATTAAACCGTGAGATTTGTAAATTTATCAGATTTACAAGAATAATTGAATGACAATCCTAAATTATTCCCATCTAACTTTCAAGGATTTTTCATAGCATGAGAACGATTCTGAACAGAAAAAAAAATCCGAAAAACAAAATTTTTTCTGCTGTTTCTCATTCCAAAGATTGACATTTCAATCTTTTTTTGAATCGATCCTGTCATTTCACATTTGTTTGCTAAAAGTTTATGTATGGGTAAGAGATGCTTTCTTCATAATTAGTTCAAATACGCTTTTAACCAGTTACCATATGATTTTACATTTTAAAACACTTCTAATTAGATGCCACAATGTGAACAACTTGATAAAAAATACTCGAAGTTTTCACAATTGCATATCCGGTACTTTTTCCTTTTCCTGACTTTCAAAAGACCGTTTTCATATCAGGTTCGAATGTACACGATTCTATCAAATGAACGGGATTGCCACGTTTCTGTGCATTTCATTAAAAAAATATGAGATCGAATAAAGAATTACTTGCAGCGTGGCTTTCAAGAAAATTGAAAATGTCGCAAGGAACAACAAGAAGAGGAAGAAGTTGCAAAGACTGAAAAATTGCAAAAGTATCAATCGATAATTGAAAAAGGCAACACATAAAACAGTCTTTATGATGCGACGCACTCTGAGGTCAACAAAAAAATATTCAATTCATTTTTTTCAAGCAAACTCACGTTATCAAACATTTTTCTTTTTCAGTTTTTTTGAAGCATTCTAATCATAGTCTCCGAATTAAATTAAAAAGTTAAACTTATATGAGGTTTGGAACAGTTTTTTACACGTCCATCTTAAACACCGCTTGCGTGTCCTTGAGAAATTTGGTCTCCGAAACTTAAAAACTCACTGGCTCGCTCATTTTCAATAGTAAAATTCATTCGTTTAGTCACGATAATCCGAAGTTTTGCATTGAAACATTTTTTGAGCAGCAATCTCATTTATAGCTTGTTGTATGATGAAAATTACAAAAGTTTTACCGGAGACATTGAAATTCTCCGATCCGTATAGCTCGACTTTTTTTTCTCATTTCATTTTTGGATTGAAAACTTTGATAAAAAATTGTTGGTAATCGAATCAGTAGGATTTTTACCGCGAAAAGAATAGCCTGAGCCATACAAAAGTACACTGGTTCACACGCAGGAATATCGTTATTCCAAAAAATCCAATTCCAAAAACTCTTGGAAAAAGTTGTTTTTCGAAACTTATGTCGACCACCAAAAAAAACAACAACAACACAAGCTTCATTCTGCCTAAATTGTAATATAAAAATTCTATTGTTTTGCAAAAAGGAAGAACTTCATTTATCCTTCCATTTCACTTGATAAACGTGCTTTTTCTTCCTAATTTGTTTTTCTTAATCAAAAATTTCCTACTTATAAAAGTTGAAATTTTCTCACTTAAAACAACTTTATTGATAGTCGTAATTCCTCTTTCAGAAAGAAGTCTACTGATATTATGTTTTTCTTACTATTGGTCAGCTTCTTTACGTTATCTTCCACTTTTCAAGAGGAATCAGGTAAAATTGAACATTTTCAATATCAAAGTATTTTTTTAAGAACAATGGATCTCCCAGCCTTTTTGTGTACTGAAGTCACGTCCGAAATGCCCGGACCATTTCACGCAGAGTGAAATGAAGCTCTCGGTTCAGAAAGACTTTGGCCTTACGGTTTTTTTTCACAGCTATATGAATCATATAGTTTTTTTGTAGGAAACCGCTCAAGACGGCGAAAAACTAATTTCACTCGGAAGTGCTGGCGAATCTTCTCTGATTCACAACAATTACGAAAACCGATACACACTGACCCTGATAGTCTGTTGCAAATAGTTTTATTGATCCTGCTAACAAATTAATCTTAACGACACCTTGTTCATCAACAAATGGGAATATCTTCCACCTTTGATTCATCTTGTTTGCCTGCCTTATTAGACAACAAAGATTAAGATATGCGCATTCTATTTGTAGCGAATGTCTCATATAATTGATGGAAGGCGCATTTCCATCGAGAAAGTAAAGAGTTCAAAGAAATCGAACTTTTCCTAATTGTTATGATCATTTTTTTCTCTCAATTTTTCTAAATTTGATGAATATTTCTATGGCAAACATCGAGTATTCTCAGAGATATGGCATTCTTATTTAAAAATAAGTGAGAATTCATCAGATCAAGATGTTCTCAAAAGTTGAGATCTTTCAATGTTGCAGAGACACACGCAAAAAAAAGTATTTTCACAACCAGCAAGGATACTCGTAATCAAATAAACGTTATATTCAAACATAATTTGTCTGCTGCTGTCGAACCTCAAACTTCTGTAAATCTGTGAAATAACGATAGCAGCAACAAACTGCTCGAAGAGCCCAAAGCTGTAAGGCAAGCTGGCAACCAAGTCCGAGAAGCGCCGCGAGAGCTGATCGCACTGAAAGATACGGTTTCTTGGTTTCTTTTAAAAATGGATACTGAACTGTAGTTGCTCTCTGGAACTTCCACATCCACAAAAAACTTCAAAATGATTTGAGTGTTGCAGGCTATGGCCAGTAGCACCATGATCATCAATACGGCGATTGCGAAAGCCAAAAAAATCTGAAAAAATATAGGCTTGAAGAAATGAAAGTGAAACTTACTTGCAGCGTGATAAAAGCGAAAAGAAGTTGCGCTTTCTGCTGTAGAATCCCAACGAACATGTAGAGCAGCGCGATAATCACCACAATCATCGGTAGTGCATAAAGTTTCATGTTCGGCCTTCTTTGCTGAACCGTTCAAATTCACTAAAGCAGACGAAAAACGTATTCAACCTCTTGTGATGTGAAAACGCAATACATCAATGACATACAAACACTGAGAAGGGCGAAAAATCCGATAGAGCAGGTGGCGACCTGAAATTGATTTTTTTTTTAATGTCCATAAGTTCAAGAAACAAATTCAAATTTTCAAAATTTCTATGTCTAATACTTATGCAAGAAACTGTACATACAGCTTTTTTTAAAAGCTTTCATATCATAGACAGGCTTGATAATGAAAAATACGAGCTTTTATATGACTTTCTTCACTTATCCATCGTAAAAATCAAACATTTTCAAAACGGGAAAGTCATTTAAAAGCTACATGCGCAACGAATTTTTCAAAACTTTGGAAATACGAGATATTCTCTTAAGTATCAACGCTGTCGTATTGCAAATTTATAGTAATTCGAAATCTAATATTCGTCCAATTGCACTTCATCCAAAATTTCAAAGATTGGTTGAAGAATTTTGTTATAAATTTCGCACTCGAAACATCAAAATAAACTAAAGGAGGACAACGCAAAAATAGATATCAAAAAACTTGAACTTTGAGCATGTCCTCAGGCATTTTCAGTTAGAACCCTTATTTTTTTCAACCTCACCTTAACATGCATGCATCCGAAGCAGGTCTGATAGGACGCATGATTGTGGTTGAAGATTCTTACGCTCTGCGTGCTTCTTGCCGAGTTGATGCTCTTCATGCTGCGCTGGCTGCGTATCGACCGCAGGCTTTTCATTGAATTGTGATGAGAAGGTAATTTTGGACTCCTTGGCGGTTGTGAGTCCATATCTGAGCAAAAGCATGTCACTTCCTCATTTAGACGTCAAGGAATGATCTAACTCGATAACACTTTTGAATGACTCCGCTAATTCAATAAAGCCGCCTATGTTTTCGAAAGAGTCGCTTGTTTGAAAAAAAGTTAGTTTTAAGGTTTGTAGAGGGAAAAAGAGATAATAGTAATTTGACAACGGAATGAGTGGGCAGGAAATGCGCAAATGCGGCGCCGAGGTGATAGCGCGAGATGAATATTCTCCAGCTCTGGATTATGGGATTAAGCACTTCAATAAATCCTCTTTCACATGAATTTTCTTCTGCTTCCTGGGTGTCAGGAGTATTTCGCAAAATTAATTCAACGATTTCAAGAAGCGGCACAATTTTGCAGCCTGTCCGAACATGAAATTAGTGGAACCAGTTGAAGATCGTCAGTTTTCCAATCTGTCAGATCCTAGCCAAACTTCTCAGATCAGGCATCGGAATCGTTTCAAAATGATCATTGAACCCTTTGAAGAAAATTCACAACAAATCTTCTATGCAAGTAGCGCAAACAACAAAACGATGTAAAAAAAACTTTATTTTGTAGCATGTAGCGCTAGTTGAGTGTCAGGATATTATGAAGAAGTATTCAAACAAAGAAGAAAGTGACGAGGATGAGTACAATGTATGACACGACCAGCAGCCAGTTGAAAACCTGGAAAGATAGGGTTTAAACGGAAAGAAATAAATCGAAACAAAAAATTTGAAAGTTAAAGGTTCATAAAATAACGTTTGAAGACTGGCTGAAAATTGAGTCGCTATAGCTAAACCAAGCGTTTTTTTGCTTTTTTTCTTTATTTTTTTAGTTGTTTTTAATAAAATCAGAAAAATAAATTTTTTTGAGAATTAACATTTTTGATCGTTCGGACAATCTTTTAATCTAGTGCCACTCTATATTGAAACGCTTTGAATCAAAATTTATTACTCAAAAAAATTGCTAAAAGAGCGGAAAATCTCACCGTAACAGCAATGAATCGAGGGTGATACACAGGGTCGGGATGTATTCCGTTTTTCCCCGATCGCCCTATGTACCAAGATTCAAGAGAAGCAGAAATAATGAGCAGAGCCAAGCAGATCACATAAAGAATAAGAAGCTGAAATTTCCGTGAAAAAGTTGAAATGAAAAAACGCTCACCTTCATTTTTCCAATAGTTCCTACAACATCTTTTTGGAAAAGGTTGGACAAGAAAATTAGCAGAGCAAAAATCCAAGTGATGAAAAGAATGCCAAGGATGAGACTTTGCCATCCGAAATACTGAAAAAGCAATATTAGAAAGAGGCTTCATTGCGTTTGAAACTGTTTTTCTTCGTTCGAATCGAAAAACTGAATAAAGTATACTTAGCCCTTTGAGAATTGAAAAAAAAAATTATACATGTTTGGAAAAAGTTATCTACAACAGCTCCAGATGTCTTTTTCACATCTTTCCGTTCCTCAAACTGATGCTCACCTTATAGATGAACTGGAAGTAAGTATCAGTGTCTCGCCAAATGAAAGAACACGCGAACAAAGCTGCGAATCCAAGATTCTAGAAAAAATTTTCCACTTCGGTCTTCATATTTTTCTTCAACTTACAACTTGCAAAAAGTTGATGAACCCATGAAGGGTTCGGAGAAACTCAAAGTTCATATCTGCAAAAAAAAGAAATGATAAACAAAAAGTCGGCTCGGCAGTTTTCAGATCTGGGAGGTTTTTTTGAGTTCATCGACAAACAAACAATCTCGGCTTTTGCGCAAACAACGACTGTTTCCACGGTGAATCAGCGGCTTCCAGTGGGAAAACTTCAAAACTATGAAATCAGTTGACAACCAACAAGCTTTGATTTCTGACAGAGCTAGGATTTCGGTTCGAGTTTTGATTTCTAACAGAGCTAGGATTTCGGTTGCTTTCAAAGTGTCCCGCGTGGAAAATGAATGGTTTAGAACAACAATTGCTGCCTGGAAGAGAAGAAATATGGGTAGAGAGATGAAATATGGAAAAGTGAGCAAACAAAATTGTGAAACAAGAGAACGAGTACCTCTCCCACAAGGCAGAGCTAGTACATAAAACACTTATGAAAACGCTAGTTTCAAAATTGGATTTTTAAGAAAAAAATTATCAGAAAACTAAAACATAAAAATTCTTACATGCAAATTTGGTCTCCGGTTTCGCTAAAAGTTTTTTTATCGGTAAAACTTGAGAATATATATGCCCGCGTTTATGAGTAATAGACAAATGAAATGTGTGGAATTTGAATTATGAGCTGCATTTTACATCTGATTCATCTTTAAGTCACGCTTCTTTTTTTGAAAGCAAAAATCAATAAAATGATCTGAAAAAAGAAAAGTTTTTTGAGTAGAATCGAGTTTTTTTAAAGTTTTGATTTACGTTGATTTTTTTCAACCATCATCATGAAAAATAAATTGGATTTGCAATAGCTCTCAATCATTTGCTCTCAGGAGCTGATGCGAAAACATTTTTTCAAGATGTTCCCGATCGAAAAGGGTTTACAGGTCGAGGACTTTCCGAGTCCGATTCAAACAGTTTAACAGACTTTATTGCTTTCAATCAACCCAGTTAGTCAATTTTTAAGCGGCGTAATAAGATTTAACAAATTAACATCCCCAAAATCAGAACTTTGAGCAGGGAGTATAGAACATTTTTCTTGTCCAAAAAATTTTTGACAAAAATTTCCAACTGAAGTGACCTCTCTCGTTTTTGTACCCATTAATATAAGCGAAAAGTGAGAAGGAAATTGATAGTCATAAAATGAATTCGGAGCTGCTAGAGGTGGCTCCAGAGGCCCGTCCGTCAAACGGAGCACGAAGCAATGCTGCGACTAACAAATATTAACCCTTGAGCATACGATTCGCTTCTCAATACTACACAACGCGCATGACTTCTAGCCGCCGCCTCACGCTAATGTCAACATGGCAATCAAATGCGCGGTACAAAATTGCACCGTTCCTGGGTTATGGCCGAGATATCTCTTTGATTCGTTGGTGAGCTGAGCATATCAGTTTATTTGATTTATTAGAACAGTAGAAGCAGCTAGATGGCAGAGGCTAATGCCTAGTTTTCAGACTTCGCTGTTTTCCAGACTGAAAAATCTCTTAGTTAGAAGAAGTTGGGAGCTGAATGAAGCTTGAAATTTTGTAATATTTCAAATATGATTTTTCAAATCTTCACTTAAGTCATACTCTAGCTCAATCTTAAAATTTCGATCCACTTGAAATTCTGAGAGCAGATATTATATTTTCAAAAAGGCAGATCCAATTTTATGAATTTTATATGACTGGAACACTTTCTGAGCGAAATCTCAATAAAACTGTTACAGCTCGATTCGAGTTAATTCTTGTTTGTTCAATGTTTTTTGGAAAAAAAACAGAAAAATCGAGTTTTTGATTGAAGCGACCACTGCCGCGAAATTTTGACACGTGAAATGGAAGTTTTATCCACGTGTTGTTTCTATCAAAGCAACAGTAACTTTATATAACTTGATGTTAGAAAAAAAATTTTCATCAGTTTGTTTATGAGAAATAACCTAAAAGTTCAGAATCCCGAGCTATTCGAATGGAAAATATTGCCAACTTTGATTGACTTTTGGAAAAAAAAAACTCGATTTGAAGGAAAGAAATAGGATTTTTTAGAGGTGTTTTCGGCCCTTGAATTGTATTATTATTTTTATTGAATAAATAATGAATGAAAAAAAAACCGGAAAAAATTATGTGTTCTATTCCTTCAAGCGTATTTAAAAAAATTTCGTGATTAGAATTTTTTTGATAAATTCTGAAAATAAACATGCAAAAAGTTGAACTTTGATGAAAACGAAAAAAAATTGAAAACTTGTATCCAACTGTAGCAAAAGTTTTCGAATAGCCAACTGACAAAAAGTGGTGAAAAGGATGTGAGAGCGCCATATTATTGAAACATGAAAAAGGAATTTGAATAGCCCCGTTTCAATATTCCAAATCGAATGTTTGCCTTTCTATTCTGACGAACGTTGCTACTAAAATCAACTTTTTTATCGATAAATAATGCTTCGTCGAGCTGAATTGTTGTTTTCCGGCCGAACAAAAAAATGTCGAACTTCAACGTTAAAGTGTGAGAAATCGGAACTGGAAAACTGTTTGCTTCAACAGATGAAGAGAAAAAATCAATTTGCCATGTGCCAAGTTTGTTTAGACTTACCCGCCGCTTCGGTACAACAAAAAAGTGTGCCATACGTCATTTACCATTGTCGCTAGGAGAAAAAACGCAAAGGAAATAAACATTACCAACGGGGAAACCTTTGCGAGCCGAGAGTTTGTGTGACTCACAGAGTTTTTATCAATTTTCGCGAGTTATCAGCCGATCGTCGATAAATTTGGTGACACCTTATGCCTTGTAATCATTGATGCAAAGAAAAACGGTTTGCTAGACAGAAAAGTAATATTTTGAACCCAAAAACCATTTTTTTTTTCGTTTTTTGGCAATTTTTTTGTTGATTTTCTTCCTTCTTTGCTGTCCCAAAAAATGATTAAACTCTACTCCTTGTCTAGAAAGAAAAAAACAATTCAAGGAGATAAAACACCCTTTATTTCTGTGACTAGCACTGGTTCGAGAATAACCATAAATATATCTACCCGTGGGTCGAAGTGTCACGCGATAATGATTCAAATGATGACAAGAAAAGTGAAATGATACCATGTTTTAAAACGAAATTATTAGAGGTGAAATTAGAAAAGGAATGAAACGACAAACATGCTGAGAAGGTAAGTGGGTTAAATGATTAAAACGGGGACTAGGTGAGTATTTACACAATAATCTACGGAAAAGACAATATACGTGGTTAATGGGTAGGGAAAAAAGAAAAAAAAAGTTTAGACGAGGACGGATTCATTGATTAAATCGAGGTCTCCTGAGCTGACGCTGTAAGCCGACTTCTTGCGGAAGTTTTTTTGAAGTGTTCCTGGAATTATGAAAATGAAAATATTCAGTTCATCAAAACGTCAAATTTTGCAAAATTGCCCCGAAAGGACTACAAAAAAAAATTTTTTTTCAAACTTTCTATTTCAACCGCAAAACGCTCGTCAGACAATTTCGCGGGCATTTGTAACTGAAAATATAAACAAAACCTTGACTGCTGTAGCGTTGGGCCTTCCACGAAAGACCACACATTTTTGCGAAGTCTCAATGAGGAATTTGGCACCCATGGATTTGTCACTGAAACTTTCATCTAATCTTTAAAATCACTCTTCTCCTCACAAAAGGTCACTGCCGGATGGAAGATAATGACGGTGGAACTCACTGGAGACACTCAAAGTTCCCATTTCCAGCAAACAGATTCCAAACTGCCAACTAAATTAAGAAAGAAAAGTAATTTTCGAACTTTTGTAGGAACAAACATATCGCCTCTGGACTCGTATTCCTTTCCAGCCATGACCTCAGGCGGCGCCACGCTTCTCTCAACCGGCATCGCTGGCCTGCAGGAATTCGGCACACAGGCCCATCCTGAATATTATGTTCAACAAATAATCAAAGAAGAGGATCGAACCAAAGTCGGCGAGCTTGACTTTTTGATCGCAGGGGATCTCCAACGTTTCGATGTAACCTCTGGTTAGCTGTATGTTGTTGCAAGTGATGTGTCTGTGGAGAACGCCATGACTGTGCAAGTACTCCTGAACACAAAATATGCAAATCGAATAATTAAAAGTCTTCTCACTATGGCTGAAATGATGCTAGCTCCGAACTGACACAAGCGAGTTGACAAGACGTGGACCGACCTTTCGATGTAGGAGTCAGGCGTGCTGAAAAGAGAGGTAAAGATCTTGGTTAATCGATTATTTCCCCAAGAGGAAGGCTGTTAGAGTGTGAAGTTTTACATATTTGATAATTTCACCAGAAAACTCTTTAAAAATCTTGTGATGTTCTACCTTTTTTGAAGGTTTTTGGAATTGCTTTATGATTTCTCTTTGAAAAAATATAAACGCATCTTTTCGTAGGGAAAGTTTAAACAGATGACAGCCCTAATTTTCTTTTTTGAATAAACTTTTGGGGAGCTTTAAAGATGAAATGAAGGCTTTCCCACTAGACTGTCATACGAAAATTAGGCTAATTCTGCCTCTCTTTCCTTTTTATTCAACTTTAACTGAGGTAGTCAAAGAAAGGGAAGATTTGAAGTTCTCTTCGCATCATTTTCCAGTAAAATTCGTAATTTTGCCGAAAATCTTACTTTGCGCCACTGCCCTGATTGGAACTGTTATAGCCGGAAGAAGGCGGTGAAGGCGCCAAATTGGACTTTTTCTGGAGAGTGCCGTGGACGATCGGCGTCGCAGAGGTATAATGAGTAGTTTGGGCAATTCTTCTCAGAGATGTGCCGGCTCGACGAAGGAACCTTCTGAGAGTGCCTCCAGGACACTGTTCAAACAGCATGCCAATAATCTGAAGTCAACAATTGACTTTTTGATGCAGGAATTCATATCCTCTCATTTTCTTTATTCTTCAAAGTCTCACATTCTTTCCTTCGAAGTCGCCCACTGATGATGTCGCAACGCCGCGCAAGTACATGATATTCTCATGACGTCGGTTTGCTCTCTGGAATGATAGAAGCGCGCAAAGTTCCGTTCTCAGCTCCGCACTCGCTGCTGCAATTCCCATCTTAGAAAGAACTCCAACTTCATAATCACCACTGCCAAAACCACACTTCAATTCATGTGAGTTGAGGTTACTGCCCTCAACCTTAACATATCGCCAGAATGGGCTAATGTCGTCTTCAGCGTTCTTGGTCACTTTCAATTCTTCGACAGGTTCGCTAAAAAGGTTTCAATTAAAAAAAATGTAGCTTTCAAAAAATTACCTATACATAGGCTCAAATTCGGCCAAGGCGGCAAACTTGGGCAGCACGAGAAAGGTATTTAGGTCATCAGGGGACGGAATTCGATAAAAATGCTGAAAAAAAAAATTTTTTTTGCGTTATGAAGTATCGATAACACACCGGACGATAAGCAGATTTTTCGCTTTCGCGAGAATCGTTCAGTTCATCGATGGTCTCGTAACCGTCTTCCTCATCCTCATCAGTGTTTTTCTCAGGATTTTCTCTCCACTTGTAACGCTCCTCTCTGTCCGTGTTTTTGTATTCGTGATAAACCGCAGCCTGGAAGAAGGGTCATTCCACAAATTATCACAATCCGCTCAAACCGAAACTGGTAACTTGGCCAGGCCGTCAGACATATTTACTAGACCATGCTGAAATTATTAATTATCTCAAGTTCCTAGAGTCTAACTCACGCAAACCGGGAGCTGAGGCCAAGCTGGAGAATATTCTGACTGAGCAATTACTTCTGTCCTGGTAACGTCTTTAGGGTTATCTGAACCTTTCTTTTACTCAACATAAATAAAAAAGAGTTTCACTTGAGTCACACGACACTTTAACGTTTTTAGGTAAGTTCGTGAAAGGCCGACGACGTTTCAATGTTGAGAAAAAGATCAACGCAGCGAGGCAAAGAAGAGCCAACAGAGCAAAAACCATGAACGCAAGTAGCTAAAAAAAATAATTTCTAAAGATTTAAAAATTTTTATGTACCAAAGGAGAATAGAATATATTGCTCGCCGAGAAAAACCGATACTCTTCATAGTACCGATGAAGCTGAATTATTCTCAAATAAGAAGTTGCTCTCAATTCAATCCTCACATGGATCTTCAAATCGCTGCTTTTTCGTCTTTTGATGTCAACGGCCCGAATCTCAGCGATGTAATCACAGTCCGAAGTGGAAACATAAATGGCACTTTTTCGTTGGGTCTGAATGAAATAATTATCTTTTGAAGTTCTCCAGAGTATACCCAAGGAACGTCTCGACGGATTGGATCCACTTTTTCGCAATGCAGTGATACACTTGAAATCAATGGAATCAGGGTAATTTCAAAATGAGAAATGGCCAACGAGTAGGCGATAACTTCGTCAGACTCCCGTTTATCCTTTTCGTCTAAAATCTTGGTATCACGGATATATTTAATTTAGTTCTGTACCGAATGCGTAGTAAGTCCAAGTGAGCAAAACGACATTGACATCCGGAACAGAGCTATTCCAGACGGCCGACATTTTCGGAATCGCTGGTGGAGCTGAAAAAGAAGTTTGTTGAAAATTACGTTCATCACAAAAAAAAAATGAAGACCCCGTTAACCCAACCATTCTACAGATTCAAATGAACATCTCACGCGCGGGCCGATGTAAATGGATGTCTGACCAAGATTAATAGCTCCACTTTGAGATCTGCCACCGATATCCCGAAAATAACAAAGACGCCTCTTTCAGAGGCTTTCCATCACAAAACAATGACTTTTCTTTACCAAACAGCGCTTGTTTCTCATTGATCGGGAATCTTTTGTTGAAGGCAAGGTCTTATCGCCATAAATAGTGTACTTACCGCACTTGGTGGAGTCGTTGATCATATGCATGCACTGTGGGACGTTAAAGTGGGTCTCGCTCTGTCTGAACTTGGCCAGACGGTCGGTGGCATTCGAGTAGTCCAGCTTTAGCGTGTATTCTTGATCAAAATCTAGATTTTTCAGAATGAGAGCTTTGCTGGAGTCCTGAAAAAAGCCTTTTATTGAGTGAGTGAAAACAGCTCCATACCATCTGGTAAGGGAAATGAATACTTCGAGGAGCGAAAATATTCCGATACGAAACAAAAAGTCGGCACGCCGGAATTTCGAACTGAGAAGGTGTCTTGACGAAGAAAAGGACAGAAGCCTTGTCATCGAGCCATTTCTGTAAGAACAAAACATTTTTCGGAGCGAGTTTGACTGAAACCTTCTCCATGGGTAGGAATTGCACGTTGGCGACGTAGACCAATTGTTCGTAGGTGTACCAACGGGAAAGGACAATCTTTCCGGTCGGACCAGATTCATCAAAAGTGAACAGACGGATTTGAAAAGCCTCCTTTCTTTCAGTGAAGTTCTTTTCTGGCAGCACGTATTCGAGCGAAAAGTTGCAAGTGGTGGAGTAACACTGAAATTGGTTTTTTGATCGGAAGATCACCAAACTTTATTTGAATCACACCTGAGATCAAACATTCGAATGTGACTGGCTACGAGGACTGAGATCAAAAAAAATCTTTTGTATTTCATAGAAATTGCCAAAAAAATTGCTTCAAAACCATGGTTGGTCCACTTAAAAGACAAGCGAATGCTTTCAAACATTAGTCCATTCTCGAGAAAACTTCAGTGTGACACATGTTTTATCCCTTGACTTGTCATGTTTGGCAGTGTCACGACCTTGCGGGCCAAAAGCACCGCTTTTAACGGCTTCACTAATCCGCTCGACGCTGCCGTGAGAGCGCGTGTACACACCATTTGCAACTATCCTGAGACATCTGCCCCATTTCATGATTTATTGGCCAAAACAAGTAGGAAAGCTATTCAAAAGCTAGATGGTTAAAACGGCCCTGTAACTTTGAAAAAAAATTATTTGATATTTGTTTCGGCTAATAACAAAATTGTTTGCTATCGGAAAAATTTGAGATTGTGCTTGAAAACCGCCGACCGACAGTTGAACGAGATTCTGGGTGAGCAGAAAAATTTTTTTTTCTCGAGTAACCATCAAAGGTTTCTAAATTCTCCTAAAATTACTCGCTCTCAAGCTCTCGTCTAATCTTTCGATTTCTATTTGACTACTCGAGAAATACAAAGCTCCACTGGGCGCTAGCCAAAACCGGGACCGTGGGAAGACGAATCGGCTCTATCAACAACTCAGACCCAAATATTGAGCCGACGGCATGAATAATCCCGCTCTCACCGCCATTTTGACCGGAATGTCTTAGGAGGATGTTGGGATACGAGTTCTTGAGAAAAATTCAGGACAACCTACTTGTGGCGGCCACTTAAGGCTGCCGCAACTTAGATAATCAGTCTACGGACGCAGCCACTTGAGCCGCGCCTTGAGTTCGGGAAGTCACGCTTCCAGGAAAGATTGTACGATAGTGAAGCAGTAGTACCAGTTCCAACAGAAAATTGACCAAAATTATAAGTTTGTTGAGGTTGCGTTTTAAATATTCCCTTTTAGTTTTGTGGTACTGCAGTATCAATTTTAACTATAGAAAAAAGCTCTCAACTGTTTCTGATAAGTTTTTTGTTCGACCGAAAACAAGTTTCGAATCATATCACGTCCAGTCAAAATTTAAAAAGAATGGACTTTTTTCTTTACTATTATTACTTTATAAACAAAGGTTGGCGCAAACGAACCCAAGTTTGGTAGAGAATCGTCGGAATACTCTCGTCCGACGGGATTTCTGTGTCGTGGACAACAATTTCCATATTGTGCACCAAGTTCAGTTTGGCCGTCCCTGGCAGCAAGTCGATGAACACTTTTCCCGTCATTTTGATGGTGTCGTTTGGGACGAAGCCTGTTGAGTTCTCAGCGCACAGGAAGGAGACCGAACGCACGTATTCATCCCGAAGAGGAATGTCTGAAAAAAACAAAAGTCTTTGAGATGAAAATCAAAAAGTAATACCAGGGAAGTTGGTAACGAGTGTGTTGTATGCCGTTTGGCCGAAAAGGAAAGGTCCAAGCGGCAAGTCGTTGACCCCCGGAGATTTGCATCCGAGTTTGCACTGTAAAAAGTTTGATTGAAGAGAAAACAAAAGAAAAGAAATTACCAGGGAGAAGTTAGTATTGTTAAAGATCTCGAGGAAGGCGACGGTTTCTTCCAGATTGTTCAGCACTTCTTTACGGGATCCGTACTGAAAAATCCAAGTTTGGATAGTAATATACAGTTCGTGAGATGATGAGCGGCGTGTTGAAACTTTTTAAACTAAAAATATTCGTTTTTCTCCACTGGCGAAAATGTGGATCCCAGTAGAACGGGAACAGTAAATGCTCTTTACTTGTACAAAGAACTTGAGATAAATTTGATTTCTCCTTAATTCCAATTATTTCTGGCTTCAGAGGTTTTCAAGAGTAGACCCCGCTGTTCCAGACGATTGCTTTAAACGCTTTGACATTTTCCAAATCTCATCCAATTTAAACCTCCGTCACATCCTCTGGGGTACATAAAAATCATGAGCGCCGCCGTTCTTGTGAGCCACGCCAAAGCATCTGGCAGGCTTCATCCAAAGCCACTCCACGGGAAACAATAAAGTTTTATAATTGAGGTCCCGATGTTGGAAAAGGGTAAGGAGAGAACAAAAAGTCAAGTTTTTTTTGAGATGCAATGCTGGGCAATGCGAGGCTAATTAGATTGGTTCCAAAAAAGAATTGGCTTACTTCTTTCAGACATCGTGACTGACAGGAACCCGATATTGGCAGTGAACTTTCGTAGGCTTGTGAGTACGGAAGAAGTTGAAGCAAAAAGGTTAGTAAGGTTAATATCCGTGACATCTCATCCGGTAGGAGCCTGCAAAAGTAAATTTATTCGAGAATTGAATAAACACGCGGATCGAAAAAACGAGGAAAACCACAAAAAAAAAGAAAATCAAAAGGTTGGTAGGATAGGAAGTGGGTATTTTAACTCTCTAATTTGAACCTCCGATCAGACAGGCCGAGTTGGCACCCTTTCTCCTTCCTGGCAAGTGAGTTATTGGTTTCGCTGCTCCTTTCGGCGCCTTCGCAGAGCATTTTGAGCAACAGATTCACACTGCTTTCAAGCAAAAAAAAAAACGGCAAATTCAATAAAAACCAAATCAGGCGAAAAGTTCGCGCAAATCAAGTTTTGAGCGCATCCAATCCTCTGAGAACCACTATAACTCTGCAGGTTGTAAACAATCATTTATTTGATGGATGAGAAAAGTAAAGAAAATTGGGTTTATTGAGTAGTAATATCAGGCTAAGTACGCTATAGAAAAGAACGCGAAGAAAAATGGATGAAGGGGCATCCATGTTGAAAGAAGTCGACAATGGGGCCATAATTGCGGTTCTTCAATTTTGAAACTTAACTGCATTCCAAACGCTTCAAGTCATTATAGTTCAAAAACGACGATTACGCGGGCAAGCAAATGGAGTTTCGCGTGAAACGTTTATTAATGATTCAGGTCGAGAATATAAAAGTCAAGTGAACCATCTGGCTTTCGCCGCGACGGCCACAACACGTCCTTTTCTCACCTCATAATCCAATAATTTCCGAAATGCTTAATGCCAACTTCATAATTCATTGAAGAGGTGGGAAGCATTGAGTTAGTTATATAATCAAAAAAGATCCTGATTCAAAATACAGATAGCTTCATAGCTCTCGAATCTTTCACGTTTCCATGTTCAAAAATAGGAGTTCTTTGTATTTTTTTTAGATTACTTTCTTCACGCCATTAGTGAGAAGAAGATATTAAAAAAAACAATTGATATCATTTTCTGTTTCTTTGAGTATCTACTAAGTTTGGTTTTTCGCTCATTTATTTTGAAAAAAATTAACTTTTGAACTTCAAGCATCAAAGGCGCTATCCAAAAGGAAAAAAAAAGACGCGGAACATTCATTAAGAAACCTTTACAAGATGGGTGAAACTAGTCGGAAGATTAATGAACTGGAGTAATGAAGAGGCTACGCGACGATAAATCTTACACGCGCGATCGAAATGGATCATGCATTGGTTCCACTACTACGTTGTCCACTACCCACTAGACCTCAAAAGGAATGAAAAAAAGTGCGCCGGTGAGTGGTTAACGGAGGATGAGGTGACAGCCGGCAATTTGGTGCGTTCGGAATCAGCTACCAACCACAAAGGCTGCCCTGTAATAAAACACATCTCAAACAGAGCCTTTGTGGCGGCGACCACATATCCGACAAGTTGCCGCCGCCCTTCACGGCTATCGCAAACAATCGCGCAAGGCGCCAAATTGGACACCGGTGCCGCTACCGTATCACTGGCCGACGATGAGCAAACGCGCGCAAAGGATAATGGCGTGAATATCGCAGCGGATGCGAAGCAAACTCTTAATAACTTCTTTATCAAGTGAAAAAGCTGTCTTCACTACTGGTACTTTCTTGGTTGTTAATGCACAATTTCGCCGCAGATTTTTATGAAGTGATATATGAAAAAATGTTTGTTCTTCTTGAAGAAAAACAAAAAATTACGGCAAAAAACGCTTAGAATCACAAAAAAACTATTTCTGGTATAAAACAAGCGATAAAAAAAGAGGCAATAAGGTTGAAACTTTTCAGTCACTACGTAGTTAGAAAAAAAAAATTGGAAGGCAGGAAAGCTTCGAGGTTAACACTTATCACAAACTAAAAATCATCATCTCACTGGAGAGGATCGAGAAAACGCGTGCCTCGGACAATGGATCGAAAAAAAAAGGTGAGACACCATGTTTTGATAAGATCTCTATCTCGGGAGGAAAATGACAAAGGCGAAATGGTTTTCTTCGCCGTCTGTTTCAAATGTCATGAACAAAGCTTTTTGAAAAATTTATCTCTCAAGACTTTTATGATAAAATGGTTCCTTTGCCAAAAAATGTTTTGTTAGAAAGAGGAAAAGTTAACTGAGAAAAAGAATGGAACTTCATAAAGAAGTGTTATTATTCACACAGCTGACGGAAATAAAAAAATAGCTGGATGGAGTCGAGGAGCCGACGAAAACAACAACAGTGCGAATGACGAGGTGGCGACCGTTACGCGATGCAATGCGGCTCTTTTTCGCGCGCGCCAAAGACATGGTAGATCAAAAGATAGGCAAAACTCTTGCCGCAAATCTTGTTTCTCGAACAACTTTTTGGGAGTCTGATTTACTCGAAAACAGATTTTTCATTTTTTTGGTAACGTTTTTTTAGTTCAATTTAGCTAGCAAAAAAACAATTTTTTTATACAATTCCAAATTTTGTTCACAGTTACTTTTTTTATCAAAAAAAGCTTTCTAGGAATAGCAAAAAGAAAAAGTTACAAAAAAATTTTTTTAAAGCTTTTTTTCAAAAAAATTTCAAGTTGCTGTCCTAACTTTCTATTTTCTTTGAGTCATTTTTCTACTCGATTCATTTTTTTGATAATTTCTGCTTTGATAATATTTTTTAAAAAAATTTAATTTTTTTATCCTCTACCAGCCGACTGGACGACAGGCATATTGAATGAAAGTGAGCCAAAAGAGCAGCAGGAGGCCCAAGAAGCCATGTGCAACACGAGCCTCAGAAAGAGCAGTATATCATCCTACCGCGACTGATCCTGCCGTCGCCACCAGGATTATTACACGACCTCAGATGCAGCTAATTCTGATGAATAGTCAAGTTTCGATGGACCGAATCTCTGCACAAGTGTAAATCTGGATAAGCGAACGTCATCAACAGAGCTATTTTTCCAACCATCCAGCATATTAGGTGTCATTTCCGAGAATTCATGTAGCGCCCTCGAAAAATGAAGGCAATTTAGATAAGTTCTTCGTTTGCAAAAATTTTTGATTTATAAAATATGATGATTGAAAAAAAATAACTTGATGCGTTGGACTGATGGAAATTTGATAAAATAGCCACATCGAACAATATTTTTTTGATTTTTTTGAAAAAAATTTTTATTCAAAAATCTTTGGCTTAAGTTTGTCACTTTCTGCTAGGACCTCATACTATCTTCTTATTGATAACTGGTTCAAGTTGAGGGATAGTACAAAAAAAAATCAGGAAAAGGAAAAGAAGAGGATTTGATCTTGTTGCATTCTTGAACTTCCAGGAGCGCAAAGTACGAATAAATCAATTTTTTTTTCGAGAACGCAGTTCAAAAAGAAAAAAAAAACCGACATTGCTGAATTAACCTCTTGAGCTTTTGCAAGACTGAATAAAGCCAAGGTGAATGAATTGTAGCAATCATAATGGTGAAAAACGTAACCAATGCGAATTTTCAAAGGCTTCCTTTTGTAAAAATAAATAATCAAAAAAATGCCCCAAGAAGAAAGTGGAAAGAAAGCAGAAAAGTAACCGCGAGTTTTGATTGAGGGTTGGATGGGTTCGTCTGAAGCCGAGCCAGGCAGGCTCCTCCCACTTTGGCGGTGAACCCCCGCGCATCAACCGACCGTGTAGCTGTTTTCATCGCCTGTAATGCACTCTAGTGGCCAGCTGGCTGCTGTTTTGTGTCGTGTAAGCGACACGAGCATGTCCTAATTAGGAGGAGAACATCTACGCCAAGAGCTCCTTGAGCCGTCTTCATGACAGCTTCCGTACCGCATGTCTCCAAGTGGATTGAAAATACAGAAAGCAAACACTAAAAAGCCTTTGCTGAGATCGCTTCAAAACCTCGAAAGTTTGAGCATCAAACCGGAAAAAAATTTAATTTTTTTATTTATTATTGCAGTTGAATTCGTCTGACTTGAGGATGGTAACTGGAAAAAAATAGGAAATTAGGATTTTTTTAAAGAGACAATGATATCTTCCTAGAAAATTTCGATTTTTTTATCTTAAAACGTTCTTATCAAGTTTTTTTATGAAATTGTGGTTTAAAGTCACGATGAAGCTCTCGTTTCACTGAATTTTAGTGGAATAACTCCAAGTTACAGTTTTTCGCTCTGCCAAGCATTAATGATTGCGAGAGACAAAGATTTCGGCTAGAAGAATCGATCTACCTGATTTTTTTATTTTATCGAAATTCCCATTTTTTTGATATTTTGATGTTTTGAATCTTCGTATTTTTGAAGAAGGATGATTCTGAGAGAGATTTCGTTTCCCACAAAAAAATTAAGAAATTGAGATACTCCACGAAAAAAACAAAAAAATATTTTTCAAATATAATTTATAAGTGTTTTTTTCTCCTTTTTTTAACAATAAGGAAAAACAAGAACTTTAAAACTTTCCTAAACAATTCTAACTTGAGCAGATATCTTGATCAAGTAGTAAGTTGATAAAAAAAGAAAAAAATACTAATATTATATAGCCGGCATTTTTTTCAAAAAAACATAATTTTATCTTTTCCCAGTTTCAGAAGACCTCAAAGTGTGAGAGAGCTTTCAATCTGCTGGTTTGAAGCTTCAGCTTGACTTTAGAAATAATGGAAACGTTTCTGTTTCAGAATCGAAGAATTGCCATTCTCAACTTAACAAAAAAAGAACGGGTTTTTTTTTGTATCAAATGGCTCTTAGAGGCTGCAAAAACATTTATAACGCCGAGGGGAATCCGAACCGAAACGTCCAAACAAAACATACGCGCGAGGATGCTGACAGGATTTTTCCTGGTTTTACGATATTATTTAGAGATTAGGGTTCCGTGGTCACAGAAAGGAATGAGGTAGTGTTTGATAATATCGCAGCAGCCAGCCGACCTCTCGAAACGCCAATTTGAATATTATGTTCTCGCATATGGTAATAAACATGCAGCTGCCAGTTCTCTTTCCATTAATTAAAACTTGAAATTTGATGGCTCGAGAAAAAAATATTTAATAGCTCTGTAAAAGCAGAACTTTCTCAAAACATATAAAAATTTGGAACGGCTTTCCTTGAAGCAAAATTTACGTTCCCGTAGTGCCTGTCGATGACACGTCAATCTAAACAAAGTTAAGCGGGAACGAATATTTGTCCGAAGCTAAAAGTGAAATGTATAGTGTTTTGGTGTATTTTCGAAGCTGTTGAAATATATTCAGCAAGGAAAAAATTGCGAAAATCGTGTAGTCATATTGCTCTGTTGCAACCTTTTCGAAAGTTTTTCCGGTTGAGAGTTTGATAGAAATTCGCTTTTTTTAAGTTATTTTTTTAAATCTTGAATTTTTTTGTACCATACTTCTTCAACAACACAGCATCATTGCAAAACCAACTTTTTCTATCCTATCGTACCAATGTGAATAACCAAAACTACAGGAATCTCCGCGGACTATTAGTTACAGACAAAAGAGCAGAAATCCGAGTCGAGGGACAAAAGACCTGAGCCGGAGCTGGACGGCAAGGACACGAGATTACAAGGTTTGCGTGGCGAAATCGTGCACGTGCGAAAGAATGTCGAGAGGTCGAGAAATCCGAAATCGGTGCGGCGGATGGTGCCAGCGAGCTCCAAGTCTAGGTCACACACACGGTCATCTACCGCAATGATTGCCTCGGACATCGAGGGATTATCTTTTGCTGCCAGACTTTTGCCTTACCGTATACTCAGCGTGCAAGGTATAATTTATTCATAATAGCTTGCTGGGTCGAAGGGAAGGAGCCAGGAAAAATTTGGTTCAAAGACGTTTTTCAAAGTGACCTGCATAGCTCCTAAAAAGGAAGGTAACTAAGTTACACTCGTTTAGAAAATTTCTTGTCGTATCAAAAGTTATGAGTTAACAAGCTGTTTTAGTTTGATTGTTTAATTTTGAGCAACAAGGTCTCAAAGACTCGAAAGGATCAATTTCACAAAATTCCGATGATTTTGTTCCCCGTTTTTAAATTTTTTGCAAGCTCAAAAATGATCTGGAGTGTCTAAAAGCATTAGAATACTTTCATAAACATTCCAATCAAAAAGTCGAATGACCCTTCTTGCTGGTTAGATTCCCTTGAAGAGAAGATGCTCAGTCAACAAATTTTAATTCAAAACGGAAAGAAAAAACTATAATGCGGATTCCGTGTGCAGTTAATCTCTCGAGCTGCATCTTTCAAATTTAAATTTGAAAATAAATTGAAATAGGTGTTAGTAACCGCACATAAAGATTTGGTTGAGCGTGATCATAATGAAATTCGAAAAAACCTTACCTTTTTTCATCCAAAAGTTCTCTCAGCGCTCAAAACTGTACAACATTGGCGTTATTTAAAAAAAAAACAGTTCAATCGAGGAACTCAGAGTTTCTGTAACGATAAAGCATCAGATGAAAAAATCAGATGGAAAAAACATCAAGTTTTGAAGTCTGTTGTCAACATTATTAAAAAATTTTAACAGAGACGGAACAATTGAAATGAAACGAAAAGTTTATTTTTAGATCCTATAAACGCTGGCCGTGAACTGTGTTCTGTGCAGAAAATCTGATTTTGTTTACAGCTTCAATTTGGGTGACAAACGAGAAAAAAGTGTCAAAGCGTCATGCAAAGAAAAGTAACCTCGTTTCGAAGAAGTTATGTGCAATCGACGCAGCACATGGAGTAGAACGAGCTTTCCGGATTGAAAATGCATTGAGGACAAAAAATTGAAGGCCCTCACTTCAAAACTTTGCGACAAAGCGCCAGTGTTTTATTCCGGCACAAATTGAAAAGAAAACTAATAAAAAAGACGGCGTGTTCGGATCCAGGAGAAGAGGAGCCGCCCCCAGTCGTCTCTGCCCTTTCCGTCTCTAGACGTTCTGCAGATCAAATACATTAGATTCTTTTTTCCGAGGTCTGCCCTATCAAGATGTAAACATTTGTCTCCAACGCTTTTCTCTTTCTTGAAGTTTTCATACAACTTTTGACAGACGGAAAGATTGAGGATTAAAATCTTAAAGTTGTGCTTTCTTATGGACAAATTGAGAAAAAAGATTTAATGGGACATGAAAAAAGAGTTTTAATTGAACTCCTTCGTAACTCTGCAAAAAAAAAACTCCCAAAATTGTAAGATTTGAAAACGTCTGTTTTATTAAAAATCGAGCAGAACCTTCAAGCTCACAAAAAGGATCAAGAAGTCCATCTCTTAGTCTAATTCAGTGTGTTTAATCAATATGAAGGGTGAGAAAATACATATGAAGAGGACATTACTATGAAAAGGTTTTAGGATTTCAGAAATTTCTTAGAGGAGAAAGGATTTAAAGATATAGACAATATGTTATAGGAAAAACTACTCCACGAACTTGCAAAAAAAAAATCTACAGTGATAGTTTATCCAGTGCTCGCTTCTAAAATTGTTTTTTTAACTCTTTTAATTTCAATGTTCAGTAAAAAAAGATCCGGACATTTTTTTTAGCTGGGAAAAAACTCTTTCATGGTTTTTCTTGTTTTCAAAGAAGAAGAAAATTCAACACGCGCCTTTTCAACATTAAAGTAGTTTCGATCTTATGCTGGATGTTTTCCATCATCGAATAAAAGAATAAATTAATGCCTAAGCGTTTCATTTTCTCTGATGAGTGCATAAAACAACGAGCGCTCTAATTATGAGTCGTTAAGAACGTTTAATACGTAACCATATGTCGGCGAAGGCTCTGAGGAATATCTCAATCAAGCTTTTCATCACCTTGTAATTAAGGGTACTAGCTCTTTTGAGATCGTTTCAATTGCTAATGAAAGATTCGTTGAAAGAAAGAAAGTTCTCAAATTCTGGCAATTCACACTGTTCCTTCAGAAATTATGGTTTTACTGTTTCAGAAACAAAATGGCTTCAAATTGTAACTTCAAAAGTTTACTAGCTCCGAATTTTGTTTGCGAAGTTCAAAATATTACGTTGATTCTGTTGAAGACAACATCACTCTCAAATCTGACCACAAGTTTCTAAATATTTGATTAAACTAAAGAATCACTCACTGCTCACAAAAAATACGGGAAAAGGTCTTCTGAATTGGGGCTTCGAAGGCACAACTTTCGGAGAAAAACTTCGTCATTTAGGAAAACTGTCTTCCCTTTTTCCTAATTTCTCAATTTTGCAAGCATTATTCTAATTCCGAAAGAAGAAAATCCGATGAGGTAAAGGTCACCTTGCGGGACACTCAGTCTTGCACGGAAATCCGCGTCAATTAGCGAGTGTTGCGGGTGAGCGACGATGATCGCATACAATAAAAACAGTGGTGCGTTCACGAGTGGCCATTTGATTGAAATCTATAATTATCTACCTAGTATATTCATCTTCAAGATCGCGCCAGACGTTGTTGCGAGCAGAAATTCGGCAAAGCATAACATGTCGGGAGGGTAATTCGAAGTGTCTTTTCGAATATTCTACTTGATTAGGAACTGCGCCTAACCACATATCTGCCAAATAAATTATTCAGAGACCTCATTTCTCCGCACCACAATAGCCATGGCTTTACTTTTTTGCAACCAAATCATTTTCTTTGCCTGGGAGGACCTCAAAACAGCCTTTATAATAAGATTTTCGACTAGGGATTTTTTCCTAAATTACAGCAGGGATAATTAGACGTGGTGTATCTAGTTCTTAAGACATATACGCCGTTCACCTGTATACATCATGAAAAAAATAGAGCTTTGAAAAAAAATGAGAAATTTCCACCAATTTTCGTTACCTTTTGACAATTTTTTTGAGATGAAGCTATAAGATACGTTTTTTTGTATTTTATCCAAGTTTCAGTTCAATTTAAAAAAATTTCCCTTCCCAGAGCAGAATTCCCAACTGAGGACATTTTTGCCGGAGATCTTTTTCAAATTTTTGAAGTTATTGATTGAAATGAATTTTTAAAGGACAAAAAAATAAAGAATTATAAAATTTTTATTGTAAAAAGTTACACAAAGGAGAAGAATTAAAAAGGCAAGGCAGGCGGTGGGGACCTCGACGCTCTTGACGAAGGACATGGGGTATCCTTCAAGACGGAGGGTCTTCTCACGAGCGTCGTTCAGGAGACGACGGGCTTCAGCCTTGTGGCGGGGCAGGCAGGTGAATCGCACCTTCTTCGGCTGCGATTCCTCGGCTTCGAAGCCACGGCGGCACTCCTTCACGGGCTCGAGCGAGAAGCAGACGCGGTGGGAGTATTCGACGACCTTGGTCTTTTCGACAAGTTCTAAAACTTCCCATCAATCTTGAAGTTAGCTTGATCACCAACCGGATTTCTCCTGACGCGATTCGCGGCTCTCGGTCTCGTACTCTTCGGAGTCGTACTGCTCAGAGTTTTCCTGTTCGTTTTCGTACTTGGAGACCTTGTAGTTCTTCTTCTCGGAGAGGCGGCTCTCTTCGACTTCGCACTCCTGAAAATATTCCATAGAAATAGCAGTTATAAATTAAGAATTACGTCATCCTTGAGAAGGAAAGAGCGGTGGAACTCCTCGATGTCTTTGGTTTCGTTGTCTTCAGCGGTGCGGAACTCGTTGTCAGACTGAAAGTATGAAATTTTGTTTGAAACAGAAGTGATTCCATACGTTGTCGTCGTTGTTTCCGCAGAGTCCGCAGAGTCTGCCCTGAGAAAGCTGGTTCATGTTGGTCTTGAGGGTGTAGCCGTCGAACTGGACTTCTCCGTCTTCGAGCTGGATGACAGCGAGCTTCTCGTTGATGAGTTCGATGCTAAAGTTGTTTACCATTGAAATAGACTCATGAAAGAAGCTCACTTGTACTGGGAAAGCTCAGAAGGCTTGTTGACCTTCTTCTCGTTGACCTCAACCTTGATTTCTCCGTTGCGCTGTTCCAAGACGATTTCGTCGTTTTCCTTGACAATCTTGACCTTCAGAAGATCGCCCTTCTTGTTGGACTTCTTGGCGAGGATGGCGAACTGAGATTCCTCAGAGCAGTCCTTGGCGATGACCGAGTAGCAGGTAGTGAGCGGAGCTTGGTAGATGAGGTTGTCGAAGGTGGTGACCTGGTCCTGCTCGAGCTCGCAGACAGCGTTGACCTTCTCAGAAAGAGCACGACGCATGGAGCGTTGAGCAATGGAAGGCAGGTAGACACGAGTGGGCAGTTCGGCGTTGGAAATGACGACGTGCTGCTCAGGAGTCTGGACGGAGACGTTGCAGTACTGGCGAGTGATGGGATCAACGGTCAGACGGAGAACGACACGGTTTTCCTGGTTGTCCTGGGAACGTTCCTGGGTGCTCCAGAAAGAGTAGGCCTTGACGAGGTTGAACAGACGGCCGAAGACGAATTCACTCTCACGGTTCAGTTTGTAGTTGGCGACGGCGCTGATCTGGTTGAGGCGGGCGGCCTTAACAAGGCGTTCGTACTCAAGCATGCCGTTGGATTCACGCTCGATGCTGTGGATCCACTTCTTCTGCTCAGGGCTCTGTTCGAGCTGGACGTTGACTTTCAGCTCATTCTGCTTCTCAGATCCCCAGCGGGAAACAATCGTAGCCTGGACTTCACGATGAGGCAAATCCTTGAGCTGGCGAAGAGTGTTGGGCATTTCCGGGAGCGCGACAAGAAGTTCCCAATCGAGGTTCCACTCTTTGCGTTCAGGGTGAGAAGGCGAACGGCGGGCTTCCAAGGTAGCCTTGACGACGCGAACTTCCTTGTCGAGGACGGTGGTGAGCTCAGAGTTGAAGTATTTCTCATCGGGAGTCTCCAGCTTGAGAGTCAGGCGATGTTTGTAGCCAGAGCCAGACTGGATGTCGCGGATCATCTTGTGGAAGTGCTCACGACGCTTGTTCTCATTGCGCTTCTCGAACTGAGAGTCTTCAGATTCGAACTCAGGCTCGAAGACGTTGTTGAACTCGACCTCAGACAGCTGAGAAGTTTGGAGCTTTCCAATGTTCAAACGAGCCGTGAAGCGTCCTTCTTGACGGCGGCTTTCGACGGTGTATTCGATGTCCTGCTCGCAGAGAGCGGCGTTCTCCCAGGTCCACTGGTTGAGCATGTTTCCGCGGACAGTCATCTCAAGACCGAAAAGTTTGTAGGATCGCTCAACCTCGACGGTCTTGCGCTGCCACTGAGGAGCGACCAAAGTCTTCTCTTCAGCTTCGACGTAGTTCATTTCTTCAGAAGTAGGGAATCGCAAGAAAGCGACTGGGCGGCTGGAGACCTGGATGGTGGTCTTCTTGTCCTGAGGAATGGTCAAAGAAAGCTCGACTTCGACGTCCTTCTTGAGGATGATTCTGGCGTCCATCTTGACGCGGACATTGGCTCTGATGGATCTGAGCGACTTGGTTCCTTGTTCGAAAAGAGGAGTCCAGAAGCGCATCTGAGTGACGTGAGTGGCAGCAATGGAAGGCTGGACCTCAAGAGTGAAACGGCTTTCAAGAGACATAAGCTCGACGGAGAGCTTTCCTTGGACGGAGAAGACAGTAGGGAGCTTGACAGTGATAGCCAAAGGCAGACCCATGCTGGTAGGAACCTTGCGGGTCATGTCGAAGAAATAGGCGGCGTGGTGGTTGTTGAATTCCGGAAGCTGGTTGAACAGACGCTCAAGAGACGAAGTCTCGATCTTTCCGTTCTTGACGTACTTCTCGACAAGACGCTCGATTTGTTCGACTTCAATGGGGAGGACGGCGAAGTCCATCTCCTTGTAGCGCAAGTAGAAGGCGGCGTGAGGTTGTTGGGTCTCTTCAGAAGAACTGCGCGAGCGGATGTTCATCTTCTGAGCCAGTTTCTTGAGAAGAGAGATTCCAGACTGAACACGGCGTCCGCGGACAACGGTCTTCTCGGAATCCATCTTCTGGAGCTTGTTGAGGGCTTTCATGACGATCTGGTCCAAGTTGTTCTGGGAGAAGCCCATCTGGACAAGGTACTTGTTCCAGTTTCCTCCGAAGACGGAGTCGAGCGAGGCAGTCAGTTCCTTGGGGAGAACGGAGTTCTTGCCGAAGATGGCAGCCATGTCGAGTTGAGCACCAGACAGAGCTTCCTCAGAGAAGAAAGGCAGCTGGTAGAAAGAGGCAAGGACGCCTTCTTGAGGTTGGTAGCGGACGAAGTTGAGGAGCGACTGGATGTTGGAAGCAACACTCTTGTAGCACGGGTTTGTCGACTGCGAAAGCGACTGGAGAAGACGGTAGGTGAAGGCGGCGACCTGCTGGTTGGACTCACGGTCCATCTGGTAGACAATCTGTGAAAGCACAGGCTCTTCAGGGAGAGTCTGCATGATTCGCCAGACAGCGGCCATGCGGAGTTCGGGGGTCTGCTGACGGTTCTTGTAGATGGGCAGAAGGATGTTCTGGATCTTGCGGGGCATCTGGTCCTTGAGGAGACGCAGAGCATCGATGGCTTCCATGCGGACAGGGAGAGGCTGACGCTTGTCGTAGATGATCTTCTCGAGCTCCTGGACGGAGACGTCGATTCCGGCGTTTCCAAGGGCCTTCAAGGCAAGGATCTTTTCGTAGGTGGTTTCGGCATCATTGAAGAGGCTCATGAAGACGCGGACATACTTCTGCTTGAGTTCGCCAGAGTGTTCCTTGACGAGATGGATTTCAGGGGTCTGAGAAACGTCTCCACGGACGACAGAGCCAATGGCGAGCCACGAAGATTGGCGGATAACTTCGTTTTCGCGGGAAATCTTGGACTTGGCCAGCTGGAGAAGAATTTCGACGATGTGCTCCGAAGGATAGGGAGTCTCCTGCACGGACTTGAGCAGCTGAGCGGCTTCAAGAGGGGAGAACTTGTTCTGTTCGATGTGCTGGATCAAGTGGTGAATAGTGTTCTTGGTTCCGCAAATGGCGTGGACATGATCCAAGAAAGCTTGAACCTGAAAAACATTTTTTTTAACGAAGTTACAAGGTTTTCATTTCAAGCTCTTCTCTGGCTCTGGATGTTAAAGTTCTTTATGAAATTTAAGGAAACCTTTTTTTTTCTTTTTTTGAATCAATTTTTGACTGCAATGAACTGGCTGATAATATACATTTTAGGATGAAAAAAATGGTCAAAAAGTTTTTGCGACTTTCAAATTCTGTAGAACTGAAGTGAAAAGGCGCATTTCAATTACAAGCTTACTATTACACGAAAATCTGAAAAACTTCTGTAATTTTTTCCGAATTCTTTTTTTAGATTTTTTTATTTCAGCCATAGCTTGAATGAAGGCGTCAAAAGTTGTTCTAAAAAAAAATCATCGTTTTCTGAACTAAGAAATGAAAACGAACTTTCTTGTCGGCCTTCTCGTAGATTTCAGAGTGAATCTGGTCAAGTTCTTCGACGGTGCACATGCGGACGAGGCTGACAAGACGGGCGAGGTGGTGGGCAGTCTCCTGCTTGTTGTCCTCGTTCTCCATGATCTGCTCGGTGATGGTCTTGATCTGCTGGATCTTCTTCTCGGTCTGGTACTGCTCGAAGGGGTTGACGGAGGCCTTGTCGCCCTTCTTGTAGAACTCCTCAACCTGCTTCTCGAACTGAGCGGAGTAGATGATTTCTTCCTTCTCGCCATCGACCTTCTGGATCTGCTTCTTGATCGAGTGGACCTCCTCAAGAGTAAGGCGCGAGCGCGTCTCAGTCTTCATGAGTTCCTGGCCGTTCATGTTGATGGTGTAGACGGAGACGACGTCGACCTTCTGGATCTGCTCCTTCTCGATGACGTAGGTGTAGACGGTCATGGGTTGAATGTGCTTGCTCTGCTCCTCGCACTGATCGCACTTGGATCCGAAGCGGAGGCCGTAGGCGGCTTCGGGACGAGTAGTGCACTTGTCGAAGTTGACAGACTTGGTGACGATGGTCTTCTGGGACTCTTCGACAATGGTGTAAGAAACTTCGCATTCTCCCTCGATGGTCTTCTCCATCTTGTTGAAGTGCTTGTCGTTGCTCTCGAGCTGTTCGGTTTCGAACTTCTCGTCTTTGTGCTGCTCAGTGTTCAGCTGGAGCATGTTCAGGACGGCGCGCTTGGCGTTCTTGGACCATTCCTGGTCTTCGCCGTCGAACTGGACGTCGGAGATGAGGCCGTTGCGAATGTGAGCACGAACAGGGAGCTCGAGAAGCTCCTTGTGCTTGGGCTCGATTTCACGCTTCTCCAAGGAGTTCTGCGACGGGATTCCCTCAACTTCGGTTTCATGCGAAGCGCTGAGACGAATCTTGATCAGTTGGAGGGCGAGAGTGCGGTCATCAACGGTCTGGAGACGAGCGAGGGCGTCGATGCGAGTTTGAGAGATTTCAGAAGAAGTGGCGGGAAGTCCGGCAAGGACGAGTCCCTCGAAGCGGTAGTGGTACTCGTTTTTGGGCTGGAAGGTGCGCTCAAATCGTGGGCTGGCGGCCAGAGCCAGAGCCACGAGGGCTGCGAAGACGAACGATCGAATCATGATCGAAGTGAAGAACTGTCTTCAGGGCGCTCTTTTATATGAGCACTTGTAGATTGACATTTCTCCAGGAACATCAATTGGATCGTGTGATAAGACAGTGGACATTGCACAGACACCCTTCACTCATTGCTGAACTTGATCTTTCAGATTCTTTTATCTAGGGAACGAGGTGTCCGTCAGCTTTTCCGTTAAGATAAGAAGTTTCACAAGTTTGATGAAAGTTATATGCCTCGAATCTTATAGGAAAAAGAAAGGCTTTTTTAGAAGTCTTTGAAAGGATGAGAATCAAAACAGGGAAGTGGAAGAATCATAATTCACGACATGAGTTAAATATATATCTTGCTGAGCATCTAATGCTTATGTTTTTTGAAATACAATTTTAGGAAAGTTATCTTCAATCTCGAATTCGAGACACTTAAAATGAGCTTTGAAACCCGCGAAACTCTTCATTTTGCATAAATTATTTTTTTCGAATCCCAATGAAAATTCCCCGAAAATGAAATTTTTGAAAAAAACTAGCTCGCTAGTTTCTTAATGAGTTAATACTATCAAGTAATCAAAAAAATGGTTTAAATTCGAATATAATGAATTTTTAAAAAGATTCAAAAGTTAATAAAACTCAGTCCATTGGACTGAATCCAACAAAATTTTTGAAAAATTTAATCAATTGAATATTTTTTTCGTTGATAAACATAATCCCGAATTGTGGGCGTCTATGAGAAATGAAACGTTATAATCATGAAAAAAAGCTTCAGAAATCATATTTTGTTAACTCGAACTCCTATCCTTTTGAGGTCTTAATATCGCTATTGAAACTTTTTTTCTGACGATAAAATTCAAGTGTTTTGGGCACACCATTTCTTTTCTGTGGTTTTGATAGAGCCAAGAAAAAAACGCCGGTCCGAAACTTTATATACTGGTTATGAATTTTTTTGGGAAAAAAATTCTCTAATATGAGCAATAATTAGCAATAATAAGATTTTTAGATTTTTTTAAATTTGAATTGAAATTTAAAACAATTCAACAGCTTGTAACAAACTTTGGTCGAGATTTGTTGATTTTTTTGCCGAGAAATAAATTTTTCGAAGCTTTTTTTACCGTATTCCTTTGAGCTACCACATCTCGAAAAAAAGTGATGATATTCATTTTTTTCTTTACAGAAAATATTAAAAAAATCGTGCTCTACATCATATTTAATTTAGAAAAAAAGGTTCACATTACGCTAATTTTTTTCCAACTCAGCTGAAACCGAAATGGCGCAGAACAAGTTCTTTGACTTCTATATAAAAAGATGTTTCATGTTCGCGCAAATAAAAACAAATATTTTTTGATACTGTATCTAATTTACAGACGCGATTGCAACCTCATCATACACGATGAAAAACCCCGAAGAACGGCTGCGTCAACTGGATTCGCAAAAATCGGCATGTCGAAGGATCCGGCGAACTCCAGTGCGTCGCCACCTTTGACGCCTTGTCGTTTGAGACGCGGCTGACCTACAAATCGTCGTGTATTTAGGCCAACCAGCCGCCATATCATCCGACACTTATCGATGTCAACTTCGCAATTGTACATTCCCCTTCAATCCAATTGTCCTTACATCCATCACCGCACTTCCCAAAAAGTTCATGTTCTCTTTTATCATCCGACTTTTTCAGCTCAGATTGTTATTGCTTAGATATAGCCTTCTCATTGATTTTTCGATTACCATTTTTCAGATGAAGCAGTAACCAGCTTCGGAATGTACTTGTTAATGTAGAGCTTGAAAAATATTTTTTTTAAATCATATTTAATTGTTCGATTGATAATCTTAATGCAATTTTTTTCATCGTTTGAGAATTTTTCATTTTTCACATTTGCTTTTTAATACTGGGTCTGAACTGCCTGGAAAGTTTCAAATACTTTCTATCTGGACAAACTTACTTTTTCATCATTTTTTTTCATTGTAAGATTCATGCGTTTTTCATTTCCTTTATTTCAAAATTAAAAAAAAAATATCAAGAGTTTCCTCTCAATTTCTGTCTTGGATTTATTATTCACAACAAAAATCTTGTCAAAAAAAATAACTTTTTTCAAAATTTTCAATCAATGCCCTTTTTTGAGAGTGTTCCAAAAAGTGCAAAAATCAGTCATCAGTAGTCCAAATGGGAAACAAAGCACAAGGCCTCTTTACCGGCCGGAGAAATCCCACATCACCGCCTCGGAGAAGCAAAACTCTTCCAGTTTTCCGAACCGCCCACTTAGAATTATCCCATCCCTTGACCAAGGAAAGAGATAGAGAAAAAGAGAGGGAGACGCCAGAAATTGAGAACTGTGCGGTGACGTATAGTTGTCATTATCCCACTTCATGGCATTTCGTTATGTTCCTCGTATCCTATCCGTTTTCTCAATGATTCTTGTACATTTTCAGGTCAGTATGAAGCTTATTTTGCTGCTTCTCTGTGGGACATGTCTTTTATTAGCTCAAGAGATTAAACCAAAACCTGAACTTTTGCCGGCAGAAGAAAGCGCCAGGGACTCCGAAAACGCTGACCCATTCGTCGAAGGTCAGCCTTTCGAAATCAACGAACCGATGGAGGAGGCCGAAAAGACCAAAGCGTCAGAAGTCACCCCGAAATCAGAGCCAGAACCAGCGCAAAAACCAAAATCAGAGCCTGAGCCTGAGCCTCAACCTGAGCCAGAGCCAGAGCCGAAAGCAGAGCCTGAGCCTGAGCCATCATCAAAGATCGTCAAAGAGCCTCCAACTCCCGAGCCGGAACCGGCAATCAAATTTGACAACATCGACAGTGAGGATTATGGGGATGTTGCTGAATCGGTTCGTTTCAATTTCTTTTTGAATTCTGCATGTAATTTGTGATTTTTCTAATATAATATTTTTGAAAAGACTTTTTGGGTTGAGATTCTGGTTCTTATCTAATAAGTTTAGGAGAATAAAAAAACGATAAGTCGAGTTTTTGAACAATTGAAATTTTACAAACTTGGAACCAAACCGCGATACGTTTATAATTTTTTTCAAATTTTTTTCGAAAAATATTACTTCAAAAAAAAGAAGGTTTGATATTAATTTTTAAAGTCTCCAACTATTTTTTTGAATTTTTCTCAAACTCTGAGACGTTTCAAAATGATTTCTGCTGACTCTAAAACGGCAAAGTATCATTGAATTTCTTATTCATGACTTTTTGAATTTTCCTTGTATGTCAGTTGACTCCCAAGAGATTAATTCATTTTTACTGAAAAACGTAATCCTCAGCGTTCTCCAAGAAGCCTGTAAAATGTTTGATCTAGATGTTCAGAACGTGCAACCCGATGAGGTCAACACAGAAGTGATCGAACAGCTTGTAAACCGCTTCTTGAACACTGGTTCCATCGAGGTGAAATCAATCTACTCGATGAGGCATCTTCGTTTTTTTTCAGAACAACTCCACCGGTCCGAAATACGCGAATCCAGCCGCCCAAGCGCTCGTTGACAGCAGCGAATACTGGAAAACAGACTCGTTGCAGGTAAAAAAAAAAACCGAACTGCGCTTTTTGGTTTTTGGCAAGCGTAGCATAGCATTGGCTTATCGCGCACGTGATCAAAGTACTAAAAAAATATAGATTCATAAAAAGTGTGTCAATCCTGTCAAAGCGTCGATTTGCTTAGGAATCCGGTTCCATTAAAGACGAAGCCAAGCTGCGATCCTGGTTGTCGGGGTACGAGAGCGAGGCGATAAAGGTATACTGCTGTGAAGGGAAAAATCATAAGAAACCAAGTTTTTTTAGGTTTTGCGCGAGGTTGCCCTTTCTGGATGGCGGTACTTCAACAACGCGTCGCCTCATGCCAAATTGGCCCTTGACGAGGCTGAAGATGTGCGTTTCACAATCCCGTCTCGATAAATAGAAAAACCATTTTCAGTTATTAATGGTTTCCATAGCTCTACCAAAAATAATTAAATGTAGCTTTAGCTTAGAATGGTTTATGGGAAGAAAAATGGAAAAAAAAATGAAAAAAAGGATATACTTAAAAACATAAAAAAAAGGTTTGCTCATAGAAGTTTGGAAAAAATGGCGAATTTTTTATTTTTTAAACTTTTTTTTGAAAACACTGAATTCTCTCAGTTTTGGTTTTTTACATTTTCAAGTCTTTTTCCAGTATTTTATAAAAAAATCTAAAAAAATTCGTAAAAAAACGATTTTTAAGTTTTTTTAAGTTTTCCAAAATCTAACACGCAAATTCTCGGCGGTATGCATTTTTCAATTTTTTTTTTCTCATAAACTGCGCATAAAATATTTGATTTCGCTTTTTTTTTTCAGTACGCGGAAGATCAACTGAGATAAATCGCCAACCAACAAAAACAACGACTTTCAGGTTCTGTCACGCTTTGTCCGTGCCACGTCCAAACAAGCCAAACAGTTCGACACGCAAGGGACCGACGACGTCGCCCTCAAGAGGCAACTGGCTTACGTCAGCTTCGAGGGAATGTCGGCCTTGTCTTCCTCGCGCTTCGCCGAATACGCACAAGCACAATCGATGGTTCGTTTGAATCTGGATGAGAAGCCCGCAGATGGACTGATAGATGATAAAAACAGAATTGATGTCAAAAAACCCGATAGCTTCAATTGGAAGCTAAACTTTCCAAATCACTGATTTTGACTAAAATCCAAATTTTTGATTTATGAGTCTTTAAGCCTTAGAACTGTTGTAAAAAGAATAAGAGAAATGAAAATAAGCAAAAATGATTCTAGTTGAACCGCGTGGAGAAAGACACCACAGTTTGCGACAAAGGAGTTCCTCCGCCATGTGCGCTCCAGTAAGTATCGCTGTTTCCATTTTTTTTTCTAGTTTCTTTCATTTAGAAAAATTGACATGGATTCTATCTTCCGAAACGAAAAAGATGCTAGCCGACTCTCGCATCTTTGGGTTGAGTATGTGACTGCCGTCGCCAAATCCAAGCCTTCTTATAACAATCTCATCATCATCTCTAATGAAGGTGAGCTCTAAGAAGTTTTCAACGGAAGAGGATAATTTTGAGATCAGAATACTTTATTTTCAAACATTCAGTTTACTCGTTAACAATTTCAGGAGCCAAGATAAACGGTTTCGCTGATGGAGGAGCCATGTGGAGAAGCGCTTTCGACATGTCGTCGCCCACTTCTCCGCCTTCCATCGACATCAAGAAACAACTTGATGACATTTACGAAACCATCAAGCCGTTCTACCAACTCGTAAGTAGATTTCAACAGGTCCCATCTGAATCCTCTTTCAGTTGCACGCTTACATCCGAAGACAACTCGCTGGAATTTATTCAAATCCCGCTGGTTTGAGCAAAGATGGACCTATCCCAGCTCACCTCTTCGGTATTCGAAGTCTCCAACAATCTTGCCTTCATTTTTTTCTTCTCAGGTTCTCTCGAAGGAGGTGACTGGTCAGCTCATTACGAGCAGACGAAACCTTTTGAAGAAGAGTCTGAGCTCCCAGAAACCATGCTTTCTGCGTTCCACGAGCAGAACTACACTTCTAAGCGGATGTTCATCAATGTTTGTATTCTTCCAGTTTCAGATCTAATTCCTGCGCACTTTCAGGCCTACCGTTATTTAAAATCAGCTGGTTTCCCAAGTCTGCCCAAGACTTTCTGGACTCAATCGATCTTTTCGCGAGTTTGGAGCAAAGATATGATCTGCCATCCGCCAGCAGCTTTGGATATGCGTGACCCCAGCGATTTCCGGTACAAAACGTTTAATTTACTTATCAGATTTTTGTTCAGCGTCAAAGCGTGTGCTCAGCTCGGTGAGCCGGACTACGAGTTGGCTCATTCTTTAATGATCCAGACTTACTATCAATTCATGTATCGCAACCAGAACCTTCTTTTCCGGTTGACTAAGAATTTTTCCTTTTCAACTAATGTTTCCGTTGCAGCGAAGCCGCTTCTCCAGTCCTTGTTGATGCTATTTCCGAAGCGGTCGCGCATTTGAGCACAAACCCACATTATCTCTACTCACAGGTCTTTTTTTTCTGGAAATTAGCAAAATTACAATTAGTTTTGCAGAAATTAGTAAAAGCGGACTATCTGGAAATCAAAGACTCTGCCAATGTCAACAAGCTTTACAAGTTACTTTTTCTGTTCTTCTCAGAATATTCAAATTTTCAGAGAATCTCTGGAAAAATTCTCAAAGCTTCCATTCTCGCTCTCATGCGATACCTGGCGATACGAACTTTTTGAAGGCAAAGTTCCAAATCCTAAAATGAATGATCGCTGGTGGCAGATAAGGTAACAAAGCTCTGCAGGCACGCCAAATGTCAATTTTTTCAAGAAATCAATATGAAGGGGTTCGTGCTCCTCAACCTTACAACAGCTCCAATTTGGACGCTCTTATCCACAATTCTATTGCACAGGTTTCAACTCTGACACCATCAGAAAGAAATAAAATGTTTTCAGGTCAACTCTCCTGCTACGAAAACCTTGATCAGCTACGTCCTCAAGTTCCAAATATTGAAAGCTCTTTGTCCCGAAGGAACTATTTTGGTATATTGTCCTCTAAAGTTCTATTTTTCCTTTTTTGTAGTCGGAAGGATGCATTCTTTCCGAAGATACGACGGAAAAACTCCGAGAGACAATGAAGCAAGGATCTTCCATAAGTTGGCTCAAGGCTCTGGAAATGATCACTGGCAAAGGTTTCAAAGCTCGGGAAATTGTGAACTATTTTTGAAACTCTAGGTGAACTTGACGCCAAGCCATTGTTGGAATACTACGAGCCCCTTATCGATTGGTTGAGAAATACAAATGAAATTGACCAGGTCGTCGTTGGGTGGGACGGAGAAGGAGCACCTTTTACCTCGTGAGTGGATTGACAGAAATTTGGAAAAAAAATTGAAAATTATAGAGAAGAGATCCCGAAGCCTAGATCTTCAATGAACGGAGGAAGTGGATTCCTCAGTGAAGATCGAGTTGCCTATCCAGGTTTGACCAGTCAGTTGATGTTTATAAGCAATTTTTCTAGGCGGAGACTGCGCCAATGGGCAAGAATGTCTATTGGACTCTCATTGCAACGGCACCAAGTGCGTTTGCAATGACGGACTCTACACTCTCGAAATTGGAAATACTTTCAACTGTGTGCCAGGAAACCCAGCCGAGAGTGGCTTTGGAGACGGAAAGGTTTGATTATGGCGAGGAAACGTTTTTTTTTAATTCTTGTTTTGATTGAGTTTCTTGACGCGTACTTAAATGCGCTCAATATTTTATGAAGGTCTCAAAACAAGATTCTAAACTGTTCCTTCATCAAAAGAATATCATTTTTTTTTTTTTTTGATATTTTTTAAGTCAGAAATTTTCTTGGTGTAATAAACTCTTTATGAGTTTTCAGGGAGGATTGGTTATCGGGTTGTTCAAAAATGAAGCCGCTGGCAACGAAGATGAAGCTACAAAGGCAGAACCAGAACCTGAACCAGAACCAAAACCGAAAGCAACCACTCAAAGGCCAATAGTCCGGTCTGCATCAACTCTGTACAGTTCTTCTGTATTTGTGTCTTTCTTTGTAACCTACATCTTGTCACGATTCTTCTGATCTTCCAATTTTCTGCCTTCAACTTTTCACATGTTATTTATTTTGAAAGCATTGCGGGGCAAGGCTATTTTTTTCTTTAGCCATTTTCCTACAACGGTTACGAGAGATACTGCTCGGTTGTAGCCGGTTTGAAAAAAATTTCTATGAAACATATCCAACCATCAAATGCATTTATTAAATGAAATGAAATTTTAGAAAAATGCTCAAAATATGAATCCGAGATGATAAAAAGGGGTTAAAGCGAAATGGCGATAAAGCAAAATGAAGATCAACCGTGTTGAAACTCCGTATCGTTAAACCAATGATAAAAAATGCAGTCAGAAAAAATCAAACGCGTGGTCGATGAAGTATATATAATGATATTCGTGGAGTAATTGCAACAAAAACACAGGGTAACATCGACAAGGGTAAAAGTAAACCGAGATAGATTAAGTAACACAGAAAAAAAAACACAAAAAAGATTCAGTCTTCCTGAACGCAGCCCTCATCGAGTTTAAAGACGACGGAAAACAGTTTGCCGTTCAGGCGATCAGCCAGCCATTGAGTCTTGATCACAGCCACCTGATTCGAAACTTTTATCGCTAGCCTACCAATGAATTTTGAAATTCCAAGTTTTCTATTTGTGAGAAAAGTTGCTTAAAAGCCCTAGAAATTTAGCATATTGAATTAGTTTCTTCATGTATCCTCACTTGGAAACCAGCTTCCGTGTTTTGTATCTAGTATATTCAACCGATTTCAAGATCAATAGAAGAGTCGGGTGAGTTAAATTAATCTGAAGCTTGAAAAAAATAGCAATCGTGATCTTGAATGAAAAAAACTCTACCCGCGAAAAAAAAAACCGTTTCAAGATTAATTATAATGAAATATAACCCACCTTCAGAGAGTCGCAAGTGAATTTGGCCGAGAAATTTGTGTGAAGAGATCGACCCATTCCCTCAATGATGACCAGATCAACTTTCTCAAAGATGACGAGCTCGTTGAGGTCAGAGTGGATACGACTGAAAGATTGATATTTCTATATTATGCTTCGCGCCTGAATAATTATCTCACCGGAAGTCGAGGCAAGGGGATCCCTGTCCATGATGGGTGAACAGAAGTTGACCGTTCTCGATATGCTTGTCGACGACAGGATCGATGGCTCTGATGGAGCTAACGATACCCAGCATTTCGGTGTAGGTGAGGTCGTTCAGCGCGGGGTACAGGTTGGAGACGACAATGACCTGAAGCACAAAAGAGTTGATAGAATTTTTTCGATAATTGGACGAAGATGCGCCTAAATTTGAGGCTTGTCAGGCTTTCTGGACTTACTATCCCATTAAATTTTTTTGCAATACTTTAGACAACGTGAAAGAATGGTGAGAAAATAATAAAAAGACTGTTTTCATTTCCTAGTGTCTCTTAGCTCAGAAACAAAAAATATAGTTTCACAAAAGATCGAAAATGTTTCATCCATTGGATAAGTCCTGACGTCTCCTTGAAAGATGTGAACATCAAGTAATGGCCTATAGCTATTTCACGACTGGCTCGAACCTTCGAAAAAAGGACCCTGGTACGACAATAAAAGAGATAGTGCCTAATTGGTGGAGAGCGCAGACAAGCCACGCCCACTCAGCGTCCCAAGTTAGCCGTGAATCGGCTAGATTTCTATTTTTTTCACGTCTTTGTGGTCTACGATAATCGACGTGGTGCATACACCGTTGCTCTAACAATGAACCTGACGCAATGTTTTCTAATGTTTTATTCGAGAAAAGAGTGCAATAGTTCTTTTAAGGTTCTCCTCTATAATCATGTAATAAAATTCAACGCAATACTTCAAGTATATCGCTTTCTGCATTCCAAGTGATTTTTATGATAGAGTTATTTTAAGCGTGAATGAGAATGTCTGATTTTTATATACTTTTCGAGATACTTGTCTTTCTTAAAATTGAAAAAAAAAACTCACCTTGATTCCAAAAGATGCGAGTTCACGAGCGAACGGCAGGATTCCCAGAACGAAGTCCGCACCACTGTTGTCAACAAAAATCACAGCGCATTTGTAGTTCGCATTGCTCAAATTTGACAGGAATTTATCTAATCCATCGTGAAGCCATGGACGCTCTGAAACCAAATTTCACTAACTTTTTTTGATAAAAATGAGAAAAAACCTTCGATTTCTTGAAGAGCTTCATCAAAGGAAAGTCCTCCAGCTCTTTGCATCAATTGAATAACTTTCTCTGCTCCCCAGTCAAAGACGTTTCCGGCCAGCATCCCACGCGAAAGTAGGATCCATTTTTGTTCAAAGTCTTGAATCTTTAAAAAGAGGGATTTTATATTAGTCGTATAAAATATTTTTAGAACTGACTTTGCTGATGTTGGCAATAACGTTGGTATAGCTTCGAACGGCGGCACTGTTTTCCATCTCTTTTTGCTGAATTGTATACACTTTATGATTTAGTTTGTATTTTTCGATGGCCCTCAAAAACGCAAATCTCTTGAAAAAAATATTTCCTCTTCTGATGAGCGAATGGAAAAAAGAATGCGAATGCTTATAAACTTTTTTTATAACTTCTTGCTTTTTTGGTAGCTTAAAGCTTAAATAGTGTTTAACTTCGTTGAAGCTTTGATAACACTCCGATGGAGACTCGGATATTGCAATTTTCCTGAAAACTGGAGATTTTGTTTTTGAAATTCATTTTTTCAGGGTCATTTTAGCCCAAAAACAGTTTTTGGATATCACAGTTAGCTGAAACTATGTAGCTTTAGACCGCAGGTATCAAAAAACCAACCAGCGAGTAGGCGTCATCAAACCCGTGCTCATTGAGGATCTGCTCGCGGAGATCCAACAAGTTACGGATGTTAGCCGAGCCATAGGCACTGAAACGGAATGGTTAATGATTTTTGGAGCTTTCCATACAAACAAAGGTTTTTCGCGAAGGAGATGGATTTTGGCAAGGAAGTTCTTGCGGAAAAGAGACGCCCTCTCAGAAGCGGTCATAGAGAAGCGTTGAGAGCTGATTGCCATCTCGGCAACCTGAAAAAATCTGATTTATGAATTTATTTTCTTGGAATGAACTTTTTTAATTGAATCCTCCATAATGGAAAGCCAGATTTTCAAAGCTTCGGGATCCGCATTCAAATCGACTTCATCGGGAACGTAGTTCTAAAGGTGATGTTGAGAAAAAACTTTTTCATAACTGGAAAAATACTTTTGGGTCAGCCAACAAAGGGGAACTGCTGAGCCGCAAATCCAGCGCAATCCAATTCCAAAGTCCGAAACTAGAAAAAAAAATTTTTTAGGAAAAAAATCTACGCATACCTCATATCCTGCGTAGTACCTTTCTTTAGGCACAAAACGACCCATCGAAGTTGATCCGAAATAGTATTCGCGCCACCACAAGTTCAAGTAATCGCTTCTGTTCTTATCGCATAGAATGAACGCTCCGATGACGGAAGAGTAGGACTCGTGACGGAGGAAATGCGCTTTGGTAGTTTTCTGCAATTTCAACGTTACAATCGAAAATTAAGCAACTTTCATCAAAAAGTATCCAAAACAGAGCTCAGACCTTGTAATTTCTTGGAATTTGTTACAACTTTCAAGCTTCAAAACTTGAAAAATTGAAAATTAAATAGAGTCTAGTATGATTTTTTTATGTGATATGAATTGAAGTTCTAGAATGATTGGTAAAAAATTTTTAATCCGTGAGAAATTTTTCCAAATATCATTTTTTTCAGGAATCATTTTTGTCGAAACTTACTTCGCTCCAAAAAGTCCATCGCATGGGAAACGCATTCCATGACAAATGGATGATCGCGGATCAAAAAAATCCATTGAAATAAACGCGATCAATTTTGCTCTTCTGCGAGTACAAATAGGCCATCTGGGAAGATTTCGAAGATTGATAGAAAAAATAAAATAAAAATCTTCAACCTGTCCAATGTTATTGATGATCATGTATAGAAGGCTTTTCAACGAATCTTGAGGGGTGAGGTTTTCCAAGTCGTGCCGTTCCAAACCAGCATTGGCAAACGAAGAAGCAATGGTGGAAGCGGCCATGTCAACGAGTGGACCACTGGAATAATTTAAAGTTTTTGAAGAAAAAACAGATAAGAGTCCCATTAAAAAAATTTCCATTTGAATTTTTCACACAGCATGGGGGACAATGATTCATTCATTTAAGTTAATTGAAGCGTTTCGAGAAACAAGTTCAATCGATGGACTTTTTAATTTTGTCACACTTTGCTGAAAAATTTCAGTGGAAAACCGTGAAGAATGAAATAAATGACAAAAATCAGAATGAATAATAAAAAAACTGACAGATTGTAGGAGGAAACAAGGCGATCCAGAACGCTGTTGTCGCCTTTTTCCGCGTTTTTCAGAAGTTCCTCCACATCTGTGTTCATTAATGAACGTTTAACAAATTAAGTTTTTTTTTTACTTTTGTCTCCAGTCAGAAGATTACCAAGACCGACGAAAGTGCCACCTCCGATAGAACTTCCGCCGATTCTTTTGAAGGAAGTCTCGCTTTCCACCTTGAAAAATTTATACAATCCTTTTTCGTAGAATTAAAAAAAGGAAAAAATCATACCTCAATAACCGAAACTCCAGTTCCAACGTTAATCATGAGGAACGGGAAAATAGAAGTTGAGCTTGTATCAACGAACTCGTATTTCGGAGTGCCACTGTGGTTGTACGTGAAAGCTTCGCTTTCGATATTTTTCAAAAGAAAAATGGTCCCGGTAACGTATGAACTGACAGCATCGACGTGCTCCAACCTAAAAAAATAGCATTTTTGAATTATAAAAAAAGGTTTTTTTAATTACTGATTTTTCCGATTCGTAAAGAACCCGGAGATGACTTTTTGCGGGGCCTGTGTATACGATCGACTCCGATTTGAGGTCAGTTTTCTAAACAATATATTTAAAGTTCAAAAGTCAAAAATTGTTTACCATTTTGAGATAATTGTGAAAAAGTACTACATCCGCTTTTTCCATTTGGAAACAGTGCAAACGGTTCACTTCCTTCTCATTCGGTACCTTAAAGATGATTATTTTGCGTGGGTTGAAAGAAAAAAAAAACATCATCATTTTCAGTTGTTGAAGCCTTCTCGATGGGAGAGACGATAGAAGTGGAGAGGTATGCCACCTTCACCATTCGATCACCTGTGATTTTTTGATCAATTTCCATGAAAGTTGGAGAAAAATTGCGAAAAATCTGTATTCCACCGCAAGTTCGGGAAAATTCCTGAATTAAAAAAGAAAAAAACATACCGACGTCGAAAGTGATTCTTTTGATGCTATCCGCATGGCGGAGCAATCTTTCCATTGCTGCATCTAGAGGTTCGTACATCATTCTGTAAAAAGTTAAAAAATAAAATAGAAGTGGAGGATTGCCGAAAGAAAAAAACGTAATTGAAAATTTCTGATCTGCGACTTTTCTAAAGTTGAATGACAGAAAAAAAAAATCATAACTCACGATTTGAGTCTTAAATACTCGAAACTCACGCAAGAAGTTGCTATGGAGACTTCAAACTTCATCAGCAACCGATAAAAAAAAGAACATAAAATTAACGAAGCTGTCATAAATTTTAATTGGTCAAATATAGTCGCTTTTCGTGAAAGCCCGTAAAAAATTTTGAGCTTTCTCATTGGCGCGCACTTTCATTGCTTCTCTTAAGATGTTTGCTTTTACAGTTTTCTCGGTATTAATATAAGAACGCCAGTGAATATTTTCGAGAATCTTTTGTTTGTTCTATTGGGAAACAGTGGTTCAAAAACGGGGCATTCAAAAACTTTTTCATAGGGCCTAAATTTTGGAACCTGCTCTGTTTTGGTTTTTTTTTTTAGTTCGTACAGTTTAATCTGCGTACAGAAAATACAACTATCATAATATTTAAAGCCGCTAAAAATAGAATCATTACGGAGATTTCATTCAAAGCGAGTCAATCGAAGAAATAGTTTGCGACCGCTTGTCATTGTGAAATAATGCGTCACCAAAAATGTATACGAAAAATTTATTTTTTTCATCGCGCTCGAGATGGTACTTTGAACTTTGTTCTTTGGAATCTTGCGACAATCAGTTCATGGGGATCAAAAATAAAATCGGCGAAAATTTGGCAACTTTGATGAGAATTTTATTGAAATCCAATATGTAGAGCGGGAATTGATAAAGTTTGAGAATAAAGCATTCAGAAAAGAACTGAAAAAAATATATATATGAAATGGTTAGAAAGCTGTGATCTTTTTCAGTTCTCCGCTGCTTGAAGGATTGAACGAACTAATGCAATATAGCTTCCTGAATTCAGGCTTCCAGAAAGAAGGTTTTTATTGGTTTCGCATTAATGTTTTATGACGGCCTTATTGCTATAGGTTTGCAAAAATTGGGCCGAAATATAAGATTTTTTCTAAAGTTAAAGCATCAGTAAGTACGAGGACGCAGTTAAGAAATTAAAAAAAGTAACTCCAAAAAAACAGTGAAAAAAACAATAAAACTAATTGAAACAAAAATTATTGAATTTTTGAGATCTTTAATAAAAGTTTTTTTAGATTTTTCGAGCGCCGTTGAAAGAAGTAAATGGTAATTATTGCATTATCCACAAGATTTTTTTCTTTTGAAAGAATGGGTTTTTCAGTTTTATATCAGCAGTAAAAAACTCCATGAGATATGCCTAAAAATAATGATGTATAATAAATGAATCATAAAAACGCGTCGTTGAAAAATTATCCAGAGAGAAGACGAAGCGCCGCAGCTGCCAGACCGACCACGGCTGTGAATGGAAGTTTCGAGCAGAATGGATTTCGGGGAAACAGTCTCAGAGAGGCAGAGGTGCCAGATAGTGCCGCGGGACTGGGGGCAAGATATAGACATTTTTCTGCGTCTTCTTTTTTTTCGAAGATGAGCTGTTCGTCTGTACTTTTTTTTTTCTTCGTGACATGTACGCGATTTTTTGGAAAGTCGGAAAAGAGAAAAGAAGTACAGCAGGTTTATGGCAGCTTTCCTGCACTTTAATATTGAAATCCAAAATGGAGCAAGTATAGTCATGTAAAACCTCTCCGGAGTTTTCAACCTTTTTTTACATGCCAAATTCGAATGTGTGTTCAGAAATTGCAAAAAATATTTGAAAAAAAAATTAAAGCCACTCATTGAAAAAAAATTTTTCTAGTGAAATTTTATTGATCTACGAGATAACCTGCATAATAAAAGGAGTTTTGTTTCCGCAAAACTTTTGAGAGCTGCATAGAAGTCAGTGATTAGAACAAAAGCGAGTTCAAGATTTAAAAACTGAAAAAATGATCTCATTCTTAGTGTTCTGTTTGTCGGATGAAAATTTTCATTTTTAGTTCATCCATTTTTGATTTTATGAATAACAAAAATCAGTTGAACTGCTGCACCCTGGAGTCAATCCTTAGAAAAGTAGTTTCAATTTGTGAACATTTCTAGCATGATATGACCACACAAACTTTCATCTTTATTTGTTCAAACAGACCGAGTAAAACCTTCAAAATCCAGAATCCCAAAAAATTTCCAGCCTGTATAGCTGATTCACGGCTGGCTTGAGCCATGGAAAAAAGGGTCCTGACACGATAATGCGCGAGACAGCGCCTGGTTCGTGGAGAGCGCAGACAGGACACGCCCTTTAAGCGTCCAAAGCTGGCCGTGAATTCTTCTCACTCAACAACATTCTCTTGTACAGGGCCTTATTGCCTTATACCAGTGAAATATACAATTATTGAAGAGACTGACTTGTTCCGTATTGACTATTGGGATAGAAAAGACATTACACATTGTGTGAAAGATTTTCGATAACTTTCAAAGATGGCTGGAAAACTTCCGTTATGATTAGACTTTTTTTCGCACAAACAGTCGCAATATCATACTACAAGCTTACTTTTTATCGTTTATCTTTTAGGTAACATCCATTTCAAAACCGTCCCAATGATCCGGTTGGTTGTGCTGTTAACTGCAAGCATCCAGGACGGAATGTTAAGCTTCTTGGTTAATTTATCACTTACCAATCTTATCAAAACGGAAATACGTTCGGAAGCGCGAGGGATAAAATGCGCGAGTCAAGTGGTTGCCATGCCCTTGGGCCTACGGTAGGTTAGCCAAAGAGCGGGCGGGTCCACGTTTTCCTGGACCTGGACTTACCCATTCGCCGTCTGGTCCTCGTCTACATGTATCCAGCACTCAGTAAGTTTTATCAAAAGAAACTTGTTGGCTTCTCTCAAAAGTCGTCAAAGAGTTGATTTGCCTTCCTGGAGGGCCTCAAGCAGGGATCCAAAAAATATTGTTATTGCGCCTGGAGCTAGCCACAAAAGAACGGAAACAGCGCTTCCGCAGCTTATTTCCTGGGCCGGCGACCGCTGTGAGGCCGGAAGCTGTGGCTTCCTTCCTTTCTCCGGTCGCCACTTCGACCTCTACACGCAGCTCGACGTCCTTGCCTCTTCCTCAGCTCTGTTTTTTTCTGCGTTTGATTTGAGATCAAATTGATCGGTTTTCAATAATCCTGGATTCAGTCATTTCTTACAGCCATGTGTACATTCATGGAGTCATTTTAGCTTTTGTATACGAAGTCCGTTTGAATCAAGATCAATAATTAAAAAAATCGAAAATGCAACAATTCCTTATTATGATTTTCTGCAAGATCCTTCACCAAAGACTCGCAAAAAAGTTCATTATGACGGAGACTTTCAAACTATTCAAAAGCTGCTTAGAATACATCTCGTTGTGTTTCATGAAAGTTTTGTCTATTTGTAAGCGGTTACCTGAAAGTCTCTGAGCACCAATTTTTTTTCAGACGTCTTCCATCAAAAAATAGATCAGCAGTTTTCCGGATCTTCTGAAGTTCACCTGGAAACTTTAGCCAGTTTCAAGAAAATTTTGTAGATCTGAGAAAAGTGACTTTACTTCTAAGCCCCCTTTTTTGGAAGTTTAAGGGAATTCAGAAAGACTTTGTTCAAAAAAAAGTTGGAAAATTTGAAAGGAGTATAAAGACTTTCACAGTTGTATCTTTGAATCTATCGAGTCCGCCATCTTTCTTCTTGCCTCTGTTCAGGACCCCTAAATCAAAATTATAATTTGGAGCGGTTCGATTAAACTTTTGAGTGTTTTTGTAAAAAAGAAAATCTAACAGAGAGAAAATTTACACAAAACTTTTTGTTTCTTAGAGCATGTGCTCTCATTCTCAGAACACGATATGAAGATTACTGTACCGGGCAACAAGAGAGCTTACGTATGACGATTAAAAAAGCGTGGGGCATGATCCAAATTTTTTTAATTTTTCGACTGTGTTTATTACTAAAATTTTGTGTTCTTCTCTGAACATTTCTGAAAATAGATGAATATATAAGATAAATTTTAGAGCCCTGAACTGTGTAACATACTTCATCTTTAGCCGTGTTCGCAGGCAATTCAAAAACTTCCCTACTTTCTGTGAAGAGGACTCTTCAAAAGTTCGAATCACAGTATTACTTGCTTTGAAAATTATCGTCAAGCTGAAAAAAAGTGGAAGAAAGTGTTATTCCTGATCGAGATTTTGTTATCTTTTTGACCATCACAGTGAGATTCGCTCTTCGCATACTTTGTATAAAAGTTGATGTAATTTTCTCGGAAACACTTTGAATAAATTTTTACATTATGGTGCTCCCTCACATTTTGATGTTAACAAACGGATTTTTTATGTCGAGTGACCTAATTAATATTTTTCTCAGTCAACGATGGCTGAACAATAACTTTCAAGTATAAAAGTTCAATTTTAACTTTCAGATGGTTACGACACTTCTTGCGCGAGGACACCTTGGGAGACGCCAACAGCCTCAGCTTCGGGCGGTTCTTCTAGAGTGAATCCAGGTGAATCACGAGAAAACAGCTTCATCTCTCTTGATTACTGCACGCGGGTCGATTTTCTATTAGCATGCAAATTTATTTTCTGTCTGTTTTGGAGATTAGTTTTTTTTTGGCAATATTCTATTTTTCTTTCTCTGACTAGAGCCGTGATTTGAAAGTTGAAATTATTGAGGGCCTTTTGTGGGAAAAATAGACCCGAATTTTTTTAAAAAAACGACAATGGCTCAAAAAAAGTTGAAAAAAATTGTTCTTCTTAATTTTTTTCCAATAAAAAAATCAAAATTCTCAAAGTGGTGAGATTATTAAAATGGTAAGAACAACGCCTGAATATTTTTTTTCATTTTATGAATATAACTTCCAGCACACAGAAAAAAAAGTAGTTCATCAATTTTTTGCTGCCTTTCATTTTGCGTAATTTTCGCCTATTTCATCATCTCAAACTCTTCAACGATTTTGACTGTTGAAGTCAATAGAATTACCGTTTAGATAGAGGAATCTTTCATCAGAGTTTCTAAGGTCGTTGATAAAAATTCATTGATTTTTCCAACCTAAAGATCTTCAAGAAAAGAGATAACCAGTGTCTTTGATAATATCAAAAAGTCTCGCCTTTTTTGAAGTTATTTCTCCATTTATACTTCAGTATTTTGTCTCCTTTTCGGGTTCTTAGTTGAAAGTCAAAAAAAAAGAGAGCAGAAACTTTCAACGTCCGCTGAAATTGCAACGCGCTACAGACAATGAAAAAACATTTTTTTCGGATCTTTAGAGTCCTGAACTTTAATAATCGATCATTTTCTTTGTGGTGACCCCACTTCACTCTTGAGCAAGATGAAGTCGTGCGGAAGGCAAGGAGCAATCAAAGCATGTAACCTTCTTGCCGAATCTCGCTTCATCGCTTTTCTTGCAAGGAATGTTTTGCTAGCATTTAGGCATTCATGTGCGCAGGTAAATCGCTTGGCACGGCAACAGGCCTTTGCCTTTTACGAAGTTTTCAAACTAGAAAGCCGCAATGCTTGAGAATCTTATGAGGGGACATTTGAGGGGTTTATGAACTGTATCGTTTTGAAAAAGTTGAGTTGTTCGTTGGAATTTCTGAAGAGCCTCACCAAATGAGCTTTCCCAAAAGGTTACACTCTTAAAATACCTTAAAGTGATGTTTTCTTGAGACGCGGGCTGTTTGAAAACGCTAGCGGTCGTTTTTTTTTTTCATTTTCAAAGGGTGGGCAATGGTAATAAGAGCTCTTTACTTCTATGATTTGAAAACAATCAGCGAGTTCCTCAAGTGAAAAATCAATTAAAGAACATAAGGCGTTTTTGAAATGACCGAACCGAAAATTCATTTTGATATTTTTTCAAACCTTTTCAAGGAGGTTCCCCCTGACTCATTTGTAGTGAAAGTTGACTTTTCAGAATTTTTGAAAAGTGATCCTGATGAAAAAAACTCGTAATACAATATTTGCACTCTTTGGACAGTAAGAATATTAGAACGATATTCATAACTTTATGGATTGTACTTTGCATTTGAGAAATCTGTCAAGCCATTGACATAAAATTTTATTAAAAAAGCACACGAAAGTAACCATTTTGATTAAATAATCATAAAAAGGCTCCATGGATTTTTTTACGCTACTGGATGCTTCTAAAAACTCGATATTTTTTTTTTGACTATATCAAATGTGATTTTTGATACTGTAATAAAATATTCCGAGCAAGTTTTAACTCCTATCTTTCAAATACAATAAACTCAAAACTTTCTGTAGAAATCATATAGTTGATTCACGGCTGGCTTGAGCCCTTGAAAAAATGGTCCTGACACGATAATGCACGAGATAGCGCCTGGCTCGTGGAGATCGCAGACAGGGCACGCCCCCTTAGCGTCCCAAGGTAGCCATGAATCAGCTATACTATAGAATATCCATTTTTACTGCAATCAGCTCAAAAACAAAATCAAAAGTTAGAACCGTCCATATAAACATCATTTTTCTTCAGCCGTTTCCACCGATTAGCAGTTTTGAATTTAAAAACTCATATTTTAATGAGGATATAAAAGCTTTTGTAATTTTCATGCAGACTGCGAAATGGCAAATGAACATTTGAAAACAAAATAAATACATCAATACTTTTCAGCATGTATGCAGTACACGGCCCTACTATCGCGGATGCCATCGCAAGGTTCTTGTTTTTTTCTCAATCAACGACACAATCATTTTGCAGTTTTAGGCAGTGGCCAAATCCAATTATGGCAATTTCTGCTGGAACTTCTGGCCGACGCGACTGTCAACGCTCATTGTATCGCTTGGGAAGGCGGCAACGGCGAATTCAAACTCGTTGACCCAGACGAAGTGGCGCGAAAGTGGGGCGAACGTAAAAGGTTGCAAGATTCTTGGAAGATGATCATTTTGATTTTAATTCCAGCAAGCCAAATATGAATTACGACAAGTTGAGCAGGGCCTTGAGATACTACTATGATAAAAATATCATGACGAAGGTGCGTTATTATGAAGAACTTTTTTCGATTTTCTCAAAGTGAACAATTTTTTTTGACAGTCATTATTAATTTGCTAAGTCATTTCTATTTTTAGACTCCAAGTTTTTAGAGCAATATTTTTTTGTTCGCAATAACATTATTTAGTGATTTTTTTATTTGTATCCAAACGCACCTTAGCGAATCTTCTGCCGCTTTATTTGGATATTTCAAGCAAGAAAATCAAAAAAGTCGTTTTTTTAGACCTTTTTCTGAATAGGACCTTTTAAAGAAATGTAAAACATGAGGCGGCAAAAAGGTGGAAACAAGAAGATTTTGAGAAACTTTTGACACCTTTTTAGGAACTCAAAAAGAAGAATTTTTTTTTCAAGACCTTTCTGAGGTTTTTTTTTGCCTTCGTGACAATTTTTATAAAGTTCTCTATTTAATTTTGGATTTTTGTTATAGAACAATTGGAAAGAAGTTTTTGACGAGTATTTATTTACAGAAAAAAACAAAAACGTTATTTGAATGGTCTTTCAAAGAAAAAATTTCAAGGTTCACGGCAAGCGATACGCTTACAAATTCGATTTCAACGGTCTCGCCCAGGCTTGCCAAAATACAATGGTCAGCGGTAGTGACCTCACGCAAGCCGTTCAACAAATCCATCCAGCCTACGGGGGCCGTCAGTTTTAAGCTTTTTGATCTTTTGTTAAAACAAATCCTTTAGTTTCATCCCGTCTCAGCCCTGGAACAACTTATCCGTTGTTGCCTAAGCAGGAGATGCTTGCTCAGTCGCCCTCGGCAAACGTTCGTTTTTACAGACTTTTTTTGGTCAGAAAATCTCTGATAATCCTCTTTTTGATCTAAGCTTCCTCCTTTTTTTAAAAAGTGAAGTGCATGATGTTATCGAGCACTTCGAAAAATTGAAATTTGGTAGCCGATCATAGTCAATTCGTTAGAATTCACGGAAACGCGATGATAACTCTTTCACCGCTGACTAAGCCTGAGACATGAAAGTTTTGTAGAAGAGTAGCGAAAAAATGTGTGAAAGATAATTTTCATGAGGTTTTCATGGAGTTTTATTTCTGTCATGACTCTGAATGTAAGGCAACCACAGTTGTGAAGAATTTATAAAAAATTTTTTTTTGCTTTTCCGTGTAATATAAATTTTTCATTGATGTTGTTTCTCAAATTAGTTTTCTTTTCAGATGAGTGTCGGGTACTGGAACGCACACCAGCCTTACCTATATCCCACCGCAATGTCGCCTTACTACAGTTCAAAGAATGACGTTAACTAATCAAACTTTTTCTAATAAAATTTTATTCATTTTTGCACCAATATTTTAAGACTTTAGTTGAACCAAACAGACGATCAGATTGAAAGTTAGAGTGGACAAAAAAACATGAAAAAAATTTTTTTATTGTCTAGGATCGCGGCTAAAGGAACATCCACTCTTTAAGCTTATGAAATGATGATTAATTATTGTTTATTAAATATTCCTTTTTTTGTTTCAAAGTACCCAAACTTCCGTTTATAAACCAACGGAATTCAAATTCCTCCAATGGAAAAGAAGTCAGGATTCCCACGGAGAGAAAGTCTTAAAAACTTTCAACCCGCTCAACTTGCTTTTTCTTAAGCAAGGACAACTTGAAGTCAAATAATAATTGCGTGAATTGTTGAAAAAACAGGGTTTTTTTCTCAAGGCAAAAGGGTTTTAGCTGCTTGAAATATATCAAAACATCAAAAAATGTCCTAGCTTTTTATCAGTAAGTTTTAAGCTTGTCTACTTTTTGAGCGAAAAATTTAGTTCTTATTTTTCTGAACAGCGCTCAGTAGAAAAAAACTACACCATATTCACTATTTCGAAGCAAAAAACTTCTGGTCAAAAACTTGGAGAAAGGCGTTAAGCTGATGAAACCTGAAAGCTTAGTGTTATCAAACTGCACGACACAACACAAACCATAGGAACTTTGAGTTGCCAAAAAAGGGAACAGGGACATGGGTCTCACAATGACGACCATGTGCTGTGCAGTGTTATCAACGGTGAAACGACGACGATGGGAGGAGAATGGGGCGGAATTGATGACTAACGTGCCATCGTCTAACCAGTCGGGCCGTCACCGCCTCGCCGTCGCCCATTCTCCAAACGTTTCCCGCCATGGGCGCATGCTGCTCTCGCAAGTCCAAAAAGACGCAACAGGTAGGTAAAATGTCGAATCAATCGGGCTTCCTTATCAGGGGTGGACCATGCTTATCGCGCTCCGCTTCCGATCTAACGTTTGGCCGGTCGTAAAAGCAAAAATGCACCGTTGTGTACCTTGTTGTAGGTAAACAACACCTTGACAAATATGTGTATGCTTTACCTCGGTTGAAACTTCCCTCACACCTTTTTTCTATTCCAAGCTTTTTTTGGAAGTTGCTAACTTCAATGTCAAGGCATACTGAGTATTTCAGCCAACACTTCGATCAAACGAACAAATTCAGAAGAACACAGGTTTTTTTGAAAATTCTCCAAAAACTCTGTTCGTCTAAACAGGACATCTTAGAAAAATAATGATAAAAGCGTTTTTATTGCTCAAAAAAAAGCTGAACACAATTAAAAAACGAAGAAATCTACTTTTTTGATAAGTTTTTAGCTATTTTCTTATTCACATGAACTTTAAGCCAGAAACTCAGTAATTTTGTTTTATGGAGCATGTGAATTGAGCCCTCTGTCAAATAAACTAACTACCGCAAACTGAGAAAAAAGATGTTTTCCAACCTGTTTCTCCTCCGGGCTTTTTCAAGTTTTTTTTGTTGACATTACTGTTTCAAAAAAGTGTTTTCTAAACAGCATGTAGGACACATGTAGTTTTTTCAACTCTGTTTTTTTCTCTGAGATTCTTTTCTGTGTCATGTAAAAAAAGACATTGATTTTTTTGTTGTGTTCTATAGTAAGCAGAAAGAGTGAAATAAGACTTCCGTAAATAGGCTCACAAATTGAATTTTTTTGCCTGAATTTTCTTTTACAATACCAGTAAAGATTTTCAGAGAAAATCTTTTCATTCGAAAAGCAGAAAATGGGTTTTGGGGAGTGTATAGAGGGCGATTAAAAAAATTTAATAGAGTAATTTGAGTGTGGAGTTTAGAGTTTTTTTCATGCCCAACTTCATGGTTTAAATGAATATTTATAAAAAAATTTTCGCGCGAACACTTGAGTGATCCGAAGTCTCATATTATCTTCATATGATTTTAGACCTGTTTTTTTGTAATGCAAATTTAAAAAAAATTTGTTTTTCAAAATCGGAAAGTGAATCAAAATAGAGAGATTTTGAGCGAATTTATTAAAGATCTCATACCTTCACGCAAAGAACCTTCTAAAGACCTTTCTTGATTCTCAAATATCTTGTTGACTTCAACTCAAAGCGAGAAAACGTGCCGACCGACAGTTCGTGTTGACGGGAACGTTGTAAAGTCGCATCGATGACCGTTTTCGTCAAATAACCAATTCCAATTCTTCTCTAGCTTTTTGGAAACACCGCGGAAGTTCTGTCGCTTCTCATTATCGACTGACAAGTTGCGAACGAATGTTGAAGTTGTTCCCAATAGTTGATCGATTCGACGCAAGTTTAGTGGCTGCGATCTCATCGAAAGGGAAATTATTGCGAGATTTTTCCTTCTTGAGCGTACTCAATTCTCTCAACACGGTAATCAACAACACACCAATTTTCCTTTTTTACCAAGAAGCGGAACAAATCGCTAATTGCAGTTCTGAGCAAACGAGCAACTGGCAATTATAATCTAAAAAATGTCCTGCTGGGACAAAATTTTTCCCCAAAAAGCTCAAATGACGAATTGTATTATTTTCATCTCGTTTCGAAGCGCAACAAAAGGAGAACAAATAAAAACATTCCTTCGATGCATACCAATCTAAACTAAACATTTTCCCGAAATGAGTTGGAAATGGAAAATCTCTAAAAAAAAAAGTTAATAATTTTCGAGTTTGCAAGTCACAACTCATCAATTTTCCAGCACGACTTTGGAGAAATTCGAGAAGATGACCTGAAGGTTATATTTCGCGAGTTCGACATAAATGGCGATGGATTCATCCAGCGAGTTTGTGATTTGGAAAGCCTCCATCTCATATTTTTCCCACTATTTAGAACGAACTGAAGGCGGTTATGCAGAAGATGGGGCAGTCGCCGACTGATGAGGAGCTCAACGCCATGTTCAACTCCGCCGATCGGGACAACGACGGCAACATTGACTTCAGTGGTTCGTTTGTTGAAATTTGAAGAAAAATAAACGAAATCCAATTGTAGAGTTTATCTTGATTGCCCGCGCGAATCCGCTGTCTCTTTCCTTGAAGGCCGTTTTCGAAGAACTCGATGTCGATGGAGATGGCTGCATTACTAGGTCAGAATGTTTTGGTTGAAAAATCTTTTTTGGGAGGTTGGGATCGAAATTCTACTCACTATCGAGGGGAATCTCAGGATCATAATGAGATTTTAGGTATCAGACCAGAGGACTTAATACTTGACAAACTTCTCGTTTTTCAAAATTAAAGTTCTGAAGAACATATTATAACCAACACGTTCCACATTTCGCAACTGGTTCGATAATTGCATGGCCTAGAAATAAGAATGGTGATCTCGATTTCCCTCTTAATCGGAAGGTATTTAGAGAAAACTTCCAAAGTCAAATGATCTCTCCTATTAGTCAAGCCGTTTCTCGGAAAAAATGATAACTCTCTCGTTTCAGGTCAGAACTACGCACGGCCTTCCAACGGATGGGACATGCTCTGACCGATCAAGACATCAAGGCGATCTACAAACACGTCGACGTCAACAATGATGGCAAAATCAACTTCCAAGGTTGCTTTTTTTCAGAGAAACTGTGATGAATGGTTATGTGGCAAAGGCCTGCCGGCGAAATTATGGAAAAAAAATTTGGCAGAAATAGATAAGATTTTGAAATCGAAAAGTTCTTGAAAGGTTTGGAAATTCTTAGAGGCTCAAAAAAAATGTTCATCTTCTCATTTTTTGCGTGATAATGTAGGTATGATCCCGCCTTTTTTTATCAAACTTCCTAGCATCTAAAAATTTCTGGAATGCAGAGACTTTTTCTTTTTTTAAAAAAATACTCAATTTTTATAAGTTTCGATGTTTTCAGAGTTCTGCGAGATGATGACTCGAAGAAAGTGAAAAAGAAACAAATAATAACGTACAATATTCCAACCTGGTTACTCTGTCCCTAATATCCCTTTCGAAACGTGTTCAGTCTCTTTGTGTTTGCGTATTACTTGGGGGCTTTTTGACCCGCTGAGAAATCTTCGCTGTATGTGGATTACTGTAAATTTTTATTCCCACTCTTATTTTTCCATGTAATTTGGGACTTGCTTATTTGTTGAATGCATAGAGTCCTGCACAATATATCATTTCATTTATGAATTTTTGATGAATTTATAACGAAAAAAAACTTGCTGAGTATTTAATAAAGAAAAAATGAGCTTAAAGTAACAACCGTAAATTGTCAAGAACGACGATATTCTTTATGTTTTCCGGAAAAAAAGGAAAAATGATCGGATAGAGGGATGAAATTAAAACGATGCTGAGAAAAGTTCAAATGAAAAAGGCACGAAAAGCTTTCAGAATGATGTTCTGAAAGCTGTGAATTGGAAAGATACAAAAATCTTTCATAAAAAGTTCGAAATGAAAATCGGTTCACACATAAATGCCTTTGTCTACTTTTGGCACAAAAACCAGCATACTATTTCAAATTACATACAGGTTTTTATGTTGAACTAATTACAAGAGATCATCTTCAGGCACAATTCAAAAAAAAAGGTACATATTATTTGCCAAGTTTGAAAAAATGAGGATTATTTGATGCTTCTTGATCTCATCAGAATTCTTATTTCAAGATCCATCCCCAATTTTTAATGATTGTGAGGAGGATTTAATTCAGAAAAGCAAGGCTGTTCCCGATCGTGATAGGAAAAAAGTATCAGAAACATCAGATTCGGGAGAACCGGGCATCATGCAACGGGGCTAGTTCTCTCATTGGTAGAACTTCTTGCTCCTGGGATTTACGAAGCATTTGATAAGCGCAGATTGTCGCCAAAATGAAGGCGAAAAAAGAAATGAAAGTTCCAATCATGTGAAGGTAGAACGCGATTCCAATCATTTGCTGCAATTATTTAAACGTCAGATGTCAACCAAAAATATTCAACCTCATAAGTTCCAACTAGACCCTGGACAAAGCGGCTGTCAACACGATGAGCTGCGAAGAAAAATATGCCGTCGCCGCAAATCGAGGTGAAAACTTGAAAAGTCGACCGTTATGAAAATGAAGAAGGTAGATCAAACCTGTGATACCCACAAGAATCGCATAAACGACTGCAAGGGCCGAGTTGCAAGGCGCGCAAAGTCCGCAAAGTAGGGATATTCCGCCAAGAGCCAGCGCCGTGCCCATGAAACCTAGCACGGCTTTGTGCCATCCTAAATCAACTGAGATCATCGAAAAAAAAAGATTCAAGATCTTTCTGTTAGTCTTTTTTGAAGAACTGGTCCAGTCTTTTTTTTTGATTTTCGGATAGATCTTCTCAATTCTTCTGAAGTTTTCATTGCTCACCTATCACAAACTTTTTAACAATTTTGAAGCTAATTTCAATGATATGTAAAAAGCTTTGGTTAGCCACGGTAAAGATATTTGTGGTAGATTTTTGCGAAAAGTATTGAGTTCTTCTAATTTTCAGCTGTATTGGATATGAGTGAAAAAATCAACAGAAAATGAAATCCAGTGTTTAAACCAAGTAAGATGAGTGAAACATTGACTTCATGATTTTATTTTTTCTTAAAACCTTAATTTTTGTTAGTTGCACTGAAATACTTCAAAGTATACCGTAAAACTGATGATGTTCACTTTCTCCAGCTGCGCTGTTCTGATCAATGTCCTCGATGTTTTCGTCAATGATCTATAGAAAACGTTTGTTTTTCCGCCTTTCGGTCGAATATTCAGACACACCTGACTGGCCGAAAAGTCAAACTTGTACGTGCAATGCAACGGCAAGTTGTCGTCGGATCGATCAATTCGACTAACAAGGTGCAATTGGGGCCGTGTGCAGTCGAGCCATAATCCGTGCTGAAACGAGGATTTGCAATGGTTTGAAAAGAAAAAAAGCAATTTTTCACCTGCGAGGCTGTGTTCGTGGATAGTTGCATAAACATTTTCGTTTCATATCGGAACATAAAAAAAATTCGCTCGTTTTGAAATTATAAAAGTCAACACAAACTGAGCTCAGTTCCCCTATGAGCAAATAAAATCCTTGCTCAATATAATGATGAAAAAAAGTTTTTTTTCTCGCTGTTAGTTTTTTCCAACTTTTTATGCAAGAAAAAACTACGGGAGTCGTTAAAATTTTGAAGAAACTCCATAGAATTTCTGATCGAAAATTTGCGTCCTGGTTGTATATATTTACTGTTTTTGCAATAATCAACGACGGTAAATATCAAAAAAGCCAAAAAAAAACCAACATGATGAGTGGCTCGAAACTCGCGAATGTCGACGACTTGCCAACTCGGCGACATGACTCCGGCGGCTTGCAACCCAAACGCCAAAATCACCAGAATCAAAGAAGATATGATGACGACCGTTTGCATCCCGGTCGACTTCTGCTCCGACATTCCGTCTGGAAAAAGTTTGATTTGAGAAACTAGGACATTACAAAAAAATGATGATGAAGTTTTAAATTTCCAGCTTCATGCAAAAACTGGATGTTGAATCATGAGAAAAAAATTTGCAAATATTTTTTTAAATTTTTACCAAAACGAGTAAGCTCGGTAAAACAAAGATTATAGTAGAAACGGGGAAGTCAAATACTTGTTTTTCCTTAAAAATGACATCATGGAAGATCTCTATTTTTTTCCGAACGGAAAACTACTCGAATTTGACCTTATCCAGTAGAACATGAAGAACTGCATCTTCCCAAAAAAAGTCTCATCAGAAATACTCAAGAAAAACGGATTATTAGGGTTTTGAAGGCAGCCTAAAAACTTTTTTAGGAACACAGCTTTTTTTGGGGGGTTGAATTTAACTTCAGAACATCCTAATAATCCTTTTTTTGTGTGATGATCTTGCTGTGTTTCATGATTATCATGTAAAAAAATACCAAAGAATTTATTTCCAGCTTTTTCTCCCTACTCTTTCTAAAACTTGTTTTCGCGTTTTTTGGATGATCGGAGAACAATAATCGAGTACGATTCGGGCGAAAAACTGGCATTCGTAGAAGGAGAACTAAAAATTTATATATAGAATGTTTCTTTATGAAATCGCAACTTTTTTGATCTCAGGTTTGAAATTTAACATATCAAAAAACTTGCTTGAACTTCATCTTTTTTCATATAATTTTGCAGATTTTGCACTCAACTTTATTCAAAAATACATTGTTGAATGCTTCTTAACGTGCGTAAAAAAAGTTCCTTGAAGCGCGAAAAGGAGGTCAGCGAGGACGAAATAGGACAAAGACCTGGACGAAGGTGCGGATTTGCAACCGGCCTTTCGGCAGAACTCATTTGAAGAAGGTTCAAACGGAGATATCGAAAAATACTATGAAGTTCATGCTCATTTCCTTAAATGAAACGAGCTTCAAGCTCAACGTGCAGCGAAAATGATACTGAAGAAAAAAAACCGACATAAATAAGGAAAAGAAGGAGGAAAGACAGTGAAAGCAGTGAAGTGGGTACTGGTTGTGAATGGTCATGAGTTGAGTACATATGGCGCTGCGCAGCGCCTGTTTTGTTCCTCTTCAACGTCTGCTTCCGAATGACCAGTGCTTGTGAAGGAAAACGATTGTGCAGAATCCAATTTCTCGCAGCTGGATTTAGATTTTTTCGAAAATTTAGAGGTTTTTCTCTCTCGAAAAAAAGGAAAAAAATATATGAAGAAGATAAATTTTTCTGCTGTCGATTATTAGAAGCAACACTGAAAAACTGAAAAATCACGTAGAAAACAAATATTTTCCAATTTCTTTTGAATTCTTTTCTTTTGCAGTTTCTTACATCCAGGTGTCTTTTGTGAAAAAAACTATTCGACAGCGCTTCAAACAAAATAATAAAAAAATAAATAAGGGAATAGAGTTATTGTTACTAATTTAGACGCAAACGTCCTATAAATGCGAAAAAGGCAGCGGTCGCCATGGTCACTGAGGTTCACCTCAAAACAGGATAATCGGAGGGAGGCCTCCTTGAGAGTAGTCCACCCGAACGTTCGCGTTATTGTTAAACCCAAACGTTTTGAGTGTTTTGAAACTCTTATAAACGTTTTGAGGCCATTTTAACTACGTAAATCACTGACTTGGATTGAAAATTACTGCGAGACGAGATAAATAAACTCCAGGAAGCGAAATTTCTTTTATTCGATAAAAAATGAAAGACAAAAACAAACGCGTCCTCTTTTTTTGATTTTTCGAGCTTCGAATTAAATTCGACAACTAAAGTCTTCCGTCTCACAAAACCACAGTGAGCCTAGAGAATAGCAGGCTTTTGGAAAAAAAAGCATGGAAAAAAGCTTCTGAAACATTTCAAAGCAGAAATTACACAACCAATTCAAACAAATGCCCAATATGCAGACTCAAAAAATTAGAATATCGGCTGGAGGGATCGAGGCGCTTTCGACGTGAACGACCTTGAGCCATTGATTGCGTCGCGGCCTCCCATACCTATGGTCGTTTTGAATTCAATGTGACGCCAGAGTTTGAACACTTCGGGTTCAGCGCTAACATGTTATTTTTTTTTTTTTTGAAAAGGAAGAGTTTACATATATTGCTTGTTGAGAAGTTTCTTCAAAATAGTTCGGAGTTATCTTCAGAAAAAAAAAAACAAAAACACTTCATATGTCCTTTCAGCACTCAAACAAGTTGAAAAAAGTGAGCTCATAATATTTCAATTTTACACCGCCGAGAAAAAGTTAGAAAATGGTAGCGTGAATACCAGAGCAAAATGGGAAAATATTCAATTGATTTTGGAGTATTTTATGGTAACCTCATAAAGAATAATATTTCAAAGTAGAATTCGCTGAAATAATTTTAAAGGCTCTTTGAAAGTCCATCGAAGTCGCTATCTGCTCAAACTTTTCTTCCGGAGGTTCCAAACATAAAAAAATCCTTGAGCGCAAGCTTTGAAAGACAAAAAAATTAATAAATATTGTTCTATAATCATTCTTCAGAAGGTCGATCTTTTTTTCTATTAGTAAAATCCAGCAGAAATTTGACATTTACATTGTTCGAAAAGAGAGTTTATTCTTTGGAGGTTTTTGGTTTTTTTTTTCAAAGACGCATAATGAAGAAAAAAAGTAATGAGTCACATCCCATTCATGAACTGAAATTAGCATGTATGAAGAAGAAAAGTTGAATCTAATTCTGAGATTTTTCAGCTTATAAGGGAAAATTTTTTAACCGTAAGTTCGACCAGGTATCAAGGATAATCAAAAAGGCTGCATGCCTGAGATAATTTCAAAGCTCAAAGTAGATGAACTTGCCAGCAGATCTATACAAGCTTTTTCTGATAACTCGAAATATTTTTTTCCACTGAAAGAATGAGACACTCTCAATTTTTCATTGATATTTTTCCAACAAAAAGGTGTTGTATTGGTTAGGCTTTGGAAAATAGTTTCAAACACATACAACCATTATTCGAACAGACTCTCAACATTTTTAAACATATGAAGCTCCTTCAATAAAATACTAATTTCGGCAAGTATTTTTTTCTCTCGTCGTTAAGTTCCGTCAGCGCCTCAATGTTTCATTTACCAGAGATGAATACTTGAAAATATTAGACAATAAACCGACCATCTAAGACAGGACGTCGATAGAAGGCGTCGTATCGGAGGGCCATGGAGCCGACTCCAACGTAAACACAACTAGAATTATAACAAGCGAATGTCAAAGAGAATTGGCGTGCTGAAACATACGTGGACCGGTGTCACAGCGGCCTCAAATTGCTCGACTCGATGCCGATAATAGGGCTGGTTGAGCGAGCAGCGCTCCGTTTCGGATTCATAAAGGAAATCCAATGTGAAAATTGAAGATATAAGAATAATTTTTTATTCACCGTCGAAAAATATGTACAGTCTTGCAGTCGGCGTAATTTTATGAGGTTTTTTGAAATTTATTGAATGGATGAAAATTAAAAAGACGCTTCGTCGCACGAATTCATTCCGCCATTGCGGGTACCGAGCATCCGTCTTCTCGTACGGCGACATTCGCGACAATCCGGTCCACTTCATCATATTTCTTGAGTACCTGAAACGTTTCTTATCAGATTTTTAATGCTTTTCAAATTGCTCACTGAGAATTTTTTTTTCTTTTTTTCTATAATTTAGTCCTAATAAGTACGCATAAAGCATATGACAATTTGAACCTGCAAAACTTTCTTTTTTGAAAGTCAGATATCTTCATTCTTGCACATGTCGGCGAGTCTGATACTCCAGAGGCGAAAAATAAAAAAATTTGTGAACGACAGTTTAAAAAAAAATTTGACTAAACTTCTAAATTCTTTTCAATTAATCGAACAGAATGACCTCCATTCATCTAAATATTGAATTTCCGCGCTTAATTCAGATTTCGCGTTTTCCCGACCGGAAACGACTTCCGCAAGGCGAATTTGCAAAAAAGTGTAGAAACGGGGATGGATGTTGCTGTGAATCAAGTGCGATCAAAATTTTTTTATGAAATTTGGGAGCTTAAAAAAGCTCAGGACAAAACTAAATTTGGCAAAAACACGTCTCTACAAAGCATCATGAAGGCCTAAAACGCTTTCCAAGACATCGAGAGACTTTTGAATCATAGTATTATATTTTAAAAGCGGTCATGAAAATCAAAAGTGAGTTCTGAACTTTTTTTCAAATTTTCCGGAAGAAAATTTAAAGTTTTTTTTTCCAATATTTGCAAAATAACAATTTGTATATTTTTAATAAAAAGCTGAAATTCGGGAAAAACCTCTCAAAGCACGTTTATCGGCATTGTTTCTGTTGCCTCCAATAGGTAAACTTTAATTTTTGTTTCATTAACGCCTATCTCTTTCGATAAAAAGTTATTGACCAAGGTGCTAACTAGACGTCCGCGAAATTTAATCTCATCGCGAGAAAACAAGAAAAACGAGAAAATCCGGTCGACTGTTGAAATTCGCAGTTAACAAAATTAATCCAATCAGTAACCGACCAAAGCAACAAAACGTTAAAAGAGAATGATTTTCAAAAAAAGTGAAGTAAGAACAAACCAACGAGGCCAATCCTGAGGGGCGTATCTCTGAAGATAACCTTGATGGACTTTGGTTCCAGGATGCGGATGCGCATAAGACCTCAGCTCTTCGTCGTAGTAGAAAGTCTGTCTTCTGAATCGAAGTCCTTCAGATCCAATGATCAATCCTAAAATATAACCTTCCAGAAAAACTTCCAAAGTGCGTCTTACCTGCGAAAAGTACGATGCAGACAAAAGCGCGAAACATTTTTGGAAGATGTGGGTCGAGTTCGAAAAAGTGAACGAGAAGATCGACGAAGAAGAAAAGAGTGGATGTGAGATAAGATAAAAAGGAGAAAAAAAGCCACGCCTTTAGGTTCGACCAGCTAGCTTGACCGTGTGGAACAAACCGCTCAAAATCCAGATTGCGTCATTTGCATAATTTGCCAGGGCGTTGTCGATCGAAATTGGAAACATCTGCAACATTGCGATAATGTGTATGCCATTGGCTTAGATCACGTTTTCAAAAAGATCAATCTTTGGTCGTTTCAAACTGAAGGGAACAAAGTTTAATTTTTTTAGAAAGAGAACTCCGAATTTGCAATGTTTCAAAATTGAGATATTGAGGAAAACTGCTTATAAATTTTTTTGAAGAACCCTGATCTCAAAACATTTACAAATTTGTTTCATGGTCGATTCGAAACGGTTTAGAGAGGCCAAATACCCCTTTTTCTATTGTAACGGGGAAGCTCGAACTTTGAAGCTTCACTACCCGACTAACTAGAAAGGTAATTTTATTTTGAATTTGAAAATTCCCTGAAAATTGGTCAAAAGACTTTTTAATGTACCAGATGAAGATCCTGAAAGTCTTAATCTAAACAACTTCCTAGTTTTTGAGAAACGACACCTTGAAGTCGAGGAAAAACTCCTCAAAACAGGCCATTTTCAGGCTTTGACATCACAACTCTATAGTTATCGCGTTTATTTAATAATAATAATTTTCTCGATAACCATAGAGTTGTGCAGGTTGAGACTTTCAGATTCTTCTTTTGATACATCAAAGAGTGTTCTGGCCAATTTTCCGGAAATTCCCAACCGCTAAGTAAAATGACTTCTTTGTAAGAGCCGCAAAAAAAAAAAACGTAAAATGTTTTTTTTTTCTTCGATTTTGTGCGCTAAAGAGCATGTTAACCAGCTTTTCTTATATTCAAAGAACGTGTCTTTTTGCAACTTCCTCACCCCGAGTCTCTCGATTTCGAAGAACAGCGTTAAGTCTTTTTGCTATTTTCCTGTTCTTTTGAACACGTGATAGTGGAGAAGAAACCCATTTGCCGAAATATATTGGAATAGAAAGAGCAGGGTCCAAATGGTAGGTGATATTAATGAGGAAGAATTGTCCTGAAGTGCAGCGTCGACAACAATACCGCGTCATAGGCGAGGGGTATTGAATTAAATTATATTAAATCGTGTACCCGGACACTCCTCGACCCGTGTTATTTGCCGACGTTTGCATTTCCAATACCGATACGCAGGTTTCCACGCGTTTTTTATTGATAGAAAAAATATCTCTTTACTGCATACACAGTTGTGTTGACAGTTAACCTATCTTCGAGATAAATACGAGTTTCAGAAGCTTAAACTTCTTTCTATACTTCTTTCATTGCGTATTCAACAGAACAGACTTATCTTGATAAATTGTTTCAAAATTTATGATGTCCCATCCTTTTGAATACTTCTTTGTTTATAATAATTTTCATGAAGAGCAGTAGAAAATCGAAAAAAGCCTTTTGACTGCATCTGGATTCGATCAAAATTTTCAATATTCCAATTGTTATTCTCAATTGAAGATGATCGCTCTTTGAAGTTCTCAGATTCATGCATATAGTAAATATTCCCTAGACATTGTTTTGACTGTTCTGATTTGTTTTCACACACTTCCCATATTTTTCCCGGCGCTGTTTTGTCCATTTCGAGTTGGGTGCTTCCTTCGAGTCAGTGAGGTCCGACCAGTCTGTGAGTTTTTTTTCTTTTTTTTATTGCGGAGCCTAGATGCTTTATAAGAAGAGGTGCCACTAAATATGAAACGACCTTCGGATCACTATAGCTTTTGATTTTTCGTGGATCGTTATGCTCCTTGGGCGCAGATAGTTCAAGTCCACTTTCATCATTCTATGATGATAAAGGACATTAGAGATCTCTGATTTGAATGAGACCTTAGAAAGGCCTTCGGTTCTCTTCACAAATCAAAAAATTACTCGAAAAGCTCATCTCTTATGAGCAAAAACTTTCACTCGACCGTCTTGAAGCCACGATTGCACCGGCCTTTTTCAATTATCGCGTTTTGAATGGGCACGAATTATTTTCTAAAAGCCTAACCTTGGTCGCTGTGGGAGAATCAGTCTGAACAAGCACCTTCTTCTGTGGAATAAGATCCGCGTGAATCTATTTTGCACCGTCGTTTTAGAATCGACGGAAACTAGCGGACCAGCTTTCGGAGCCCATGGCTTCTTCAACCACGGACTACTGCAAGTGGAAAGCTTTGCAGACGAATCGGACTATTTTTTTAGTTGCTTTGGAATCTTTAGTAGATTTGAACGCGTTTTGGCAGTTAGATAAAATTCAGATAATGAATATTTTCCCATCAAATAGCACTTAGTTGAAGTGAGAATTGACTGCGTCCGAGCGAGTAGGACTATGTACTAGATGGCCCGCATATACTTCTTCTCCCGAGCTAAATGCCCGTTTTCCTGGCACAGCTTTTAGCCTAAGCTTTTTTCTAATAATCATTTTGAATACCCTTCTCGAAGTGACGAGTCAAGAGGACTTGGAAAAGATGCTCCCCCTCAACATCTGACTGGTTTTCTAATTGACAGTTCTCTCAAATGTGCATAGAAGAAAACTGGAAAACTTTTTGACTAGATGATAGTCAGAAACTCCAATAAGCATTTCCAACACCGATACTGTTGGAAAGGAAACTTTTCCTTTTTCAAAGCTTATTGGACTTTCTGAATATTATGGTCGAAAAGTTTTCCATTTTTCTTTTATGTACATTTGAGACAACTGTCACGAAGAAAACAAGTCAAATGTTGAGGTGGAGCATCTTTTTCAAGTCCTCCTGCCTCGTTACTTCGAGAAGCGTAGTCGAAATGGATATCAGAAACAAGCTTAGGATTAAGAGCTGTGATACCAGGAAAGCGGGCATTTTTGCTCGGGAGAAGAAGTAACTGCGAGACATCTAGAGCATAGTTCTACTCGCTCGGATGCAGTCAATTCTCACTTAAAGTAGGTGCTATTTGATGGGAAGATATTCATCATCTGAATTTTATCCAACTGTCACAACGCGTTCGAATTTACTGAAGACTCTAAAGCAACTAAAGAAATAGCCCGATGCGTTTGCAAAGCTTTTTACTCGGAGTAGTCCATGGTTAAGGAAGCCATGGGCTCCAAAAGATAGTTTCCGCTAGTTTTCGTCAATTCTGAAACGACGGTGCGAACTAGATCTACGCGGATCTTATTCCACAGAAAAAGGTACTTCTTAAGACTGATTCCCCCTCAGCGACCAATTTTGGGCTCCAAAAAATTATTCGTGGCCGCTTAAAACGCCATAATTGAAAAAGACCGGTGTATATTCGTGGCTACAAGACGACCGAGTGAAAGGCTTTTGCTCACCAGAGATAAGTTTTCCGAGTAGTTTTTTGATCTTAGGAAGAACCAAACCCTTTCCAGGTTTTACTTCAAACAGTGATCTCTTATGTTCTTCATCATTATGTAATGATGGAAGTGAACACAAACTATCTGAGCCCAAGGAGCATAACAATACACGAATGATTAAAAGCTATAGTGATTCAAAAGTCGTTCCATATTTAGTGACACTCTTGTATTTTCAATGGTTTCTGCTGCTTTTAAATGTTTATTGCCTTCAGATACATAGCGGATTCACCGGTATAGTGAAAGAAACACGAAAAGGGTTTATTATCCAAGTATATGTATGGGAATGTTGGAAAAGATCTCATCGGGGCTGAGCGGATCGAGAAACTTTCTGAAACGGGTGGTAGACGTGTTAGGGTTGAATCTTGAGCAGAGTCTATTTCAAAGGAGAATGACAGGGCTAAAAAATCTATCAACTCTGGGACCAGTCTGAATGAAGTGAAAAGGATACCGAGGTGAACGAGATCTACTGGAAAACGTTACGACGCTTTGAAAGTGGAAAAAACCCAGACGATTTTTTGAAGCGTTACTAGAGCAATAGCTGTTTTTCTACGGAAACCGTGAGTAGAACCGAGTAAATTAAGGTGATGGGAGTATGAGTCAATAGATTCATCCCATCTCATGAAAACTTATATAGTATAAAGACGTTGAGATTTTTTTCAAGTAGCACGGGAAGTTCTGAAATGAGAGGCGGTGAGAACAATTCAGAGCAATAATCAAGATAGGGCCTTGCACAAATTTCGAATTGTAAATTATACTGCCGGATGTTAGAGTGGGCTTTGCTTTGAGCTTTGAGAAGCTGTTTGGATTTCAGAGTGGAAATGTTGACAACATGGTTTATGTGGGGACTGAAACACAAAATATAATCAATAAGGAGGCAACAGTTTCAGATCGAATAAGTGAGCCATTAACATTATAAAAATGTTCAGATTTATTCCTGCCTTGATGAAGAACAATAGTTTCCTTGGCCGAACTGGGAGGCCCCAAGTTTTGGACCAATCAAGCAATCTATTTATAGGCGCGCCGTAGCGCAACAGGTTGTGTGCCTGTCTACGGTCCACAGGGTCACAAGTTCGATCCCCGCCCCGACCCAACCAAGGGGTTTAAGAAATGTTGGTAGTGGGAAACCACGACTTCAAAATCCCCAGCCGTCACACACAAGGACGGATATGTCACTGGAGCCAGTCCACTGATATCAGGATAGGACCTCGGCTAATCGACTTGGGGCGTCGACGCCGCTCAAGCGGTACAGAGGCGTAAGAAGAAGAAGAAGAAGAAGAAGAAGCAATCTATTTATACAGCCTTGAATAGTTACAGGGTTGTCGGAAGAGATTTTCAAGTTATCGGCAAACAAATATGAAAAAAACGGAAGTGTTAATATATCGGGTAGATTGTTAGCAAAAATCGAGAAAAAAGGAGACCAGTGACAGTGGCTTATAAGACTCCTAAGACCACGCTGAAACTAATATCCAAAGATAGACAACCAATTAAAAATCTGGATACGCGACCAGAGAGGAAAATTTTAAACCGACTGATCATAGTACTATTGGATCCGAATGT